TCCCTCATCATCTTGAAACCAGTCTCTAATTCCCAGAGCATGTCCTTAGTGATAGCGATAGACTCCTCAGAGGCAGCTCGCGTCTAGACCTTCCCTTTTCGTTTTGAGTTTTTGGTAGAATGATGAAAGGATTTGCGAGTTAGATGAACAAAAGTAGAGAAGTATTCCGATACCTAATAATGGCCCCAAAACACACACGCAAGAGAACTTTTTTGGCAGATTAAAACTGTGGCTTTTTAATTAGTTTAAATGACAAACAAGAAGCAAAAAGATGGAGTTGTAACTCTTACAAATAAGGGAAACATGGATAGTGGAGGAGATGGTTCCTAAAGACCAATTCTCCTCTCATTCAGAACTGAAACAAATAACATAATTAAATAAAATAACAAAAGACATGAATATGCATTATGTATTTTTAATTTGGGAATTTTGTCTAGTTTGATGTCCTTTGGCTTTGTTCAGTTGTTGGCTTGCTTGGTTCTGAATCTGCATCATGCACTACAGGTTTCACTTAGAATATTCGACCCGTCTAAATCAGGATCCGGACAGTTATAATGCCCATGGAGGGCATATGACTTTTTTCTTCTTTACGAGCGACATCCAAGATTTGCTTCGGCTGAAACAATAGTAAGAACAAAATTGGTCTCCAACAAAATCCTTAAGAAAAAAGGGACCTGGGCAGTGGCAATGACAGTTGTGGCAAAATGGTCTGGAAGATCTATTGTTAGGCAGCAATTCAACATTGTTGTTGATGTTTCCTCCTGGTTTAGCATACCGTATATCCCCAACTACACAAAAAACATGCAAAGTGACCCCGCAATCTTGACAACTGTAGAACCAAGTCTTTGAATTTGTTTCTCTTTCGCAAATATCACACCAGTATCTCCCACTTGCCTTTTCCCCAAAACAAAGAGTGAGTAGATGATCATCGTACCTTGGAAGCCTTACCGTATATGGTAGAGTGGCACAACGAAAATCCAAAAAGTAATTGCATTTGATACAACCTAGAACAACTTCTGTTTCATCCATGCCGCAGTTCTGGCAAGTCTTCATTTGACCAAATTCTAGTTTGAGGTAGAGTAAATGATGATCATGACTTCCATGGATGAAGGGTACCGTAACTGAACTGCACAGTAGGTCAAAATTCTGTTTCTGATATGTAGAGTAGACGAATCCTTGGCATAATACTTGATCACAAGCTCGACAAATATTTTCTTTGCTGCGTTGGCTCTGGGGGCGAAGAGCGAGAAGTTCTGGGCTCAAAAAATGTCGTTTTTTCTTAGGAAGATTAGCACACGTTTCATGGAGAATGAAAGTGCAATCTGATTCTGAACAACTGTAGGATGTGTAAGAGCCGATGGGACGAACACATGCTTGACAAAAGGTGCTTTCTTCAGTTTCTTTGTTGAGGCTCATGTTATGTTCATGAGAGAAATGAGTGATTGTGTTGTCATCATTCATCTTAAATGGCTTGATATCTTCAATAACTCCAGGTACTCCATCGAGCTCTTTCCCATCCCATACGTCTTTCCGTGTTGCACATCTTGAATGGATAGCATAGTTGGGACATGAGTAACAAGAGTAAGCCCCATATGACCAATCAATCTCTTCCCAACAAACTCCACATCTCCATTCTCCAAGACCAAGAGGATACTTGAAGGAAATGCGGTGGTCATGGTGATTGACATTAATGACACGTGGCAAATAAGCACACTCTTGATGGAAGATCATGAAATCACATTGAACACATACATAAGGAGCATGGTCACCTTTTGTCCCACAAGCATCACAAACAAAGGAGATCAATCTTGGCATGAGTGTGAGTGTATGCTCATGGACCTTCAGATTTGAAAGAGCAACTTGTCGGGGGTCACGAATTGCACAACCGATATCCATATTGAACTTACACATAGTACAATGATAAAGTAAATTTTCTATTTCTTCTCCACATATATGACATTTTCGATCTGCGTAATCTGGAGCTCCATCCGTGAGTAGCTTAAGAGGGTGTCTTACATGAAAAGGGTGAGTGATCTTTCGTGATACAATTCCTGAAACGCATTCCTTATGAACCACCAACTTGCAACGAGGGCAAACGTATCCACGTCTGTGGAACATAAAACAAACATCGCACTGCAAGAGAACACCAAGCTTAACAAAGAGTAGAGGATGGCTGTGCCATGGCATATTCAGAATGGCTCCGGCACATATGTGATCAATCATGCAATTGATATCCAAATTGAGTCTACAATCAGAGCAATGGTAAAGAAGGCGCTTGGTGTTTCTACCGCAAATATGGCATTTCGGGTCGGTGTAAACAGGAGTTCCGGTTGTGACAAGCTTAAGACAATGTCCATCATGAGAAGGGTGGTTGAATATATCTTCTAACATGAACACAAACGCACAATTCCTATGAACTGTAAAGTTACATTCAGAGCAACGTAAGCCATCATACGTTCGAATTCGATCGCAAGCATCGCATTCCAAAACATCACCTTCTTTGACGAAATCTACGCGATGCATGTGTCTCTCTAACCTCATACTCATAGCTGTTGCGGTTAGCGGAGGTGGAGAGAATGCAAGTTTATTTTTGGGTAATAGCAATATGGTTTCGTGTAATAATGGATCGATATAGTTGTTCCTCTATATCTCTAATTATATCAATGCTACTTGTTACATTATCATATATATTAATATTGCCGACGTTGACAAATCTATATTAGTAACAACTAGTTTTCTTTGTCTGCCATGTTAGTTTGTTTACTTGGACTTCTTTATTATTTTTTTATTGTTGCTCGTCTCACTCTCAACATGGAAGTTTTCTTCGTCTTTTAATTAGATAAACGAAGATTTGATTATATTGTATTAATCGAAGGAAGAAGTTAAAGTCATGACAGCTAACATTGAGCCGACGAAGATACCTTCGAGATTAGTTATTAAAAAAGATCACGTGGGTTTTGTTTAATGCTCTCTTGTTTCAAGATTTAATTTGGGTCAATAAATTTAAAACCATAGAAGAATAGTTTATTAGTTTTGTAGTATCAATAATTTAAAAATTAAGTAAGTAGGAAAAAAAAAACAAAGATAAACTATAAATATCTTTCATATCTAGCTTAATTACACAAAATACTATTGATATAATAAATTATTTTTCGATGTAGGTGACACTGTTCATAAACCACTAGCTGACACTATTCATCAGATGATATAGTTAAACATTTGTTGTTTTAGTGTGTAACTATTTACTTAACATGCTAATACATATGATATCGCGATAAATTTATATATTATGTATTAATTGCATGTTTATCGATTTAAATTTGTGAGTCAGTGTTTTTTATTTATGTATATATCAGTTCAATAAAAAATAATTAGTCTTTCTCTTAAATTCACCTCTTTTGGACACACCCATATGCACACATCTCTCTCTCTCTTGTTCTATATGCTTATTAGCTTATGTATAGTACCGGTTTAATAGTCTTGGTTAATTTAGTTATAGACTAAAGTGTATATAAACACACATTGTAACAAACTTTTCCTTTGAGAAATATAAAAAACGATTCACAAATCTCTTTGATCATGTTCTCTATCTATGCTCATTTTATTATCCTACTTGCACTAAAATAGAACGCGCATGAGAAAGTTGGAGTTATAGATACTCAATGGATTATTCATCAAGGTGTTCCATCACTTGGGAACCAAGTATACTCTCAAATCCCTCTATTTTCTGTGGACTGACCTTAGAAACTATATAACACAATTTCTCCACTTATTATATCATATGGGTATAGTTCTTTGCAATTTCGAAACCTTAGAGAGTGGTTGTGTTAATTGTACCATTTATGTAGTAGAAATATCTAGTGATATTATAGAATCTATTTTTAACACATTCTATAATATAAATGCATAGAACATATTTCTTAACCTCCACTTTTTTATTTGTGCCTATAAAATCTTGAGAGGGATAACCAGAGCGCGGGAAACAACCATGGGAAGGAGTAAATACCTATTCAAGAATGAATGAATAATGCAACCAACCAACCCCTTAGTCTTTTTCATCCTTGTTATTATCGGTTATATATTAGGATCCTCTTACATTTGTAATTCTATCTGACGTTTATCTTTCTTTATTTGTGTTCCTAGGTGAGGGAAAGATACATGAGAGAATGGATGATGTTCCAAGACATATTAGATATTGCATAAAATGCTTATTTTGAAGCATCACAACAATATGCTTCATCTATAAATTCATTCTTCGGGGTCTCTCACGGTCTCTTACTCTAACTTCTACTCTTTGTTTTGCCCTATTAGTTTTGTCGTGGGATCTGTACTCTGATTTCGATTTTATAGAAGAGAATAGTCTGGTGGTGAGTAGCAAATTCTAAGCACATTAATTAACATCTTATTAGTCGTTTTTAACTCATGTTTAATCATATCATTGATACGAATTCCCGGGGGAGAGTAGAGGTAAACGTTTTTCACTTTTCACTTTTATCAGGTTGAGTTATAGAAATGTCTCTTAAGTCTATTTTAGATTATATAATAACACGGTAGAAGAGTTGGCGTAATTTGTATTATGGCGCCTGACTTATGTTAATGAATGAGTGTTAACTTACTTCACGTATAGTATACCATGAAATATAATTGTTAGATTGAAACCAAAAGATCAAAACAATGAAATTGTAGGCTAACAATAGTAGAAACATCATTTAGATAATATATGAGTTTGTAATACGATCATGCCAGAGCCAAAGCTGCACTGAGGCTATGAAAGATATATAATCATGATCGGAGATGAGCATGTTATGATGTAAAATGTAGGCAAACAAATAATTATGGTGAATAGTAACAACATCAATCAAATTCAAGCTTATAAAACAGACACACACACACACATGTATTTGAGGATTGGAGAATTGTTTCGGTTTGATGATGTTCTCCATACTGGTTTTGAAGTCCAAGGAGGACATCTGAACGTAAATTGGGAATACTCAAAAGATAGGGGATAAGAGTTTGTATTCTTCACGGAAGCAGACGTAGCTCCTATAACTACAAGCAAGGAAAATGAGTGGAAGAGATGGCTCCTAAACATAGAGAACCGATGCTCCTCTTATATCGAACTGAAGCAAATAACATAACTAAAATAATGAGAAAGAAAACATAAATCATCTATTAGAAAGTTATCGGTACTAGTTTAAATGATGGTTTTGCTACTCCATCTGCCCAGGGAGGACATCTGGAAGTGGACATCTGTGAGAAACAATAATAAGAACAGAAGGGTACGTTTTCTCTTCCATTGACAATGAAGGGACCTGGGCATCGACAATGACACCTGCTGCAAAGCGGCCGTGAAGAGCTATTGTTAGACAACAATTCAAAATCGTATTCGACCTTTCCTCCTGGTTTGGCGTATCTGATATCCCCAACTACACAAAAAACATGTAAAGTGACCCCGCAATCTTTACAAGTGTAGAACCAAGTCTTTGGATTTGTTTCTCTTTCGCAAATGTCACACCAGTATTTGCCGCTTGTCTTTTCATCACCATAACAAAGAATGAGTGGATGATCATCATACCTAGGAAGGGTTACAGTATATGGCAGAGTGGCACAACGGAAATCCAAAAAGGAATCGCATTTCAAACATCCCATGACGACCTCTTTTTCTTCGATGCCGCAGCTCTGGCAAGTCTTCACCTCACCTTGTAGTCTTATATTAAGGTAGAGTAAATGATGATCATGGCTTCCATGGATAAAAGGCACAGTGATCGAACTACAGAGTAAGTCATATCTAGAGTAGAGGAAGCCTTCACAAAAAACTTGATGACAAGCGTCGCAAAATGGTGTGTACTGTTGGCTTTGGAGGCAAAGAGTGAGAGGTTCTGGGCTTAGAAAATGTCGTTTCTTCTTTGGAAGATTAGCACAGGTTTCATGGAGAATAAAACTGCAATCTAGATTTGAACAGTTGTAGAATGTGTAAGAACCAATGGGACGAACACATGCTCCACACAAGTTGCTTTCTTTACCGTCTTTGCTGAGGCTCATGAGGTTATGTTCATGAGCAAAATGAGTGATTGTGTTGTCATCATTCCTCTTGAATGGCTCGAGATCTTCAACTTCTTCAGGTACTCCATCGAGCTCATTTCCATCCCACACGTCTCTCCTTGTTGCACATAGTGAATGGATAGCATAAAGAGGACAAAGGGAACAAGAATAAGCCCCATATGACCAATCAATCTCTTCCCAACAAACTCCACATCTCCATTCTCCGGGACCAAGAGGATACTTAAAAGAAACACGGTGGTCATGGTGATTGACATTAATGATACGTGGTAAATGAGCACAGTCTTGATGGAAGATAATAAAATCACATTGAACACACACATAAGGAGCACGGTCACCTTTCATCCCACAAGCATCACAGACGAAGGCGATCAATCTTGGCATGAGTGTGAGTGTATGCTCATGGACCTTCGTATTTGAAAGAGAAACTGGTCTGGGGGTTTTGATTGCGCAATCCAAATCCAAGTTGAACTTACAAATATCACAATGATAAAGTAAATTCCTAAAGTCGTGTGCACATATATGACATCTTCCGTCTGTGTAATCTGGAGCTCCGTTGGTGATAAGCTTAAGAGGGTGTCTCACATGAGAAGGGTGAGTAATCTCTGGTGATTCAAATACGGAGACACATCTCTCATGAATCACCAACCTACAACGAGGGCAGAGAAAGCCATGTCCGCCACTCTGGTAACAAAAGTCGCATTGTATAGGAAAAGTTAAATCAACCATGAGAAGAGGATGGTGGTGCCACGGCATATTCAGATGGGCTCTGGACGGTGCATCGACTATGCAATCGATATCCAAGTTGAGTTTACAACTGGAGCAATGATAAAGAAGACGTTTGGTGTTTTTATCACAGAGATGGCATTTTGGGTTGGTGTGATCAGGAGCTCCGGTTGTGAGAAGCTTAAGACTATGTCCATCATGAGAAGGGTGATCGAATATCTCTTTCATCTCGAACACAAAAATACATTTCGCGTGAATGGTAAACTTGCATTCACTGCATGAGAAGGCATGACCATACGATCGATCGCAAGCATCGCATTCCAAACCATCATGATGCTTAATGAGGGATACAAGATGCTCGTGTACGTCTATCACAACTTTGTGCGGAAATGTCGAGTGTGCCATGGCGGTTGCGGTTAGCAGAGGTGGAGAGAATGCAAATTATGTTTGGGGTAAATTTCACTTTGATTTCGTGTAATAAAGGATCAATATAGTTGTTCCTGTATATACTCTAACAGTCTAACCATATCAATGCTACTTGTTACATTAATATTGACGTTGACAAATCTATATTCTTACAACTAGTGGGCACGTCGTTAGTCTTTGTTTAATTATTTGAACACTAATTGATTGTCCAGCTCAGTTTTTGTCTGCCATGTTACATGGACTTCTTTATTTTCTTATGTATGTGCTCTTCTTAATTGGGAAAACACTAATATCGTTTGTTCCGCTTAATTAAATAACAAAAATCACTACCCTGAGATAAAAGAAGATTTGATGATTTCATTGTACTCTAATCCAGATCATCGAAGGAAGAAGTCAAAATCGTGACAGCTAACATAATGATGCCTTCGAGATTAATCAAAAAATAATTCAAGTGGGGTTTGTTTAGTCTTCTCTCGATTCTTATCATAATATTATTTTAAACTATGAATTGAATATTTATGCAAGACGACAAAATTTTAGAGGTAAACTAAGTAAATGATAATAAATAAACTAAATCAGGTGGGACAAGTGCCATTAACACAAAACAAATATTGTGATTTGTGGACGAATGTATGAATTAATGAATGTTTGAAAGAAATGTGATGCAATACAAATGTGGTAAAAATGCAACAAGAGGTTCAAAATATCTATTTTAGATAAATATTTTATAAAATATAATATTAACAATATTATTATAACTAGTATTTTCTAAAATTTCTTTAAAATAATTTCTTAAATTTAGTAATGAATTTATTTTTAAGCTTAATGTTAACTATAATTAAAATAACAGATCTATTTTATGAAATCTTTTGATTATTAAAAATTAGTCATATGAAAGTATTTGATAAAAAGTTAAAAACTACCTTGAATATACCTTTTATGCTGTGGAATTGTTTTTTGCATGATGCTAAATTATTAATTAAAAGTAACTATCAATTTTCTCATTATTTGGCTAAATAATTACATTGGTGGATATTAATTTAGGTGCTTTTGCTCAGTGACAAAATAGGGTTATGTATTTACTATTTAGCTAATCAATAATAGAGTTGGGTGTCGTCTAAGACAAGAGATAATAAACGTTTCAAAGAAGTTTGAATTTCAAAATCCGTGAGGCCGTGAAGGTGTGTGACAGACGCTTTGATTTTTAGGAGAGAATGTGAACTATGAACAAGCTAACATGCATAAAATGCTCATCAGGTGAAAGGTCCCTTGCACGACAACAGAAAGAATGAAATGACAATTATTAATTGCAAGGTGTCTTTACTTTGAACTAATGGAATTTGAATCTATAACAAAATATGCGGGAATTTAAAATTTTGAACTACTAATCTAGATGTATAGACACCCAATAAATAGTCGTTCAGATGAGTAGAGAAAACGTAAAACAACCAAATATAAAAGAAAAACATAACAGATAAAGTCTGCAATGACACAGAACATTGTAACAACGTGAGTATAGAGATAAGAAATCTACCTAACTAATCGTTAAAAATAGCAACTCTAATTTTGTTGGTTTCATTCAAAATCAACCCATCACCAAATCCAAACTCTCTAGAGTGAGGGGAATATATTTGTGTTAGTCATTTGCATATGAAAAAAACATGTTCAATGATATTTTTAACATATTTTATAGGTCTTTTGAATGTATGTTATTGAGTCTTTTATTCGAGAACATATATTTTCGATGTGTTTTAGTATTTTTAGGTTTCTAGATCTGTTGGAATAAAAGTAGGTGTTTTGGGAGATAAATGGAGCATAATAGATCAATTGGAGAAAAGAAGAGTTTCTACAGAGAAGCGTCAGAAGTTTGGTCTCCGATGGAGGACTTCCCATCGATATATATTCCTCAGTTTTGGACACAAGATATGTAATGATGTTATCTTTCCTCTACAAGTGGAATCGAGGAAATATAGTGGTGCGATCAGACATTATGACCATTCTACCGATCAGTTACAGCGCAAAACCGATCGGTGTAAAAGGCCCATTACAAACGATTGGTTGGGCCTCATAACCGATCGGTTGGAATTTGTAAATTTACTTTTTTTCCCACTATAGCACCGTCTCTCTTATATATAAATCTCCTATGTATTCTAGCCGCAAAAGCATGTAAATAATATTGCGATTTTCTAGTTCTAAAGAGTTTTCTTCTCTTCTTCATCTTCTTTCTTTGTTTATGCTTTAACGATTTCAAAACCTTTGGTAGCTAGATATCCTTTAAAACTCATGATCTTTCTTCTACAATGATCACATGTACTTCGGTCATATGTGAGTAGTCTCACCATGGAGTTTTACCGATCGGTATTGTACTCCACCGATCGGTACCGCGTCGATTTGTACTTTTGTCGAACGGTTTAAATCTCCAAAGAGATCAATTATATGTTAGGGTTATGTGTAGGTATTCCTGATGCAGAAAAAGCTTATTTTTTAAAATCTGCGTACAACAATGCTTCTACACAGCTTCATCCGTAAATTCATTCTTCGCGGTCTCTAATTCTAACTTCCACTCTCTTTGTGTACCCTGTTAATTTTGTTGTCAGAGGTGTGCTTTGATTTCGTGTTTATGGAAAAGAATAGTCTGGTGGAGAGTAGCAAATTCTAAGCACATTCATTAACATCTTATTAGTCGTTTTTAACTCATGTTAAATCCTATCATTGATGCGAATTCCCAGCGGTAAACATTTAATTTTCACTTTCCACTTTTATCAGGTTTTAGTAAAACCGTTTTACAGTTGAGCTATAGAAAAAGTCCGTTAAGTCATATTCTCAATGTTCACATTTTCTAGAAGTTTCAGCGTTTTAGATTATTTATAATAATTTGACCCAAAAAAAAAAGATTATTTATAATAACATGCTACAGTGAGCTGAGTAAGAATTGGCGTAATTTGTATTATGGCGCCTGACTTACGTTAATGTATGAGTGTTAACTTGCTTCACGTATACCATGAAATAGAATTCACGTAAGAAGAATGAAGTTGTAGGCTAACATTAGTAGGAACATCATTTAGATAATATATGAGTTTGTAATACGATCATGCCAGAGCCAAAGCTGTACCGAGGCTATTAAAGATACTCATGATCGGATATGATCATGTTATGATGTAAAATGTAGGCAAACAAATAATTGTGGTGAATAGTTACAACAATTAACAAAGGAGTTCAAACTCGAACATTAACTACCACCTCATCAATGAACTACAAAAGTTCCAGTGAGTTACAAAAAAAATAGAATGGTGATGTTGGATTAGTTTAGTTCTTCTTATATATGTTGATATCTAATTTGAATTTGACAAAAGATAAACGAAGGAAGGTGTAGGCTACAATCATCGGCATAAACACTATTTGAAAGATGAAAGTTTCTGATAAGTTGCATAAAAAAGTGTCAAGTATCATGCAACAATGATATATAAACGATTGTCAATCGAATCGTCATTTGGTGAATAGTCATCATAGCAACAATCAATAGAAATGTTTTTTTTTTTTTTTAAATTAGTCAATACTTGAACATCAACGGCCAAGTATTGTTAGCTTTGATCTCTACCAAAGCTTTAGATTAAGAACACAATAACACTTTTTTGGCAATTAAGATTGCCTATTTTTTTAGCTTTTTCATTTCCTTAGTCTTTAGAAATAGACAAATTAAACAAGAAGCAAAGTGGAGTCGTAGCTTCAACAACTACAATCAAGGAAAATATGAACGAGATGGCTCCACTCCTAAACATAAGAAGAACGGATTCTCCTCTTATTTCTAACTGAAGCAAATTACATAATTAAACTAAAAAGAGAAAGACAACATAAAACATAAAGAAAACTGGTTTTATTGGTGGTTTTGCAACTCCATCAATTGGATTTGATGTCCACTTATCCAAGGAGGACATCTCAACTTAATTTTGGAGTCCTTCTTACTTTTGGTGATTATGTAACAGTAATAAGAACAAAAGAATTTGTACTCTTGCTTTTTTATCCTTAAAATGAAGGGACCTTGGCAGCGACAATGGCAGCGGTGGCAAAATGGCCTTGAAGAGGTATTGTTAGACACCAATTCTATATAGTACTTGATCTTTCCGCCGTGTTTGGCGTACCTGATATCCCCAACTACACAAAAAACATGTAAAGTGACCCCGCAATCTTTACAAGTGTAGAACCAAGTCTTTGGATTTGTCTCTCTTTCGCAAATATCACACCAGTATTTGCCGCTTGCCTTTTCTTCACCATAACAAAGAGTGAGTGGATGATCATCATACCTGGGAAGCCTTACCGTTATTGGTAGAGTAGCACAACGGAAATCCAAAAAGTAATTGCATTTGGTACAACCTATGGCGACTCCTTTTTCTTCCATACCGCAACTCTGGCAAGTCTTCACGTTACCGTATTCTAGTTTGAGGTAGAGTAAATGATGATCATGACTTCCATGGATAAAAGGCACAGTAATCGAACTGCATAGTAAGTCAAAGTTCTCTTCCAAATACGACGAGTAAATGAATCCTTTGCAAAAAATTTGATGACAAGCTTCGCAAATTTCGTCGCCCATATGGCGTTGAAGGAGATGATAGCTAAGAGCCAGTGGTTGTGGGCTCAGAAAATGTCGTTTCTTCATAGGAAGATTTGCACAGGTTTCATGAAGAATGAAACTGCAATCTGATTCTGGACACTTGTAGAGTGAGCAAGAAGAACCGATGGGACAAACACATGCTCTACACAAGCTACTTTCTTCACTGCCTTTGTCGAGCCTCATAAGGTTATGGTATATATGAGCGAAATGATCGATTGTGTTGTCATCATTCCTCTTGAATGGCTCAACATCTTCAACTTCTTCGGGTACTCCGTCAAGCTCTTCCCCATCCCACACGTCAGCCCTTGTTGCGCATAGTGAATGAATAGCATAACGAGGACAAATGGAACAAATATAAGCCCCATATGACCAATCAATATCTTCCCAACAAACTCCACATCTCCATTCTCCAGGACCAAGAGGATACTTGAAGGAAACACGATGGTCATGGTGATTAACATGAATGACACGTGGTAATTGAGCACACCTTTGGTGGAAGATCATGAAATCACATTGAACACAGATGTAAGGAGAACGATCGCCTTTCGTCCCACAAGCATCACAGATGAAGGAGATCAGTTTTGGCATGAGTGTGAGTGTATGCTCATGGACCTTTAGACTTGAAAGAGCAACTGGTGGAGAGCTTTTAATCGCACAACGTATATCCAAATTGAACTTACAAATATCACAATGATAAAGTAAGTTCCCAGTGTCTTCTCCACATATATGACATCTTGGGTTTGTGTAATTTGGAGCTCCACTCGTGAGAAGCTTAAGAGGGTGTCTGACATGAGAAGAGAACTGAGTGATCTCTTGTAATTCAAATACACATTCCTTATGAATCACCAACCCGCAACGATAGCAGAGATAGCCTTGTCCGCCAAAATTCTCGTTACAAAAGTCGCACCTATTTTCAGGTCCAAAATCAAAAAATAGTAGAGGATGGGGGTGCCATGGCATATTATGATGAACTGGGCCGAATATGTGATCAGTTATGCAAAAAATGTCCAAATTGAGTTGACAATTAGAGCAATGATAAAGCAAGCGCTTGGTGTTGTTACCGCAGAGATGACATTTTGGGTCGGTGTGATCAGGAGCTCCGGTTGTAAGAAGCTTAAGAGAATGTCCATCATGAGAAGGGTGGTCGACTATCTCTTGGAACTTGAACACAAATGTACATTTTTCGTGAATATTAAACTTGCATTCGCTGCATGCATAGCCATCAACATTCAATCGATCACAAGCATCGCATTCCAAACCATCATGATCTTTAACAAGGGAAACAAAATGCTCGTGTCCTTCTAACTCTTTAGTCATGGCGGATGCGGTTAGCAGAGATACAGAGGATGGAAATCAACGTTTGGGGTTATAGCACTTTGGTTTCGTGTAATAATGGATCAATAGTGTTGTTTCTTTATATACTCTAATTAAATCAATGCTACGTGTTACACATATATGACGTTGATAAATATATATTAGTACAACTAGTTGGCACGTCGCTAGTCTTTGTTTAATTTAAACATTAATATCGATTGTCCCACTAGGGTTTTGTCTGCCATGTTTTGTTTGTTTACTTGGATTTTTTATATTCTTTTATCTTTCCTCTTTCAACTCTCATCTAGCTGCCACCGTTTAAAGTAAAAATATTTACTCTGACTTTAGATCAAAGATCGGTTCTTTCTAAATATATATATTTTTTAATTTTGCATTTCATGTCTTTAATATCCGTATTGTATATTTTCAGTGGTAAGAATATCCAGATTTTTTTGAGCCATCAAGATTTTCCCTGTTAACTAAGAGATATCTAAATATTTCATGGACTTGAAATTAATATAATAAAATATGATTAGCTGTTTTTCGAATTAATAAAAAAAAATTATATTTCATATTACAAAAATTTGTTATTTATACAACTTATAATTCCAAACACTTGGACTAATTATTTGACATATAAGTTGATGAGGGACCTTAATGCCATGAATGTTTTGGAGGTTTTTGAGTGGTTTTTAGATTATGGATTTTGGTTTATAGATTTTAGGTTTTGATTTTTGGTTTTTAGATTTTGCAGAAAAAATAAAAAAGAAATAAATGGAAAATAAAAAAAATTGGAATCCATGGCAAACATTCTAAAAACTAACAAAAACATTGAAAAAAACTGTCAAAATCTAGATTCCCTATTTTTTAAGAAAACCATTTTCTCATAATCTTGAATGGATGATTAAATAGTTTTTAAAAATCAAAAATCAAAAACCATGCTAGAAACTACTACTAGTCTACTACCCATTCAAAGCCAAAATATGAATTTGAAATGTTTCAAGTTTTCTTATAGTATTTATTAATTCATGTGGTGTGAAACTCTTATTATCTTCGTACTTTTGCTTTCGTAATAAATATATTATATGCAAGAAATTTTTTGTCCATTTTTTCTAAAGGACAATAGATATTTTGGTAAACTTTTTTCTGAATCAATTCAAAACTTTTTTTTTTTGTTAAAGAATTCAAAACTTTTTTTTTTGTAACGATGTTAAGTATTTATACCATTTTCGAAATTTTTGACAGAAGATACAAAGATAAACTAGTAGCGGAAAGACCAAAAAACTAAAAAGCAAAACGAGAAAAAAAATACTAACAAAAACACAACTAGAAAAGCACAAGTGATAACTCAACAAAAAGAGATCCGAGAAGAAACACCGATTTCGAACTACAAAGCTCGGGCATTCACATAATTTCCTCAGCTCCAAAGAGTTCGAGTCCTCATCGTATTTGCCACAAGCAAACTCTATCCTAAGCCCGTCCTTAAAACTTAGAATAGAAGGCCTACAGCTTCTCCGAGGATTAACGCGAAAACAGAAAAGCTATAGTGGACTTTATCGCATCCGGCGGCACGGGAGCATCTACGGGCAGCCGGAGAAGCCGTCTAAAGTGCATCACTCTCACATTTAAGTACTCAGAAACAAATGCTAGTGGTCCATGCATGCCACAACTCATTGCCTCTAGTTTAAGAGTGGTGCAAAACTATATGGAAAATAATGTATTTTCTTAGATATAGATAACATTTTCTTACACTTTTATTAGTACCAAGTTGAATCATTTTTTTTTAATTTCTCAATCACTTTACGACTCAACATATTTTGATAAGCTGAGGTGAACCGTCGTTATTGTCGGCTCTCTCCCTTTGGCAATTAGAACCTCTCTTTCTTATTTTTTTAGTCATTTATTAGTTAAATCGTAGAAGACAATCTCAGATAGAGGAAAAAAATGGAAAGGGATCGAGATTGATTGAAGATGGAATTGTATGTTTTTTTTTTCTTTTTTCCAGGTCAAGAAGAAAAAGTTGGTCTTTTCCCCTTCTTTGACAATCTAAGTTTTTGTATTTTTTTCTTAAAATAAATTAATAACCCAACATATAAAACATTGTCTTCCGAATATATGCAATATCTGACTTTCTTTATTTAACACATTAAGTGAATACTTGCACTAGGCTGCATGTTTTTCTAGATTGGTTTTTCGAAATACCATTTAAATCATAAAGTTTAGTTTGAATTTTTGCTAAAATAGTCAAATTTCGTTGACTTGGCCATTTTGGGTATGTCACTAAATTTTCGTTAACGAGGTTAACTTTCTGTTAAAAGTTTTTGTTAAATCGAAACAAATTCTTTGTTAAATCGAAATGACGTCGTTTTATTAGAAAATAATAATGAAAAATTGCATCCATGTGGAATCGCACTACTAATCTTTTGGACTCATAAGAGACTATCTACCCCTGAGTATGACAACAGTTTGGTATAATAGCAAACATAACATATATATATATACTAACAAATAACAATATACAATTAATTAAAAATATATGCAATTAATTAAAAATAACAAAACTAAAAAAAATACCCAACATATACAAATATTAAATATACTTACCATAAATATATATTTTGAAACTTTAAATATTCAGTTTTATATATAAAAATTTCTTCTATATTAAGAAATTATTTTTACCTAGATTATAAAAATAAATAAAAAAACAAAAATTTATAGAATATAGACAATTAAATATATGACCTAAAATTTGTACAATCTTTCTCATTCTATCTTTAATCCTAAAATTTATACAATCCGTTGATAAAATTTTTTTTTTTATATAATCCCTAATCCTTCATTTATATGAGAAGAATTGTATAAATTTTAGGACATATACTTAATTTCCTATATTCCATAAGTTTTTTTTTAATTTATGAAAATATAATTTCTAAATATAGAAGAAATTTTTCTATATAAAACTAAATATTTAAAATTTTAAAATATATATTTATAGTAAGTATATTTAATATGTGTATATGTTTTGTTTTTTAGCTCTTTTGTAATTTATTGCATATATTATTAATTATATGTATATTGTTATTTGTTAATGTGTATATATATATATATATATATATATATTATGTTTACTATTATACCAAACTGTTGTCGTAAATTAGCAGTGGAGAATCTCTTATAAGTTATAAGTAGTTAAGTACAAAAGATTAACAGCTCGATTCTCCATACACGCAGTTTTTTCGTCGTTATTTTCCAATAAAACAACGTCGTTTTGAAGCATCGCATTTCAATATTTCGTGACCATCACGATTCTTAACGTAAGGATACAAGGTGCTCATGTCCGTCTAACCCATAACCATGGCTGTTGCGGTTAGCAGAGATGGAAAGAATGCAAATTAATGATTGCGTAATATCACTTTGGTTTCGGGTAATAATGGATCAATATAGTTGTTCCTCTATATACTCTAGTTATATTAATGCTACTTGTTACATTATCATGTACATTAATATTGCCGTTGACAAATCTATATTGCTACAAGTAACTAGTGGGGACATAGTTAGTCTTTGTTTAATTTAAACACTAATATCGATTGATTTGTCCCGTTCATATCTTGTCTGCCATGTTATTTTGTTTACTTTGATTTTTATTTTTTAATCTTTGCTCTTCTAACTTTCAAGAGGCAAGTTTTGTTCCTTTTCGATTGAATAAAAGAAAATTTAATCTCATTGTATTAATAATAGAAGGAAGACGTCAAAGTTATGACAGCTAAACATTGAGCCGACGATGATACCTTCGAGATTAGTCACTAAAAAATATTAAACTTGTAATAAAATTCGAAAGTTTAAAGTTAAAACTATATAATAATGTTAAGAACACGATGCTCCTACTGTCCTACTTTCAATCAAACGGTGTGCTTAATAATTGGCTTTTTTGTGGGCTAATTTATATATTACACGAATATACTATTGGGCCTTATGTAAATAGTTATTGGGCCCATAATCATTTTCCGATAACCCGAGTTTGTATATTCGAAGCTGATCTCTAAAATCTTTCAATTTCGAGAATCAAAGTCACTCACCTCTTTCTTCCCTGAAATTCGCTACTCAGAATTTTCCCGCTCCACCGCATTTTCACGGCGAATGGAACCACCAGTTCCGCCGACAGCGAGTGCCATAGACGAAGACGAAGATTGGGAACTTTTCAACGACGATGGCTTCGTTTACAAACGAAAAAAGCGAAGCCGTATCGCCGACGCTGAAGAAACATCGAAACCGCCGGATCCAGAGTTAGATCCGGTAGTAGAAGAGAGGAATCGAAGGATACGGAAGAAGAGAATACTGGTGAAGCTCAAAAGAAAGTACCAGAGTGAGATCGAGCAGTGGGAGATTTTATCGAACAGTTTGAATTCTATGCAAGTGAAAGCAGATCGATTTCAATCGACGCAGCGAGAAGAGAGGTTAAATGCGAACGAAACGATGTCGTTTCCGGAGAATTCTTCTTCTACAACAGAAGGAGCTCGAGAATTTCGTGGAGAAGATGCTTCTGCGCCGTCGTCTATGCTCGACCAACTTCTTTTTATGGTAATTAGGGTTTTTTTTTTTTTGGTATTTACTCAAATTCGATAAAATTCTTCGTTTTTGAAATTTGAATTTGAAATTTTGTAGGCGGAAGCACAAGAAGCGGTAATTAACGACGTCTCGAAGCTGTGTGAAGTAGCAGAGAACATATGTAGAATAGAAGAAGAAGAGAAGAAGCAGTCCTTCTTTGATCTTCCCATATGGAGCTCACCAACGGATCTAATGGCGTCGCTTTGTGCTGATTAACCTCTAAAGTAATCATCTTTTGTGGTTTATCTGAGCTCTCTACTTAGTTACGTTGTACAATGCGTGTGGTTTGTGTTGCAATTGTAGAGTTTCTGTGTTAGGCTCAAATTAGGAGGTGTTCGGGGTTTTGATATAGAGAAATGTGAATCCATTAAGATATGGTATGGCTTGTGGATTGGTTATTTGGGTTCAGGTCAGTATGTTTGTCTAAGCTCATCAATTATGTATATTTATTTTTGCCTTACCTCAAGATGTTTAAGCACTAAATAGAATCTCTATAAATCATTACTATCTTAAGGCAAACACAAGTAATTGAACTGAGTACTTGTTTGATTGTTTCAACAAAATATGAAAAGCGGAACAGGCTGCGGTAACTTAATATCACATTGTGTTTCATTGTTAAAATGTAGATGAATCTGCAAAACGTAAGACAATGGTAATAACATGTTTCGAGCAATCTAAGAAGTTGGTAGATAATTTAAAGAGTTATAACTAAAAGATTAAGCAACGAGAATTGTCAAACATCAAAATAAACCACCCAAGACTGTACAAGTTCCATTACCTGATGAGAGAGCATTTTAGAGGACATAAAATCTCTACTACTTAGTTCAATGGTCAGTCTTCTTCAGATTCCGCTTGAGCTTCTGATTCGTCCCCAATATCCTCTAAAAGCTTATCAACATCAACTCCTAATTCTATCAGCTTCGCGCTTAGTTTCTCGACCTTGCTCTCCTCTTGTCCCAAACATACTAACAAGTCGTTTAATTCATCTTCGCTCTCTTTCTGAGCTTCTTTTCTCACTTCTTCCTTAATGGCTTCTATATCAGGAACCTTCATCGGATCTCCTCCTTTCAAGGATTTCACTTCCTGCTCAAGGTGGTAATTCGCTTGTTCGAGACTGTTGTATGCATCCGATAAGCTTTTTAGATCCGACTCAAGTTTCGCCGCCATGTTCTTGTAACTTGATGCCTCGGATTCGATCTTTGCTTTTTCAGCCTTAACCGTCTCTAAACGCTGAGATGTCTCCTGAAGTTCTCGCCTGATGCTTTCCATCTGAACCTTGTCCATGACTGTACTTGCTCTTTGCTCTGATCCTTGAGATTGCTCATTCCTGCCAGAGCTAGCTACGTCTTCTGCCAAAGCAGCGTTACGAGCTAGGAGGTTCTGCAAAAAACAGGCCGCAACAACAAATAGCTCTTTCAGGCACAACTGATGTTCAGATTTCCTTTTTTCTTGGTTAGCCTTAACAAATATATATCAAATAAATAAAGAGATCTATTGTATAATTTGCTTTCCCCCTGTGAACATACGACATAGTTATCCTTAATCCAATCTTAGCAAAACCTGATGCTTCCTCCTAGGCCTACTTCCTCCTAAACCCATCCCAGCAAAAACTAATGCTTCCTCCTAAACCCAATCTTAGCCAAACCTAATGCTTCCTCCTAAACCAATCTTAGCCAAACCTAATGCTTCCTTCTAACAAGATGCATCTTCGCAGATACTTAGTGCTTACTATATTCTGTTTCCGTTGTAACAAGATGCAATCCTTCCGAATCCTGATATTTTAGCAGAACTGCCTTAACCTCAAATCTATTTCCAAATTTCATAGTGAAGAGTCTCAAGTTTTTTTCATTATTGCAATCAAAGAGCTAAATGTCATACTTTCAGATACGCTTATTGTATTAGACTCAGTAGCATAGACGAGTTGAGAAGAGGCATGTACCTGAATTTCCGAGCACTGTTTCTCTATAAAGGCTTTCAAGCGGTTGATGTAGTCTTTCTCGGTTTCTCCGCTCTTCTGCTCCAAATCTGCTGGTACTACAGCCACCTCACTTTTTGGCCGACTATACACCTCCACTATTCTCTCTCTGATGTTGCCTTCCAGGCTCTTCACTAAGCCTATGAAACTAGCATCAAACAAAGACAAGAGCATTGGGTGATCCTCATTCCCTCTAACCATTTCATCTGCCCCATCCACCTCATTAATCTCGGCTTCACTAGGCGTGGCTGTTCTTGTCAACGGTTTATAACCCTGTTGAGGTTTCTTGGAGGTAGAGAAGATGAAGCTGTTCTGCATCTCTTCAAACTTCGAGAAGTATGATGTAAGCCCCATCTTCTGGCCCACAGCATCAACTACAGCAAAAGCATCTTTACCATTCTCAATTGATTTATTGTAAATGACGCATTCTCCCAATAGAATAGACGCCAATCCCCTTATGCAAACTGTTGCAGCTGGGTCTGTTACCAGCTCGAGCAAAAACGTTAGGTGGTGGCGAGAATCTAAAAAGCACTGAACTGCAGCCGGACAATCAACAGTCCATGTCACAAGCAGTTTTAAAATGATCTGTTGAATATATGATTTCCCCAGTGTGCTTGATTTATCTTTGCTTTTCATGGAAGAAGCAACAGCCAGGTATCTGACAATCCTCTGAAAGAGAGGCTCTGGAGTTCCCATGGAAGGCATAGGTGATTCAAGTACGATTTTCAAAGCCTATTGAGTTTTGCAGAAAGTCAGCCAATGCAGGGACAACAAAAATATTGCATAGAGAACATAAGGTTAAAGTGATGACTTAGTTACCTTTTCCTTGCACTGAAGGTTGTCCTTCACAACATGAAAAAGAATGCTTGCAGCTCTGCAACATGTCTGTTTAAAGAAGAAAAAATAAATTTAAGATCCGGAATGCTTTTAAATTAATATCCAACAGAGAGAAACAATTTTACCTCAAGATCACCATCAGCTTCACCAGAACAAAGGCCTCGTAACAACATACTGACACATATAGATCAAAATTGGATAAGTTTTAATACAAGAGAAGTAGCTCAAAGTTAAAGGACCATGTAAACTCGCAATGAGAATGAAGAGTGAGATCCCTTCAAAACAACACTGCAAAAGCTGCGGAAGAAAGAAAAAGAAGATGGCACCTTCCAAATGACATGTGAACATCATCTTCTAGAGGATCTCGGGCTGTGGGATGTGGTTGAGGTATTAAAGTCGAAGCTAGCATTGTTTGACCCTCGGGATTTTTCTGAAAACGTTTAGTGAATGAGATTCTAGATAAAGACGCAATCACATGCTATATTAGAATATGCAATCTCACATTAGCCTATGAACTAAAAATATATCAGACAAAAAGTAAACCTCACAGAACGTCTTGAAAACGTAATCAGCTGCAACAAACTCTTGAATATTGGACGTCTGTAAAATGATCCTGAGGATAGAATTGAGTGCAGGTTCTACTTGCCGATCTTCACCAAGAACTTTGCTAGCAAGGATATCACGGTTCTTGGGATGTCCATCAATTAGATCTCCAATGCATTTAAATGTCTAGCAGCAAAGAATCACAAAGCAAAAGACCCATTATAAAAGAAACATCAATAAAATACTTGGACTTCAGACAACTGCTCAGCAGTTGGCTTTAAAAATGTGCAACAATCTCTAGAAAAAAAAACTGCTAATAGATCACTGTAAGCATATCAGTATTCAGTTCCATAGTCAACCTAGAAACAAGGTTCAACAGTTGAATTCTAGAATCTAAATGAAAAAATTCCTAACTTATTGTCAGTTGCGCAAATCAGGAAAGTAATTTTGATTTACAATGAAATATGAATGATAACAAAAAGTCAAAAAGGGAAAGGGACTAAAGGACAAAAATTTGACTAAAGAAGATTTGCTTACCATGCAGCGAACAGCAACAGGCGCCCATTGGCTTTCAACACCCAACATCAGAAGGTGGTCTAGCAGTTTTTTCTGTTGTTGGATCAAATACGATAGAATAAGAAACATATTTGTTTTGGTCTACAAAGAGGAATTACAACATTTGTGTATCATAACAAACCTGAACTAAAACTGTTCTATTTGCCAACTTGTTTGAATCTTTTCCAGGCTCCGTGTCTGCACCTCCCATGATCAGCATATTAATTGTCTCCAGTGCACTAAGTAGATTAACAGTCTACTGGGATTTTGTTCATTCAGAAGGACAAAGATTAACAAAATTGCATGAGCTGGTAATATAAATCCAAAATACGAGAAGCACTCAATGATCTAACCTTTTGCTTGGTAAACTTATATGTAATCCCTCGCAGTTTTAGAATTGAAATGATCGGTTCAAAACCCATGGTCTCCCTTAGTAGTATCTGTACAAGTTAAAATATCAGCCTTTGTTTGGATCTAGTAAATTAATCAGAAAAATCAAGACCAGAAACAAAGCTTCAAAACCTGGTTTGATGAACTGCTGCGAAGAAGATTGTTCAACAACTCCAGACAGTCCTGTGAATAAAGAATAAAATTAGTGCAAGTGCATGGGCAAGGAACTCGAAGTTAAGCATAAGCAGGCAATCCCAAAGCATGCTGACAGTGCTCGTAAAAAAATTCAAGAAGACAACATAAGGAAATGAAAAAGCCAATAATTAGGAGAAGTGGCTTCTTCATTTATCCTTTTTAAATGCCAAATTTTTAACAGATTACAAGTGCTACAAATATTTTTAAAGAGCTACTGGTCACCTGCACAACCACATCGCCATCTGACCCCCCTTCTTCCTTAATGATGCTAAAAATCTTTTCAAATGCACCTTCAAAGACAACGATTTTTTGGATCTCCTACAAGTGCAAGATCGATCAATCAATGTCTGCCCTCAGCTCAAGGCAGAAGAAAAGGAACAGTTACAAATATAACCAGGAGGTCTCACCTCTGCTTCACGAGTCAAGTGCGTAAGAAGCAACAAAGCCTCGTTCCGGATTACCTGCAAGGCATACACCAAATAATAAAGTTTACAAACACAATATCCATCCCTTCCAGAGTTCACTGTCTCATAACCTCCTATTTGAGGTTGACAGGAGGTTAAAGAGATCAGACTGTTAAGCAAACCAATAGCAAGATTATACATATCCAATATATATAGTTAATTGTTTACCTCTCTATCCATTAGCATATCCATGAGTCGAGTTATACCGCGAGGAGTGGTCAAAATAGCTTCCTGCAACCTGAAGAGACAGTCAGCAAAAGTCTCTATAGCATATAGATAGAAAAATGACACAGAGATTATCCTAAGATATATACCTGTTTTGAGAATTCATAAGCAGAGCTGTCAAAATCTGAAGAGTGTAATATCGAACATAAAAGTCTTCTTCCTCCTGTCATGCCACCAGGAAAACAACCATATGATGCACACAAAAACGAACACAAATAACTTTTCTAGTTCGAAAATATAGAGTAAACTCTAACCAGCAAACTCAAAAGAAGAGTGATATTTTCAGCTTCACGGGAGAGCAAGTCAGAGTTCATAAGAGCTGCATGGACTTCAGTCTTCTGTACCCTTGCATGATCGATTGGCGTTAGAGCGCCAAGAAGAGTTTCTAAAGCACCTCGAACCTGGACAGTCAACAAAACTATAAGTTGAGGAATAGCACAACACAGTAACATCAACAAGAAATGCAACATACTCTGGATAATACCAAGGTAAAACAACAAGATATTTATAAGTGCAAATTTCATAGTTAAGAATCAACACTAGACCAGAATCCATACTGAAAGAAATTTACAGCATTTTCCTGTTTCCACCTCCCCTTTCCAATTGATTTGTCCCCTGGACTTGTGGACCTTTTCTGATTCTGAATTACACGTCGCTACACTATTTGCGACGACTACGAAAAATAGAATTACAAATGCTACTCTCCCAAAACTACTTTGTTTGAAGAAAGAAAAAAAAAATCCATCTTTAATAAACTTTGCTTCAACGAAAGTTACCACATTTTCCATAAAGTGAAGGTAAGAGATTGTGTTATGACGTAAGTACAAACAGCAATATGCACAAACTAAGTAGGAACAAAAGAAATACGAAAAGAAAAGAAAAGAAAGGTACAGCACCATTTCAACATCATCCCGCTGGTCCTTTAGGATGCCCATTATCACAGGAAATCCTGAAGTTGACAGAATGTAAATTGTAACTTGGGATTTTATCTCACAATCAATCAGACACATAACATAAAACAGAAAGAAACTTACCGGCTGCTCCAAAAGCTAATTGAGCAGCATTACTTTCTGCTACAACAGACTGAAGTTCTACTATAGCAGTTCTCCTATCGTCAGGCAAGGTACCATTACTTATACGATCCAGCAGACGTTGAATGTAACTATGAAAATACAACAAATAATAATAAAAACCTCATTAATTAATTTCTCGAATACCTACAGGCCATGATAGCCTATATCTCCCGACTCGGCAAATAAAAGAGAAAAAACCGTACCTGTCTTCATTCGAAGACTGATTGTCGCCAAAAACCATTCCAACAACCCCCTGTACAAGTTCATAAAACAAGTTAACAACAAGCATAAACACCGGGAAATTGGGTAATGCTGCTGTTAAAATAGCATAACAACATTTCATGAATTACAAATATAGTGTAAAGCTCTCTGCCACCTTCATGATAGGAACACTATCAGTCACTCTCTACACCCTTGAGAATCTACTAAAAATCAAATAGAAATCGACACCGAGAAAATGCAAAACAGACTCCTCTCAAAAGTTAAAGCAATTCGAAAACCCCGAAAAAAAGAATAAAACATGCATTCGATCCAAAACAGTTGAATTAAGCTCACAATCACAGAAAATATTCACCTTATAACGGGATGCCAAATCCATATCTCTTTAGCCACGAAAAATCACCTGAAACAACATAAATCGAGAAATTCACACCAAAATTGAAGCAGAAGCAATGCAAATCAACATAAAAACGAAGAATCAGACTACAAAACCCTAGAACTTCGAAATTTATCACACAAAGAGGGAAAACAGAAATTGAAAATGGAGAGAATCGAACAGCTTACACAGACTTATGTAATACGAACAAGATCAAAACAAGGAAGAAGAATCTTCCAGCCAATGGAACCGTTATAGATCGCAGCGATCTCTTCTTCACAAGAGTCTCTCTTTTTTGTTCACCTGACCGATCTGTTCAAGCAAAGTCAGAAAGCTGATAAACCGTTCGATCGTCACGATGAAATTGTTTTTTTGTTTAAAGGGTGAGAGAAGAAGATCGATGATGTACTGTACTCATGCCCGCACTAGATAACTTGCTCTTGAGAGATTATTATTGACTTATTGTCTCAAATATAGGCCCATTTAAGTCTAGTGGGCTTTAAGCCTAACCAGTCCAGTTCAACTGTGGAAGTTTTTTTTGGTGGATGATTGTGTTATGCTTATAGTTAATTAATGTTCAAAAAATCGTTGTGGTAACTAGGCGTTTGATAGGGATCTATCGTCTAAAGGACTAAAGCGATTAATCGGGGTCTAAACGTTAAAAAATTATTGACTTAATTTGTATATGTTTAGAGTTTATATATTACTAGTTATATAGCATCCATTTTGAAAAAAAAACTAACATAATGTGTTCACTTATTTCAAATTTAAATTTGAATTTAACATAAAAACAAATCAAAAACCATAAAGTTCAAACCCATAAACAAAAATCAATTAAAAAAAAAAGTTAAAAGCTAAAGATCAAGATAATCAGTTGAATCTTTTTTATATCAACCTTTTTTAGTTAAATGAGGTCATATTATCCGACATAAACATTAAAATTAAAAAATAAAAATCAAATATGAAATCAAAAAATTAACCGATTTGGACTGATTTAGACCACTTAAACACGGTTTCCGATTTTTTCCAGTGATTTGATGAAACTCCTTTTGGTTGAGACCGCCTAGACGGTACCTAAAGCCAATTTTGAAATTGTTTATAGTGTTTACAACTCAAATCTTTGCAATAACTAATATCTAATTAATTTTAAAAAAAAAGACACGTATAGAGTTGACAAAATATAAAAATATATGTCACTCAAGTAGCACATAGTCAACAAAATTCAATGGTCAAGAAACAAGATTTGAATTGAACCAATCAATAAAAGGTAGAGTTTGAATAATTATACACTCGCTTACTTGTATAAGAATAGGAAAGATAAACTAATATAACAATGATAATGATCTAATAAGACGTTGTTAATTAATCCGTGTGTAAATGGTTAGGCAGTTGAAGATCCGAGTTTTATAGCGTAAACTCGTACAGATTTTAGATTCGTCATTATACATGTTATGGATGAAGATATTGGGGTCGAACATAAAAAACTGGTTAATGTAAAAAAGTAATATCCGTAAGGATTCATTGGTGACAAGGTTTAGTCATTTTTAAATGTATAATAACGATCGATGCATTCTATAGCTAGCGCGATCAATGGACTTAATTGTTCAAAAACAAATACTACTATATGTTAGTCTCTAACACATAGAATCATGATAAACTGTTCAATTGGCATACATACGGAATCTCGAAAAGTTTATATTTACTAGTTTATATAACTTCCAATATTTAACGTAATTTGAAATTTATAAACCTTATAGAGTTTTGGATGTAACTTGCTTTAAGTTTAATCAAACCCTTTAACAAAAAAAACTTGCTTTAAATTTTCTGGCTTGTTATTACAAGACCATTGCAATTTTTTATTTTTCACACATGACATTAATGAAAGTTAAAAGTTTGGAATATTTCTAGGCCAAGCCTAAACGAAAACAATCACAACTAATAATATAGTGACGGGAATAAACGAATATGCTTTGAAAACGAAGTGTCCAACAAAATCCAATATGAGTGGTGATCAGGCCCGGCCCGTCCATAAGGCAACTAAAGCATATGCTTTAGGCCACATACCATATAGAAAATAATGAGGCCACATTTTAAAAAGTCTCAACAGTCTAGTGGCTTTTCCTCTGTAGCATTTACTGATTCCCTCCCAGTTTCGAGTCTCCTCGGTTGGTTTTTGTCCTTTTTGTTGTGTTATTAATTTATTTAAAAAAAAAAAAAAATTCAAAGCCATATTTTTAAAATTATGCTTTAGGCCACTTAAAATCTAGGACCGGCCCTGGTGGTGATACATCGCTGGGGATGAGGCATGTTCGTTGCACGTCTTGGAGACTCTTTATTAATATTTTTATTTTATTAAGAAGATACACTTTGAAAGTAATATTATGTATAAAATTACATCATCCTCATGTGTTATGTGTATTCACGTAATTGGATTATTAGATTGATTCTATGCTTTTACTTTTCCATCAGTTAGGCCATAAGCGACGACGACAAGATTGCACATGTCTTTTGAAAATATTCAACTTTAGTTAAGAACTTGTACCACACAAATATGTGTGATGTTCAGTTTGGTGGATTTTCATGTTCGAGTCTTTGTCTATATAATGACAAGCCCGTCTATATACATAATGAATGGTTAAATTTATTTATGCAACATAAAGTGTTTAATTTTGAGACAACATTTGTGGTTACACTTGAGCCATTTGAATTTGACTGTGTCTTTTATTATACCAAATTAGAAATCGTGAACGACATGCATCAAATAACAACAATTTACATTTTATGGATTGTATGTTTGCTGGTCGGAGATTCCGGTCCTTTCACTAGGTCCGCCTCTACCCCTAAACAAGGTAGGCAAATGCCAAGGATCCAATATAAATTTCAAAAAATTTCTTAAAGAAAAAAGGTTCAAAATATATATATTTTTTAAAATTACTTAGATTTTACTTTTTTTTTTTTGGTTTTGACATATGTCTCATTATATATTGAGATGGTACTACCTTTCACTCCTGGATGTTTCACTTGTCCTACATTGTGAAAATATGGATTGCTCGAAAAGAAGATGTAAGCTTTCTCTGATCTAAAGTTTTAAGGATTGACGTAGGATTGCAAACGCTTGTGGCTTCTCCGAACCTAATTTAAACTCGTCTCTTCGCTATGATGATTTTTTCGTAGTAAAGTTCATGATCTGTCGTAGCTTGGCAATTTTCTTGGTCTATCGCTTTGTGATTTTCTGTTTTTGTTGTTGTAAATTTCAAGTTTTGTTGTTGTAAATTTCATGTTTTACAATATGATCTAATTAACATATCGCTTAGTAACTCGATAACCACGTTTTATTAAACCGTGATTATCGGTTGGACCCGAATTTGACATGAGTTAATCTGACCCAACGTCTCACAAGTCACAACGACTGAATCACATTGCCATTTTAGTAAAATCACTTTGTGGGGTTGTCAAAAAACAGTGTCGTTTTCGGGTTAAAATCGAGAAAACGGCTCGTCGTCACTCGCGATGCGTTGGCACTTACCGTTAATTAAAATTCACATATCATCGACTCACCACGTTTGCAAACCCCACGCGTCAACTAAAACTTCAACCGTAGGATTTCATTACTTAAATCCAACGGTTTTAACGCGTTTCTAAAATCTGAAACAGAAAGTTTCTTCGTAAAGTCGAAAACCTTTAAAAAACACTCCGATTCTATTTTATTTTTCGTTCCTAATAATAATAAAAATTTAATATTCTTTTTAGGTTTTTCTTGTGGAGAACATTAAAAACGAAATCTATAGTGTTTATTTATCGCCTTTTGTCTTTTCGAATTACGAGATTCCCGTTACTTTTAATTCCATTATTTCTTTCTTCGACACAGATTGAGAAAAAAAAAATTCGTGAGAAGTTCCAAATTTTCCTATATCTCCGTTTCTGGGTTTTTTTCTTCTCTTTCAATTCACAATTTTTTGGTTGGTTTTTTTTTCTTTCTGGGTATTTAATTTTGGGATTAACCGTTTGCATTAGACGAATAATCAATTGTTTCTAACAATCAAAATCATGTCCGATGGATACAACAATTCGAAGAAGACAGATGATATTTGCGAAGATGTTTGTGGACAGGTTTGTTTGCTTAAATTTATTATTTTACGCACTTGAAATTTTTTTTTTTTTTCTTTTTGAAATCGGTTTCTGTGAACAAAATTGTAAATTTTTGAAGAATTTAATTCACAGAAAAGATTGAAAATTGCATAAACGTAATTGATGAGAAATTATGAAAGCTCTTTTTTTTTTGTCTAAAAGAAATGATTTTTTTTTTTTTTTTTTTTTTGGTAAAAAAAAGAAAGAAAGAAATGAAGAAAGAAGAAAGAAAGAAATGATTTTTAATTGGTCAGATTGTTTTCTGTTGCTTGAAAAAATCTTTGAATTTTTCCTACACTAATATGTATAAAGTAATAATTTTTCAAAAATTAATTTGTCTTTCTTGATGTTATTGTTAAATTGTTTCATCTCTTATGAATTGTTTTTATTTATTTTGCAGGGATCAAAAGCAGCAAAAACAATCTCAAGGCTTAAATGTGTTCTTAAAGGTTTTGACTTAAGAACATACTTGTTTCTCTTTGTGTTGATGCCATTTGGTATCTTAGCAATTTATTTACATGGTCAAAAGTTCACTTATTTCTTTAGACCTCTTTGGGAATCACCTCCAAAGCCGTTTCAGACCATTCCTCATTACTATAATGAGAATGTAACAATGGAAGCTCTCTGTAGTCTTCATGGTTGGGGAACTAGAGAATCACCGAGACGGGTTTTCGACGCGGTTTTGTTTAGTAATGAGAAGGATCTTTTAACTGTTAGATGGAATGAGCTTTATCCTTATGTGACTCAGTTTGTGCTTCTTGAATCGAATTCGACGTTTACGGGTTTGCCTAAACCTTTGGTTTTTAAGAGTAATAAGGATCAGTTTAAGTATGTGGAGCCGCGGCTTACTTATGGGACGATTGGTGGACGGTTTAGGAGAGGCGAGAATCCGTTTGTTGAAGAAGCGTATCAGCGAGTTGCGTTGGATCAGTTGCTTAGAATTGCTGGCATTGAAGAGGATGATTTGTTGATAATGTCGGATGTTGATGAGATTCCGAGTGCTCATACGATCAATCTTTTGAGATGGTGTGACGATATTCCTCCGGTTCTTCATCTTCAGCTGAAGAATTATTTGTATTCTTTCGAATACTATGTCGATAGCAAAAGCTGGAGAGCGTCTATACATCGTTACACTCCAGGAAAAACGCGGTATGCTCATTTCCGTCAGAGCAATGTCATGCTAGCAGATTCCGGATGGCACTGCAGCTTCTGTTTCCGTTATATAAGCGAGTTTATATTCAAGATGAAAGCTTACAGTCACTCGGACCGTGTCAGATTCTCTCATTACCTGAATCCAAGGAGGATTCAAGATGTTATTTGCAAAGGAACTGATTTGTTTGATATGTTACCAGAGGAGTACACATTCAAGGAGATTATCGGCAAAATGGGACCTGTACCTCGGTCTTATTCAGCTGTTCATCTTCCATCATACCTACTGGATAACGCCGAGCAGTACAAATACTTGTTGCCCGGTAATTGCATAAGAGAAAAACAGACAGGGTTTATATAATGATTGCACTTAAAGTGTTCTTTCTTGTATAGTTCTAAGCTTCAGGGCTTTTGCATCATTCTTGAGATAAAAAGAGCAAAATTTTGCGCGAAAGAGAAGAAATTGAAGAACGTAACGCCATGATTTGTATTTGATACTTCGCCAGGAAGCTTATATAACCCGAGTGCTGGATATTTCTGCAGTTTCTTTTGATACAGGATGGTTTGCGAGAAAAAAAAAGGAGCTTACTTTGAGTTAGAGCAGCACAACACTTCCCAGGTTTTTTTAACAATGGGAAAAAATGTTGTTGCCTAAGGCTGATTTGGTAGTATAGATGTTTCAGGATCCATTTGTTTATATAACAATTTTCTTCGCGGTTCGTTGTTCTGATTTTAGTTCTGGTTATATCAGTTACTTGATTATTCTTATTCAGTTTCCATTTATCTATTAAGTCTTCTTTACTCTGATCATTTTTGACACAGTTTCTTGCTTCCATGTTTTCTCTGCAAAAAGTTTTCTTCTTTTCAAGTTTAAGCTGTGTTGTTATTGTAGTTGTCATATTCTTGATTGTTCTTGAGCTTATCTCTTTCTTTTAAGGGTATTTTAGGGGTTAAGCAATACTGAGAAGATGCTGATGAATTACTTTTTTTGAATGCCAACTTAGCAATGAATCAAGAAGCAAAAAGTGGCAAAAAGAATCCTTTGCTTTCAAGTTAGATTGTTAAATGTGTTATCTTTAAAAGGATTCTTGCACTAATCTGCCATGTGTCTGTGTTATTCATGAAACTGCTTTGAACAGATTGTCTTTTAACTTCAAAGAGGAGGTTACCTTATTGAATACGTATAGTCTCATAGAGCCAATCTCAATAGTGGACTTTTACAATTTCGTGAAGCATTTTAGGGGAATTTAAAAGAGAAACTATTGGTTCTTGTCATACAAATCATCTTAATTTGCTATTGTGATACCATAATCTGAATTACATATGCAAAGAACAGAATTTGGCTTATCATGTTCTTTATCTTTCACTGAGTTATCAGAAACTGAACCTAACAATAGATAGATCAGTCTTTAGTATTCAGAATAGGCACCAACGAAGACAAATAACAATATCAGAAACTCTATGATCTCGAAGTCTTCATATCTAATCACTATCCCAATCTTCATCTCTCTGCTTTCCACTCTTAGTTTTTGAATTGTTGATACCATCTCTTGAACTATTGTTCCTGAATCTCGGTTGTTTAGATGAAGATGCTGATATCGTTCTGTTTTCATCCTCGTCATCATCACTGCTCGAAATGTAATTAGCCGGTGGTGCATCTTCTTCATCTTCTGAATCCCACATTGTGTTATCAAGATCACTCAATACATCGTCATCACTCCTCACTTGAGGCTGAGGTCGAGGATCGGGGCTTCTTCTCTTAAAATCCTCTCTCGGCCTTCTTGTGTTTGTGTTTGATGATCTTGCTCTATCAAATCTCTTTGGAATTTCATCATCCTCAGAATCCAATTCACCTTCGTCATCTTCATCACTATCGTTGGGTCTCCTCTGGCTATGTGTATCCCTTTCATATCTTCTAAAGCCATGACTTGCATCTCCATAACTACGCAATTCAGGTGTTCTGCTTCTTCCTGCAAACTCTTCTCGGTTCCAATACCTTATCCTACCAGATTCCTCTTGCTCTGCAGCTTCCTCTTCCTCCCACTCCTTGTCTGCTGCTTCTTCTATCTCAGCTATGAATCTGTCTAGCTCCTCCTGGTCACTATCTTCATCACCCGGTTCTGATTCTTCTCTATTGTCATCACTAACGCCTCGTTCTGATTGTTTACCTCCATGGAAGACATACGGGGTTCCTTCCTTTTTGTCGATTGCATTGAAGAATGTTGAGGCCACTCTCTGGATGCTAGCCATTGCAACCGGATCTTCAGGGTTAACGCCCATTCTCCGTAGCTGCTGTTCTGTTTTCTTTATGTTCAGCTTCTGAGATTCAAGCGCTTGTTCGAATCTCGCTTTGAATAAAGCCTGCAAAACATAAATACTTGTTCATACCATACCACTACAAAACAATTGTTAGAGCAAGCCACACTTCAATGATTCATAAATAAACCTAAAGATTATCTGACCCGAAGATTTGTGCTTTGAGGATGTCATTAAGAAACCTAAAGATTCCTAACACGTATAGTTTTAGATCAACCAAAGTCCAATTCTTAAGACTAAAATCAATCATACTTTAACCACATGATTCTCAATTTTAAGGAAGAATCAAGAAACTGAAACTTTAAATTCAAAGATTTCTAATACTGCTTTACCTTCCGTTTCGTGAGGGTGTTGACAGGGATTAGGTTCTTGGGCTGCCGGTAGTTTCTACCACGGAACATAATTATAGTTTTTACATTATGTATGTTAATGACTACCCCGCCGCTCAGTCTCGCTATCATGCTCGCCATCTCTTTAATCTTTTCCTTAGGGAAGTTATCGCAACAAACTTGCACAGTCTCATGAAACTTCCAGTGCATATGCATATTTTGTACCACTCCTCCAAAGACTCCACGAACACCAACAGGAACATAGTTTTTATTCTTGAAACCGATTTTCTTGAACGCTTGAACCTGCTCAGATGTGAAAAGCTCGGGATCATGCACCGGAGATGGCAGCTCAGGAAGATCATACTTCTTAAGCTTTTGCAACAAAAGCGCAACTTTCTTCTTCGCCTGCATCAAGAAAACCACACAAGCTCAAGTTTTCTCAATAAGCAATCACACATAAAGTCTCAAACTTTATCAAAATATGGATTAGTATCAATCAATATTTACCCTTTTGAGATTGTAAATGAGTCTTTCTTCATCAGTCATGAGTTTCTTCTTCAACTTCTTAGCTCTTCTAATCTCTCTTAACGTCTTACCAGACTCTTTCCTCATTCTACTCTCAACTTTGCTCCTCATACTCCTTCCTCTCGATGTTGACATACTTCGACACCATCCCTTAAAAACTTGATTCATCAACGGCTGAAACAAATTCGAATTACCTTCACTTGAGCTACCAATACTCGTAACAGGACTCGATGACAAAACCACATTCCTTCAAGATCAAAAAATCGAAAAATCACTTATAAAGCTACAAACTTTGAGGGATTTAACCGAATCTAGGAGATGGGTATATTGTGAATCTCCATAATCAGTGAGAAAATGGATCTGAAGTTAACCTGCCAGAAACGGATTGAAGAAGAGAAGATAAGGACCATTTACAAGTTCTTGAGCAGTGTCTTGAGAGACTCCTCGATGCAAACATCTGGCTCCTGCAACGAAGCTAGTAGCACAAGAAGAAATGGCAAAAATTTCGAACAAGAGAGAAAGAATTTGTTAAAGGTCGTGAAGAAGAAGGGTTCGAGGGTTTTAGAAGACGATCCAAATGATTATGTTTATATATTTATTTTATCATCAATGAACAACAAAGTCGTTGTAGTATAGTGGTAAGTATTCCCGCCTGTCACGCGGGTGACCCGGGTTCGATCCCCGGCAACGGCGTACTTTTTAGTTTAATCCTTTTTTGACATTTATTTAAATGTACCGTTATGCCCCTAACAGTAAGTAAAAACGTAAACATAAAGTTCCAGGCTTAATATATTTTTATACACGAACAATAAAATTTTCTTGTTACTGTGATCTAAATCCTAAGCTTAATAATACATCATAAACACTTTTCCTCTCGTTTTCTTTACAGATTACAACCAAATGTATTATAAATTTATCATCTATGAGCAGCAGGAGAAGAAGCTTCCTTTTGTTTGTTTCTCTGATGAATCTGCGGTGTTAACGGTCTGACGAGAAACATCTCCGTCTCTGACAGACATCAGAGAGCATGTTCCGGGAGATTCTGGTGATAAAACTATGTTTTCTGATGAGAAAACCCGTCTATTTGGTGGAGGAATGATCTGTGGTGCTGATGAAACCGTGGTGAGGTAACGGAGGAGCATTTGGATTATTTCTGTGAAATTTGGCCGTTCGTTAGGATCTTCTTTCCAGCATGAAGTGACAATCATCTCTAAGTCTCCTGGTAAATCTTCTGCACTCGGCCTCAAGTTCTATCGTAAAAACAAACACAAATTAGTCGCAATGCTGGTATCATTACTTTGAATTCAACGTCGCTACTGAATCAAATTTGTAACCAAGAAACGACCAACTTTGTGGCAAAAATCGAAGGATCTTTCAAATAAGTAAAGATCAAATGGAGAGAGACCACAGCAGAGACACGGGTGTGTTCAAAGTTTCAGTTTTGGTTTCGATTTGTCGTTTTCAAGCTTTTGATTTATGAAAAATAGTAGGAACCAAAGTAAAATTTACTCTAGTGTAGATGAGTATGCCAAAGTTTCAGGTTTTAGAATGAATTCAGTTTTTAGGAGCGGCAAAAAACCATAATCTGATTGGTTTTCTGGTCAAACTCCAAATAACTGAAACCAAAACTGATTTTTATGTAATCACACCAAACCAAACTCAGATCAGTCATTTCGGCTCTGCTTTCAGAATCGGTTTATATGGATTGAGAGGTGTGTTTTTACCTTGAATGCAGCAGCATAGGCTGCTTGTAGATTTGACATGCCTTCAAATGGTAACTTGTTGAGTATAAGTTCCCACAAGACAATGGCGAAGCTGTAAGCATCTACTTTATGATTATAGTGTTTCTTCTCTCCTTGCCTTAACGTAACCGTACTGTAAAGCTGTTTCATTCATTTACCAAGATGTCTGATAAGACAACCGCAAAAAGAAATTAAAAAATCCAGTTAGTAGTAAAATAGTTACCTCGGGGGCCATCCATCGGTATGTACCAGTCTCTGCGGTCATCATCTCGGTTAATGATTCTTCTCTAGCTAAACCGAAATCAGCAAGTTTCACTGTCTTATGATCTGCCGATAAGATCAAATTCTCTGCAAATGCAATAAGATCATAAGGTTTCCGTATATACTTAGAAGTCACGATTTTTATTTTCCGTCCTTTTCAATTTACCTGGTTTAAGATCGCGGTGAATGATTCCGTGGGAATGTAAACATTCCATTGCGCGAGCAATGTCAAGAGCAAACCCAACAGCCAAACGAATGTCTAAACGCTTTGGCCGCAAGCTCACTAGATATTTACGCAATGTACCGCCTAGTAGAAGCTCAGTAACTATAACCATCATGGGTTCTTTGCACGCTCCAATGAACTATACAAAATCGATTTCCAAACGTTTTTGATTACAACCCGATACTCTGATTAGCCAAATGAACAGGGTTGTAGATAGGAATAAAAAGAGGCAAAACCTTGACTAAATTCTTGTGCTGGACTTTAGACAACATAGCAATCTCTCTCGCAAACCGGTTATCTCGTTTAGCAATCTCTTCAGGAGACTCTCCTCTTTTAATAATCTTAATCGCCACTGTTTGGTTTCTATACCTAAACAAAGAAAACACATTTTCAATCCATCATACACTCTTCAATCATCAACCATCTGCAGAAACAGAGAATCTTCAAGAAACCGATTATTATCGATATAGTGATTCAAAATTAACACAAAGAAACACCACTAAACATAAATACTACAAAGATTAAACCAATAAGCTTAATAAGTAACTGAATCATCCCATAAAAGATTCTCTTATGCTTCATATACGCAAAGAGTTGAACTTTTTCAAGACTAGACAACAATTCTTCTAAACTCAAACAAAGTTCTAAAATTTCTCTGTAGCAAGCAATGATTACAGATTAAAAGAGACAATTTTTAACTTTTGTTTCTTTGTATATGGATGATAAAGATTGAAGTCAAAGCTTACTTTCCCTCATAAACTTTGGCATGAGCACCTTCACCGATCTTAGGACCAACAAAGAGATGACGAGGATCAACAAGCCATTTAGAATCCAATTCAAAATCTTCATTTGAGTAAAACCCACTTGCAGATCCCATTTTTTCCACAAACCCAGAACAAAAAAATTGAGATTTTTCACAAAACCCTAGTTAGCTAGAGAGAGAGATATGTCAAAGCTGGGCCCTTTTTGATTGATTAATCAATCATTCTGTTTGGTATTGGAATTGAGAACTATACAACAATCAGATAGATAAAGAAACAAAGATGCTTTTTTGGTGGAATATAAAGAGAGAAATCAAGGATTCTCCATTAAATATATAGAGAACACAGAATAAAGAAAGAAGAAGACGACAATCAAAATCAAAATCCTAATTCGTCAACTATAAAAAGAAAACAAAAAAAACTGCACGGAAAAGATGGGAATTTGAGAGAGCGATTGGAGAAGAAGAAGAAGAAGAATTGGAAGAACTGAAGTTGACACTGGAACTGATGGAGAAATGGTCAAAATTTGATGATGATTCGTGTTGGTTTGGTTAAAGATTTTTTTAAAAAAAAGTTTCTTATTTTAGGGGTTTTTTTGGCTTTTGAGAAACAAGAAAAAAAAAGGAGATTAAAGAAATCGAAAGTTGTTTGCTTTTTTCCGCGTAGGCGTCAGTGAGGTGACCAGAAATCTCCTCTCTCTCAAAGACTCGGAAGCACACCCACGGGTCTTTTTCATCCTTTTTTAGTGTCTTTCTTCTTCTAAGAAAAATAACTAAAACTATACTTATTTTTGTCATTAATTTTGCTCTTGTTCAAATCAAATACACATACATATATTTATGGAAAAAAAAATACACATATATATTTATATTTAGATGCTTTTGACATGATATATGTCAAAATTACAGTTTGTGAGATTCTATAACATATGTCAATTAACGAAATTCCTGACGGTGGACATAAATCCAAAAGTTTGTTATGTGATTTTGGATTTGAGTCGATAATTTTTTTTCCAAGATTATCTTGTTTGGTAATGGAGAAGTAATTTTGTAGATATAAAACAGTTTAAATGAATTTTCTTCGTCTCTGTGTCGTTTGCGAACAGATAAACAATTTCTTGGTTGGCAATTTCATATGTTTCTTTTTTTTTTTCCTTCCTTTAATCAATTTGCTTTGCTTTATTATATTTTTTGGTTGTTTTTATATTGAAAAATAGAAAATGCATATTGTACATGTATGCACGGAACAATAAGTTTTCAAATAAACTGATTAATGAATCAAAGATTGTACTAAGTGGGTGGTTTAAGATCGATTTCTAGAACCATTGACATAAACTACCATTGACATAATAAACTTATGATAGTGAGAATATAAACTAAAAAGAAGACGAAAACTGAAAAAGTAAATAGAAAAATCTCGTCGGTGAGGTAACAAACCAAGAATGAGGTAGGTGGGATACTGGGATCCATTTACCTAGCTTACGACCTTCCTTGTGTACCTTCGCAGATATATATTTTTTCACTTTTTAAAAATCAATTTCAACCCATTTTTATATTAATCAATAAAAAAATGTTGATTATGATTTACACATGGGTCTTCCTTTTTCACTATTTTTAATTAGATTTTCTTAACTAAAATCACAAAACCAAACTAAAACTAAACCAAAATTGTAGCATTCGAACCAAATTCAAAATGACTTTAATTGGTTCCAGCTTCTATAAAACGAAATGTAAACTGGACTGCCTTAACTCATGAGTCATATTGTGACTTTTGTGATTGCATTTGCCGCAAACGCATAGGCCGGTATAATTAAAATAAGCAGCTCAATTATAAAGATAACCAAACTAAACCGCGTCAAAAGCATTTCTTATTTTTCAAAAGCATTTTCCGTAAATCCGCCAAAATCGCAAAATCGCGTTTTATCGCCAAAAAATATCATACTGTAAAATGACGTTTTCCCGCCAAAATCGTAAACCCGCATTTTTCTGCCAAAACCGCAAAATTACGTTTTCTTGAAAGTAGTATATTATTCTTCAACAAAATAATAAATACAGTTATATTATTTGTATCAACAAAATAATAAATTATTTTTTCGAATTATTTTTTTCTCAACTGAAATCAAATATAATCAAAACCAAACTAAAACTAAACCAAATTGCATCGTTTGACCCAAATTCTAGATGGTTTTATACGCTTCAAGTTTCTCTACTTTCTATAAAACCATTATAAACTGGATTTGCCTAACTCCTAACTGTGATTTTGTATTGCCTCAATGCTTAGGCCGGTATGACTAAAATAAGCAGCTCGATCACCCGCTAATTTCATATACGTATATTCAAACTAGATAAGATTGATATATTCCCATGTTAACATAACAAGACAACCAAAACTAAACCGAGTCAAAAGGCAGATTACATCACATTCCTGTATTGCCCATACGGAAACCAAATGATGGTTACATAGTTCCAAAAGATTATTATCACCTCTCCATGTTTTCTTTTTTTTTTTTCCTTTACTTGCTATATATAATATGGCTACCAAAAATAGAGTTTTTTTTTTTTACTTTCTTCTTGAAAGGGTAAAAAAGAGGAGGGTGGTTCAGGTTCTTAACCTGACCTTCTGTAAATGCTGTAAGCCACGGCTATGGTTGCGACAGCTGATACTGCTGCTGCTCCAAGAGAACCTCTTCTTTCCCCATCGATCTCAACCAGTTTAGCTTCATGGATTCTTCTTTCTTCACTGGCTCTGGAGCTTGTTCTTGGCAACATGAAACTCCGTTTGCACCTTGGCAACAACCTCCTGTGAACCCTTTCTGCTCCACAGGTTCGCGTGCTTCCACCACTACACTGTTTCCGTTAGGGATTTTATGCTCATCCTCTTTCTCAGCTTCCTCACCGATGGGTCTTAGTCTCATCCCTCCCCTGAAATAGAAATTATTTGGTTAAACAAGGTTGCTAATTGAAAACAGAAATACAGCATTGATTGAACTTACGCATTCAAGAAATCAGAAAAGCTAGGAACCTGAAACAAAGTTTTTTTCAAAAGAAAAAAAATCTTTTTTGATAAAATGAGTGAGTGAAGGCTTAGGAGCTTCTTAGATTGGAAAATAAAAACCTCAGCCAAAATACATGTTACACGTTACCATTTGCTATCTCTACGCAGTAACTTGATGACTGTGATTCTAGCAACTACGTTGCAGTATCATACTAGCTTAGACATAATACGGACTTGCAACATTCATTAGCGAACAAAAGTATTTGAATGTTGAAACTGTTCCTACACAAGGGTATACATCTAGTGCAAGAGTTACTACAAGCATGGATGTCGACATAAAAAAGGTAATACTGTACACAAGAAATTGCAAAGCTGTTTTAAGAGAGGCATATCTGCAATAGGCTAGAAACAAAAAGTTGAAAAACAGACCTGGAAAGGTTTTGTATGATTTCTCCTTTTCCAATATGCTGATCAAGCATTGCAGGCACGTCATCAGGAGTCACATAGCCATACCTGCATAATAGCAAGATTGTTTTCTTATGCATAAGATATTACACTTCAATTCCTTTTCTGAATTATACAAGCAAGTTGAATTTGACATTTTCTTACCAGTGGCCAGAAACATTTCCAGCTGAATCAGGGCTGAAGACAATCAAATTCCCAGCATACTTATGCCCACCGATATGAGAACACGGCAAAACGACGATCTTTTCTGAAAGCCCACGTGAACCTATCTCCTGCTGGAACTTCTCCATAAGAACTGGTCCACAAACACCACATCTCTTGTCTCGGCTACCATGAGCACACACAAACACAAATGAACCACTTAATTCTTCCTGAACCCCAGAAGTCCATGGTTTTCCTTTCACAAGCACATCTTCCACAAAAGCATCCACATCCGTGTCCTGAATCGCCCTTTAATAACAACAACAACAAGCATAGAAAATGTACAAGGATAAGCAACAAGATAGCTACAGGATCCAAAACAACAAAAAGAACGATAACAAAGTAACATAAACACATATCAACATATTAATCAAAAACCAGCTTTTCAGATCCAAATCTCGAGTTTAACACCATCATCTCTAGAACTCAAAGACACAAAATCTGAGAATCTACATCTCTTAAATCCCTAGAAATCGAACTACCAAGCAAGAATTCGAAACAATGAGGTCAATTCCTAGTCAAATATTTCCCTAAGAACCAAAAACAAAAGCAAAAACTGCTGAAAATCAAATCTCCAATTAACTCACTTGTATCTAACCATCTCCGGAAAAATCAACACATCTCCATCAGATTCACCACCACCACACACCGTAAGCTTCGTCTACAACAACAAAAAACATTCAGAAACTAAATAAAACTCTTCACACCTAAAAAAACGTTGTGTGTTATACCTCAACTCCGAAATCAGCTTTCCGATCCTTAAACGATTTAGCGAAACGCTGAGGAAGTCCTTCAGCTTCAACACGAGGAAGCCAAGTCTCATGACTCTTATAACAAAGGAAAACATGACGACCGTACGGACCAACGGAACCGGCGAGAGTACCACTGTACATCTCCGATCGTTTAAATCCATAAAGCTCATCTTCCGAAACCGGCACTGCGTTAACGTTCTCTGCTACTTCTTCCGCCATTGAAGTCTTCTTCCTCACACCAAAATCTAGGGTTTCGCAGAAGAAGATAGATGAAGAAGAAGAGAGAGAGTTGAAGAAGCGAATCAATCGAAATGAAGATGTTAATTTCGTTTTCATTTAAATAATTTTCCGAAAAAGAAACATTTTTGGTTTTTAGTATGATTTTTGATTTTTCCTTAAAATCTGTGGAATCTGAAACCAACCGTCTCTCACAACTCCACGCCAATTGAGCCTGATGTTAAAGTGACTAGTCGGTAACATAAGCCTATTACCAACCCCCAGCTCACAGAAGGGACTCGTACCTACCTACCAATCTCTACTCGCCCGTCAAACCACTACGGTGACAGACGGTTACTTTAGTTAAAATGAGATAATTACTTTCTCAACTAAATTATCAATTAGGACACCACACGTAATTAAATCCATTTTTGCAAGTTAAATTGTCTGACTATTACACAGATAATTTTTTTAATATTAAGAGACTAATAATTATTTTTGTCTTTACATCTCTAATTTACCATTTCTTTACAGATTCTTTTTTTTTTTTTTTTTTTTTTTTTTTTTTTTTTTTTTTTTTGTTTTAGATTCCTTTAAGTAAATTTATTAAAGATGAACATTAATGTTTTTTAGATTCTATTTAAAATTTCTGCCTTTTTATATTATTTTTTTAGGGAAAATACTTAAGAGGACTGTTACACAAATAATTTGTTTCACTGATAGGTAATTTTTTTTTTTTTTTTTTTTTTTTTTTTTTTTTTTTTTTTTTTTTTTTTTTTTTTTTTTTTTTTTTTTGAATAATAAAAATAGGTAAAAAAATTGAATTTGATTTTTTTTTTTGTGTTTACTCTAATTTTACCATTTCTAGAAACAATTTGTGTCTTTTTTTTGCACTTTTTTAGAGAAAAATCAAGTTGTCTTGAGAGCGACCCAGAAGGTGATTCAGCGTCTCCTTGCAAATCAAGCTCCTTCTAGGCCTGATTCTTCGGCGTTTTCATCCTCGTCACTCGAGAGACCTCAACTTCTGGTTATTGGTTCGTTACGGCAAGCTCCTCCGTTTTCTCTCGCTCTGCATTCAGTCTTCTCGCTCTCAGATCTCTGGCCTCGATCCGCGTCTTGCTTCGTTGGATCGCTTGCGCCGGTTCTCTGATTTGGTAAGGACCGCCGGCACTCAGCCCTCCGTCAACCGTGTTGTCTTTGCCTTCGTTTCTCGCGAGTCCTCACGGCTGCACGGCTGCGAGTCCTCATCAAGCCTCCTCCGCATTGTTCTGCAAAGTTCTTCGTCCTCTCAATCCTAAGCTTTCTGACCTCGATCCGAGATCTGTTTCATCGGTTCGCTTGTGTCGGATCTTAGCCTTGCTTGGAACCACCGCCACGTTTGCCTACTTTTCGAGCTTGTTCTTGTTTTCTCACCTTAGTCCTCGACTCTCGAGAGATCTTAAGGCTGCGAGACGTTTTTGTCTGTATCTTATTTCGCTTTGAATAATCTCTGAGATTGAATTTCCTCTTGTTAGCGCCTCCATTATTACTTGACAGTTTATTGCCAAAGCTTCAGCTACTCTCCATTCGTATTGCTCTCTCTGGTTTTGACTTAGCAATGGGTTCCTCTCATAGATCCCGGTCTGCGGACAGAGGAAGGGAAGCTCTACCTCTAGTTGAAGAAGATGAACCTGTCATCTTACCCCCAGTGGATAATTCAAACCTGTTGGACCGGTTCAAGAATACTCTCATCGGACGCACCTTCTGCTCCGAAGGAAGAAGCACGGAGCTGCTTCTAGCAGTCATGCCCAAAGCTCACATCTGGGATGTCGAGGGAAGAGTTAGAGGTTTTGATCTAGGAAATGGTCGATTTCAATTCGACTTCGACTCTGAAGGAGACCTTAAACGAGTCCTAAACAAGCGTCCCTGCCACATCAATAGATGGAGCCTTGCTTTAGAGCGTTGGCAGCCAAACGTCCGCAGTGACTTTCCAAACAGGATTACCTTTTGGGTTCAAACAAAAGGACTGCCTAGAGAATTTTGGACTGAAGAAGCCCTCAGAAGCATAGGAAAGTCTTTGGGTGAAGTTGTTAGTGTTGATGAAAAGACAGGAAAAATTGAAGCCTCTGTGAATGTCACAAGACCCTTACGTTTTGAGAAGAAAGCAATAGGTCCGAATGGTGAAGAACACCTTGTCTCATTTAAATATGAAAAGCTACACAGGTATTGCTTTACTTGCAAATTGATCTCTCACGAAGAGAGAAGCTGCCCTAATTTGACGGAAGAAGAAAGATTCAAGCTGCGAGCTGAAAGATCAGAATTGGCCAGGAAAGAAGCAGAGGAAGAAGAGCTCTTTCGCGTGCCCCAGCCATACCACAGAAACTACCCCTTTTCTTCTTCAGATCAGTCCCCCAGAGAGGCGCCACGAAGAGAAAGAGCCCCTTCTCCCGTTGAGAGGATTGGGAAACACTATGAGCAAAAACAAGATCGCTACACCCCGCAAGAAAGAAGACGGACTGAAAGCTCTAATTCCCTTTCACTGGCATATGTGAACCCTCACAGGAAAGCACTTGACTCCAAGGATCCATCTCGAGACCGTTTCCATGAAAAGCGTCTTTCGCATCACTCTTATGACTACTACAAAAAAGAGAAGGAACACAAACCAGTGTGGCAACGTTTGGAGACTAATCATTATTCAGACTATCCCCGACATCGGGAGAACTTTAATAATTTTAATTCTGACTACAGGAAAAGACGTTATGACGAATCTGTCGCTACTAGTTCTTGGCTCCCTAAATCTCCTAGATACCAAGAAGAGGAAGCTAGAAATCATAAGGCGCAACGACTAGACTCGGGAAACAGTAGAGATGCTAGACAGATTCTGGACAGGAAGAGGTCTTCATATCCTTATCCTAGAGAAGGTAACAAAGAACTTTCAAGATCTGTTCCTTCCCCAAGAAGAAATGATAGGGCTCAGCTTTCTTACAGAGAGAAGGGAAAAGGAATCCAGGTAGAGGAAGATGGATCTAGAACCATCACGGCGTCAGAGATTCGTCAACACCGACTGAGCGGCACTGTTTTTTACCGGGAAAAAGCACCAAAATCGCCTTCTACAACAAAATCCCCAGATCAGGCTGTAGGTACCAAAGAGGCTGCAATCTCACCTTCTGACCCTATCTCTCTTGCGACCCCGAAGGTAATCACTCCAGAAGAGGAGGATATGCAACTCCAAAAAGAGATAGACGAGATGAAAGCGAGACATTCAGCACTTTCTGCAGACGAGAGGAAGACCTTGCAGGAAAAAGCTGATAAGCTTTATGCTGATGAGCTTCATGCTCTTCATATGCGACAAGTAGATGTTGATAATGATGATCTGCTAGATGATGATATGCAGAATACAGATAATCAGTTGAGTGGTGAACACACGGTTTCTGAGCAGCTTATCCCCATCTCTAATCATCAAGAAAAATCCATATCCCCTTCTCTTTCTCCAGGTAACAAGCAAGTTTCTCCCTCTCCTTCAAGGAGACCAGTGAAAGAAAGAATTGAAATCCCTAAAGGCTCCATGTCAAAGTCAGCTCACAGGAGGAGAAGAGCTGAAACTAAAAGAAGGATAAGTCAAAGTCCCATTGAATTACCAGGAGTAGCGTCAAAGAAAAGGAACATCCTTCTTAACGGTTCCCCAAAGAAGAGGTCAGTAAACAAAAGTCAAACGCTCAGGTCTCGCACAGGGAAGCCAGCTCCATCTCTCCCCCGCACTGGGGTGTTTCCATCGTCGGTCAATAAACGAACCAAGTCTCACTCAGGTCTGGTGGGGTCCCAGAACCCACCCAGTAAGGATAGATGAGGATCCTCGCCTGGAATTGTCAAGGAGTAGGAGCATACTTGACAATTCAGAGGCTAAGGGAGATGCGCAGAAAAATTCCTCCCAGGTTTTTTTGTTCCTTTCTGAGACCAAGAATGAGCGATCTGTCCTAGAAGAAAGACAACTTGATCTTGGTTATGATAACCTTTTTACTGTTGAGCCGGAAGGTAATAGTGGTGGTCTAGCTCTCCTCTACTCTAATGATTATCCCACTACTGTACTTTCTTTTACCAATCGATTGATTGATGTTGAGACTATTATTGATGGAAATAAAGTATTCTTGTCCTTTGTTTATGGCGATCCGGTCGTTAAGTACCGCGAAAATGTTTGGGAAAGACTTACCCGTATAGGTATTGAGCGCTCTGGTCCATGGTTCCTTATAGGAGACTTCAACGAGTTATGTGGAAACCACGAGAAACAGGGAGGGAAAAAAAGATCAGAAAACTCTTTTCTCCCTTTTAACACCATGATCCATAACTGTGGCCTGGTGGACTTCCCCTACAAGGGCAATCCATTCTCCTGGGTAGGAAGAAGACGCAACGGTCTAATAAAATGCATGCTTGACAAAGCCTTTGGTACTGAAGACTGGCACAATACCTTTTCCCACACTAATGTGGAGTACTTACGCCTTTGGGGCTCGGATCATCGCCCTCTCTTGGCACATATTCACTCAAAAAATAAAAAGAGGAAAAGAAGCTTCCAATTCGATAAACGCTGGCTTGGCAAGGAAGGTCTTGAGGAGGCGGTTATTGCAGGATGGGGGGCACCATCTGAGGATGCATGCGATATCGTCAAAAAAATTCAATCCTGCAGAAGAGCCATTTCCACGTGGAGAAAGAGTGAGCTTTCGAACTCTAACTCAGCAAAACTAATTGAAGAATTGACAGCGGAACTTGATGAAGCTCAATTTGACGAGAATAGGGACCCTTCCGAAATCACCCAGCTAAAATTCAAGTTATGTGATGCGTTTAGAGAGGAAGAGCTCCACTGGAAGCAAAAGAGCCGAGCAAATTGGCTAGACGAAGGAGACGAGAATACCAAATTCTTCCATGCTTCGACAAAACAACGCCGAGCCAGGAACAGGATTGTTGGTTTGCTCAACTCCGATGGAGTTTGGGTTGCATCGGAAGAGGAGATCGAAGGAGTTGCAACTAACTACTTCTCGCAACTTTTCACATCAAGCCTCGCTGCGAACGAGCACGAGATCCTCCGGGATATTCCCGAGATTGTTACCGAAGAAATGAACGAGTTACTCACTAGAGATGTCACTGAAGAAGAGATCAAAAAAGCACTTTTTGCGATAAATCCCAGTAAGGCCCCGGGCCCGGATGGTATGACAGCTCTCTTCTACCAGAAATTCTGGCATATCGTCCGCTCGGATCTGGTAAACACTATCAAAAGCTTCTTCTCTTCAGGAATATTAGACCCTAAACTTAACCAAACTAATATCTGCCTTATACCAAAGATTGGAAGACCGACAGAGATGACAGGTTTCAGACCGATCAGCTTGTGCAACGTGGGCTATAAGATCATCTCCAAAGTTCTCTCCAACAGACTCCGGAAGACTCTCCCAAAGATCATCTCAGAGACTCAATCCGCCTTTGTGGCGAGACGTTTAATCACTGATAACATCCTTATAGCGCAGGAAAATTTTCATGCTCTCCGCACTAATGATGCCTGCCGAAAAAACTTCAGGGCGATCAAGACAGATATGAGTAAAGCCTTTGATAGGGTTGAATGGTCTTTCCTAAGAACTCTAATGCTGAAGCTCGGTTTCTCACCTCGATGGGTTCACTGGATTATGACCTGCGTAGAGACTGTTACTTACCAGGTTCTTATCAATGGAGAAGCCAAAGGACGCATCTCACCTACGCGAGGAATCAGGCAAGGAGATCCCCTATCCCCCTTCCTATTCATAATCTGTACAGAGGCGCTTATCGCTCGAATTAATCGAGCTGAATGGTTTGGGAAAATCCAAGGGCTTCATCTCTCCCGCGCAAGTCCACCTGTTTCCCATCTTCTTTTTGCGGATGACAGCCTCTTCTTCTGTAGAGCGGACTGTCAACAGAGTTTAGAGATTATTTCCATTATCCGCCAGTATGGCGAGGCATCAGGACAACAAATTAATTTCTCGAAGTCCTCAGTCATGTTTGGGAGCAAGGTCCAACCGCAGAGAAAGACTGATATCAAGAATATTTTAGGAATCCATCAAGAAGGAGGCATGGGCACCTACCTAGGACTTCCTGAGAAGATCCATGGATCCAAGGCCCAAGTTTTTGCATTTGTCCAAGATCGGCTAAAGAGCAGGATTAATACTTGGTCATCAAAATTTCTATCCAAAGGAGGTAAGGAGATTCTTATCAAATCAGTGGCTCAAGCTCTCCCGACGTATGTCATGTTTTGCTTTCTCCTGCCTAAAAACATTCGTTCGAAACTGAGTAGTGCAATTTCGAATTTCTGGTGGAGTAACAACCAAGAGAGTAGGGGTCTCCACTGGGTCGCTTGGGAAAAATTATGTACCCCACTCTCGGAAGGCGGCTTGGGCTTCAGAACGTTCGAAGATTTTAACCTCGCCCTCCTTGCCAAGCAGATGTGGCGCCTAGTGAGGTACCCAAACTCCCTCCTAGCCCGGGTCCTAAGAGGTAGATATTTTCGATACTCGAGTCCCCTCCATGTCCAGCCCTCATATTCACCCTCCTACGGATGGTGTAGTATGCTTGCGGCTCGACCTCTCCTGCTCTCGGGTTTGAGAAAGAATATTGGATCGGGTTTGGACACAAAGGTATGGAGTGATCCGTGGATTCCAACTACACCGGCTCGTCCACCGATCAGTAGGCTGGAAGCCACGGACCCCAACCTCTATGTTAATCATCTGATTGACCCGATATCTAAAACTTGGAACATGGCCAAGCTCCAGGAACTGATAGCGCCAGAAGACATACCCCGCATCTTGGGGTTACATCCGAGTTTATCATTCTCGAGAGATTCTTACATTTGGGCTCATACAAAATCTGGCAATTACTCTGTCAGATCCGGCTACTGGGCAGCGAAAGCTAGCCAGCGAGGAGATTGTGACCTCCCTTTTCAGGGACCGAGTGTTAGCGCACTACAGGCACAATCATGGAAAATCCAATCCTCCAGAAAAATTAAACACTTTCTCTGGCAAACTGCCACGGGATGTCTGGCCACCTGCCAACGACTTGTTGATCGACACTTAGGAACTGATAAGACATGCCCCCGGTGTGGGATGTGCGATGAGACTATCAACCACGTGTTATTTGAATGCCCTCCAGCTTACCAGGTTTGGTCTCTCTCCAAGATTCCTTTGACTCAAGGAGTCTTTCCTGCTCCCTCGATTTTCGCAAATTTAGACCATCTTTACTGGAGAGCAAAGGAGCTTGGAGTAAGGGAAGAAGCTATCAGAGACTTTCCATGGATTTTGTGGTTCATCTGGAAAGCCCGAAACTCAAAAGTTTTCGAGAACTCTGAAGTTCACCCTGCAGACACGCTTCAGCTTGCCTGCAAAGAAGCAGAGTCCTTTCGTATCGCAAGAGCCAGAGAGTTGATCATCGATTCTCAACCGTCCCTTATAGACCCAGGTTTGCGATCCACTGTTTCAGACCTTTTGACTTGCCAGGTTGATGGTTCCTGGACAGACGGAGGCACTTTATGTGGCATTGGATGGATTCTTATCTCAGACTCTCAACTTATTAATCTTGGACTCAAGTGTTTTCGACAGTGTTTATCTCCTCTTCACACAGAGTTTGAAGCGCTCCTCTGGGCAATGAGATCCCTCACATCATTATCCATTTTTAATGTTGCCTTTGAGACAGATTGCAAGGAGCTGACCCAGCTATTGGACACTCCGGATGAGTGGCCCGCTTTTGCTTCGGAGTTAGAAGATTTCAATGCTTTAAAACTCAGTTTCCCTCATTTTTCGTTAGTTTTTATTCCACGTTTAAACAATGCCCGTGCCGATTGCCTTGCTAAGAAGGCAAGGGCACGTGATTCTATTTTTTCCCATGTAAGCTCCTCAACTCCGGACTGGTTTTCTCCCGTAGAAAACCGCCCGTTTCTAGCTTAAATGGATGAATTTACTTTGCTGTCAAAAAAAAAAAAAAAAAAAATCAAGTTGTCTTAATTCCTCTTAGCTTTACCATTTCTATAAGCATTCCCTATGTTTGTTTTAGATTCCTTAAGAGGAACATTTGTAACATTCCTTTGTAAAACTTATAGAGTAACACTAATCTGTTTGATGATTGAAAGAAACATCTATTGATGATTAAATTTACATTTCCATAGTTGCATTAAAAGAAACTTGTTTTGAATATATGTATTGGAAAAACTAGATACAACCTCACCACAATGTGAAGAACACAACAGTCAAATATTTGGTAAGACCAAACACATCAGTAAAACACAAAATCTAGACACAAACCCCAAAAGCAAAATCATAATACGCCGGTACAAGATTGAACCAACCACAAATCAGAAGAAATCAATTTCCAAATAATTACCAGAAGGCTTCACATCCACAGTAGGAGGCTTATCATAACCACCATGTCCATGTCCTTGACTAAGACCATGACGAAGACTATGAGCTTGATCCATTGGTTTAACCGGTTGAGGAATCTGTGGTGGACTGGTGCATCTGATCAAAGCCCAATTCACACTTTGGAAAAACGGATGTTGCTTAATCTCAGTAGCTCCTCTTCTATAAGCCAACCGATGCTGAGGCTCTTTCACTAGCAATCCTCTGATCAAGTCTCTAGCTGCAAAGCTCACATTAGGGTGTTCAGGAAACCGCAATGGCTGTCCAACTACGTTAAAGAGTGTCGCTCTGTTATCGCCTCCTCTAAACGGTGTTATCCCGAATAGAAGCTCATAGAGGAAAATCCCGAATGTCCACCAGTCAACCGCGCTTCCGTGACCTTCTCCTTTGATAATCTCTGGTGCTAAGTACTCGTGTGTACCAACAAACGACATTGACCTTGCGCTAGTCGGTTCAGCTATCAGCTCGGGGAGCGGTCTGATTTGGCGGCTCATATCGTTCGACTTCTTCTTGTGCTTGCCTTTAGACAAGAACCGAGGAGTGAAACACACTGGCTGGATGCAGTCAGGTTGAACAATGCAGCTCGATTGGTCTACACATGTTGGCTGGATACAGTAGCTTGAGCTTTTGGACTCGAGCGTGATTGCTGCGAAACGAACCAACGTTGGAGAGACTGCACATCTCAGGGAGAGATCGAAATCGGATAGCATTATATGTCCATCTTCACGAACTAAAACATTCTCAGGCTTAAGGTCTCTGTATATGATCCCAAGCATGTGTAGATACTCCATAGCAAGAAGAACTTCAGCAACATAAAACCTACAAACAAAACAACAACTTTCAGCAATAAACGAAAGCATTAAACCGCGAAAATCGCAAACCGTAAAGTCTCTATATTTACCTAGCAGCCTGCTCAGGGAAGTACTTTCCACGCTGTTTTTGCCGGAGAGAATGTAAATCACCACCAGGACAAAACTCCATAACCAAACAAGAATGATTCTCTGTTTCGAAATGCGAATAAAGCGTAGGCAAGAACGGATGATCTAACGATTGAAGTATCTCTTTCTCTGTCTGAGCTCTAACAAGCTTCTTCCTCGCTGCAATAGCTGCTTTCTCCATAACTTTCACAGCAAAACTCACTCCAGTTCCAATCAACTCAGCTAAGTAAACATTCCCAATGTCACCTCCTCCAAGCCGTTTCATCAGCTTGAAATCTTTAGCCTCAAGCGACGAACCAACCCGAGACCGAACCTCCTGAATCGCAACCCAACGCTTATCGTTATTAGCTCTATGTGGCTTATAAGCTGCATTACTCATACTACTCAAGCTACTCTCGTCACTAACATCACTCCCTGTACTTCCTCTGTATATCATCACACCATTCTTCTCCAAATCGATACCGCCTATACCGATAGTGCATATGCTTGCACAGTCACTAACTTCTGTGTTGGTGAAGCTCTGTTTTGCTTCTGTGTAGAGTGGTGCTGTGTAAAACGTGTTCGTTGGGCTAGGGTAATATCTTGGCTCTGATTGTTTCTTCTTCCGTATAATCGAAATTGGTGTTTCGGATTCTGCTGAAACAGAGGATTCAGAACTTTCTATAACTTCAGGGGAAGTTGTTTCTGGTTCTGGTATTAACGTCTTCACTGATTTCTTGGTACCTCTTGAATCGATTGAGAAAGATTTGACGGAACCTTTGGATTTAGCTGGAGGGTTTCTGGGTTTGGATGATGAACCAACGTAAACGACTGATGAAGAAGAATCCATTGAAGGTGTTCGACACAATTCCTGAAAGAAACGAATTTTAAAAGTTAACTTCAAAACCGAATAAAGAAAGCGAAACAGTGAAAACCCAGAAATGATTAGGGTTGCTTAAACTCAATCAATGAAACAATTTCAAGTAACCGCCGAGAAAACGCAGAGAGAAAAGAAAAAGTTTCGATTTTTTTTCCCGCAAAATTTTCAAATTCCGGGAAAAGTTGCAGAAACATAGAAGAAGAAGAAGGAAAGAAATTAAAAACCTGATCATAGACAAATCAGTAGCTATTTGTAGATCCGATCCGATTAATGTCCGAGAGAAGAAGAAGAGATTAAAGAAACAGTTTTTGTGGTTCTTTCTTTCGTTTTCTTTAAGTTTCTTCTTTCTTCAGGTGAATGAAGAAGATAAAGAAAAAATTTAATAAGAAAAAAGTTGGAAATGTGTTTCGTCGTTTAATGGGAAAGTTTTTGAAGCAACTTTTTAAACTCTCGATCTTGAGATGTTCCCTCAAAAGCAATGTTTCTTGTTTCTTTCTTTTTTGTTTTTCGTTATTTATGTTTTTTATTTTGTGTAAAACTTAATTACTGTAATTAAGTAGGGAGCCGCTTCTAAGCACTAATTAGTAGATTATATTATACACTCCGTTGTGTATGAATCTTCGTGTTATGTTTTTGTTATGTCTAGGCTATAAAGTTTGAGTATTAGTATCTATTTAATAGTAGGGTCCCATTAATTTTGGGCATATTCGACGAATCTGAAATCCAAAATTTTAAAATATGACATAGACTGGTCTCTCTTTACTAGCTACTATTACTAATTTTAGATGTTAGTGTAAATAATCTAATTTTGAATTGAATGTGGTTTCATTTTACGTTTTGAAAATCCTTAAAGATTTAAAAGGAACATAGAGAAAATTAGTTTGGAATTTTATAACACTCAAGATAAAATGTAAAATTTGTTTAAGCTAAGGAGGAAAAAAAAATCATACTTTGTGTAATTGTGTTGGATAACACTATGCATTAAACTCTTAAACTAAAAATTTGTGCATGAAACAAAAAAAATGAGACAACTGACAAAGCTTATCCACATATTCATAATTTCTTGATTTGAAAATTCTATTACGAATTAATATCTATGCAATGAGATTATACAACATGTTATCATAATCATTAGATATTAGGGATTGCACCAATGCAATCCTTGTTGGTATAGTTCAATTAAAATATTTTCTATCACGAGACATGTCCTCCTAAGAAATCGAGATGGCTGGTACATTGAACCACTGACGCACTGATAATCAAATTTACGATAGCATTGTTAACTTAAAACTTATTAAATAACTATGTTCTTCTTTATTTCAAGAAATAATTACTTTAACTGTTTAAAATGACTCCATGAGTTATATATACTATTTTATGAGGATGAATCTAAAAATTATTCAACAAAAAAAAACGAGAAATCATGTTAACAAAACAAAAATCAACTAGTGATTAGTAATTAATTACATTTTAAAATTGATTTAACATAACATAATGTAGGAAGTAGGCGGAATTTACGACCGATGCCCCCCAAAGCCTCACATGGACGCACGTGAACTCCCGGCAACAGCACGTGGACGACGGCTGTCGTCGTCCTCCGGCGCATTTTTATTTAACTAGTCTAACCCAAACCATGTCACAATCGTTGGTTAGTTTTGTTTGGATTAAACTTTAAACTAAACCAAATGATGAAGTTTATTTGGAAATGGTTTGATAAGAACACAGAAAATTACGTTTGAATGTTTAAAATCTTTGGGAATCAACTCCAACACAAACCAAAGTAATACCAAACAAACTAAAACCTAACCAAACAACAAACCGAACTAATTTCAAATTAACCAAACTCATATCCATACTAAACCTAGATTGTCAATGCAACCATCCCCGATCACACCTTTTTATTATCTTGCTTCTTGCCCTTGCAAACTTCTTGTCTCTTGGGGAAGGATAATGGCGTAGTTGTATCAAACCAACTTAACATTTCTTTTTGTCAATAACATATTTTATACGAGTTTGAATCTGAATAGTAACACAACGACACTGTTACATCTCCTTATCCAACTCGGCCAATTATCAAAGCCACATAATATCCTCATTATTTAATACTCGATAAGAGTATAATTATTAGATAATATAGTGACGCTAATAGGTCATTATATTAAACGATTGATGTGACGAGCCTAATCACTTAAATAGACTTCAATATGGGGTCCAACATTAAACATGAATAGTATACTCTCGTGGAAGTTGGGTTGAAGTTCGATCATTCAAAACACTTTTGTTTTTTCTTATTCAAAAAAGTTAAATAAATAATTTTAAAGTTAATTAGCGACCCGGCCCGGCCCGAACTCTACGTCACGTCATGATATAGACTGATAAATGGAATGCAAAGAATCAGGTAAGGTAATGGTGAACAAATTCAGAAGAGATGGTGCAAAGTAGGCTCGGACATATCAACCGAATCTATCATATCTTCACCAAACAAAAATATATATGGGTCAAAGAGATGATTACAAACTAGGTGCAGACACATCAACCGAATTTATAACATCGAAATAGAAACCATACAAAACTATGTATGAGTCAATTTGATAAATGCTTAACGTGGACCCAAAAAAAAAACCTAAACAGTATAGACGTAGCTAAAACGGTCTTTGGGTTTTATGTCTTTTGGTGTTGCTACTAATGTGTCTTCAAGGTTTTGGGAAAGATCCTCAGGATCATAGCTTAGGTGTCATGACCATAGATTGACCAACTTTGAGACAATTAGAATAGATGGTTATCGTACTTGCATAGAATATAGAAGAAAAAACAATCAAAGTCAAGATTTTTACATAGAGGAGAAACTAAAAATGACCATAAGTATCACACATAATTAAGCTGCTAAGAGAGATTAGATTACACATAATTAAGCTGCTAAGAGAGATTAGATTACAGAGCCGAAACAAACAAGATCTAAACATCAATCAATCAAAACAAGAAGCATGAGATCGCATTATCTCACCAAGTGCGTTGTTAAACAATTCCGTGCAACAACAAGGCTTGTCCAAATCTGTCTCTCTCCCACACGTACACAAGGACAGAGTAAGGATTTCTCCTGCTCCCACATTGTAATGTGCTAGTGACCTGTTGTTGTCCTTCAACAACCCGGCTTTTCCGAATAACACCTGTTTCTCTGGTGGGATACTTCGGACCTCCTCGGCTATTTTCTCCTTGAAACTGGCCACGTTTTCCGATAACGACTGCACTGTTTTCTCAATGATGTTTACCTCACGACCTTCGACACTGACAATCGAAACCCTGATTGTACACCAACCCTGAAAACATGTATAACGTCAGATACAGCTTAGACGAAAGAAAGAAAAACAAAGACATGAAAGAAAGAGCCTGAAGAAAACATTACCGGGTGTTGAGCAAGAAACTGGTCTTCTGGAACAAGGCCTCGCTCGTCAAGCTTTAGTCTCTTTGGCTCTGGTTCCGTTTCAGGGTGTGGCAGCTCTTCATTGTTAGCAAAATCTTTCACGAGAGAAGCATGCCAATGAACCATAGACATCACCCCACCATCGTGCCATTTCAAATCTTGGAGAGAATCCCACTGATTAACAAGACGGAAAAAACCATCATGTATGGCCGACATATAAGCATGACTCTTGCTAACCTTTTCTTTCAAATCTTTGGGGGGCTTAAATACTTCCGAATACTCAGAGAACAAACCGAGTGAAACGTGGGAACTTGCTATCAATTGGGTTCGTAAACTCAAACCCATCTCTGTTCTTGAACCCTAGCCAGAAATCGTTCCCATACCAAGCCCCAAACTGCGCTGTGAGCTTCATAGTTCTAAACTCCTTTATATTCATCCCTTTAGGAAGTCTAAGGTCCAGATGATATGGCAGAACAATGCGTTGACCAACATCAGCATCATCATCAAGATTAGCTCCCTCTTGTTGAATCCGAGAACGGAATTCGGTAGCCTTTTGCTTGTAAGAAGCAAGAGTAGCATCATAATCATGATTAGCTCCTCCGTCTTGTTGATTGATAGAACGATATTCGGTAAGCTTCTGCTGGTAAAACGCGTGAAAGGGATGGGAACTAGCCATAAAGCTGTATCTTGCTTCATCTGCAACGAGATGCCTCATCACGCTCTCAAACACCAACCCACCTTTGGAAATGTAAAGGGCCATATTCTCGATATCATTTCTGATGATACCTGGAGGTGGCTCAGTGACTTGGGTACTAACATTAGTTGCTGCAACATGACCAAAATCATCAACAATAGTTCCATTTTGTTGAAGCTGAGAAAGGTAATCACTAAGCTTCTGCTTGTAATATCCGTGTAAGGGATCTTCAGGGTTCCTCAGAAAGTTGATTCTTGGATCTTTGACGTTGGTCATCATCCTCTTCTCATACTTCAACCCTTTTCTGGCAATGCAACGTGCTACATTCTTAACAATTCGTTCAGCCTCCGCTTTATCTGAGATGATTTGCGAATCCATCTGCCTCGAACTCGACATTTTTTTTCCTAGAAAAAACAAAAAACAACAACATTAAAATCAGACCCTTCGAATTTTCAGTTTAGACCTAAATAAAAGATGGCCACAATTAACTATCAAATCTACCGAAATAGGTTGAATATGATAAATTAGGAGCAAAAACACATAAATATTTCCATTGGATCGGAGAAGGCAGTGAAAGAAACAAGAGATTCATCGAATTGATAAATATGAAAAATCCAAGGACTATATATACTAAACACCGGTACCTCAGCCGGCAAGAAACAATCCCGCGGTGATAACCGCCGTGAAAGTCGTGTAGAATAGGAGAATGAACGACTTGGAGAAATTGACAAAACCGACTAGAAACGAGGAAGATAAAATCAATATGAATCCTAAACCGGTACCCAAAAAAACCTGAACCCTAAAACGAAACTTGTGTCTTAGGTTTTCCAACGGGCCTTTATTATATGGGCCTCTAGTTTCGGTCCATAACAGTTGATTATGGGTGTCAGAAAAAAGTGAAAAACAAAGCAAACAACTTTGCTTCTTATTATTTTTATTTTATCATCACAAGAACAAAGCAAATATTCTTTTGTTTGTACAATAAGTAAGCACTTCTTAATAAACAATACGAACTGTCTTTGCAAGTCACTAGTTCCTGTATTATGAAATAACATCTCCTCGGTTCTTTCTTAGCTCGGTAGAGGATATATTCATTCGGAATGTTTCCGCTGGAATTGAGGTAAACATACTGCTTATTTCATCTGGAATGTCAATATCGTCGAGAACCTACAGAGGAGCGAGGATAAGCAAGGCATAATGCATAAAATCTCATAGACAACACTCGCACAATAGTAAAATTGTGTTACTTGAGATTGTAGTGTTGAGATCAAACCTTAAATTCACCTTCTACATTACGGCCACCAACAAGGAACTTGCAACCTGTTCGTTTGCAGTCACCTAGTACCTCCAACATCCTTTTGTGGCTTCCTTCATAGTACTTTGGCTGCAAGAAGTTAAAATTTCTTATTCTTTCTTCTTTAAACATCGATGATCGCAACAGTGTAGCTCTATTTGTAGGGTTTAAAGAAAGAAACAAAAGAGGATCTGCAGGCTAAAGGTTCATACATTAACAAGCCTTGCTGCAGTGTCAGCACCGATTACAAAACTGCTTCCTGGGAAGAGTTCAGCTTTCTTGTAGAAGAATGGTTGATTTGAAACTATTACCGTCTTTTCTGCAAACAGGGTACCAAACCAATATCAAAACGATGGCACGAGTAAATACACATAAACTGGCATTGGAAACAAAAACTATAGCTCATATCATAGATTGGTTGTAATCACAGAGATGTAAAAAAAAAGTGGTGCACAAGATTGAAAACATGAATAACTAGTGAGTGAAAAAATGAAGGTTCCGGCCGTACCAAGTACTTCAAATTGTTTGACGCGATCTTTAATCTCTGCAACTGTAAGGGATGGTTTGTCTGCATTCACTGCAGATATTTCAAAACATGGGTACCCTCCTTCACAAACACTGCATCAACAAATCTTCTTATGAGATTGTTTACATTTTGTTATCTGTTTTGTTGTTTGGAGATAATAAAAACGTCAAAATGCCAGAGGACTCTCCAAAATCCAACTATGGATCCAATTCATAAAGCACAACTAAAGAAAATGATCAAATTACTAATTACCTTGCATAATATAGCATATCAGCTTTAACTAAGAAACATAGAACCAGCAAAGAGTCAAAGAAAATAATGAGTTTAACATAATGATTAAATAAGAGCTTACCTCATAGCAGTTTCCAACAGCTTCAGATGACCGTCATGTAATGGGTTAAAAGAACCAGGCAGTATAATCTTTCTATCTTTATCCGACCCATACGATTCTGCTATAAAGATATAGAAACTACACCATTAATGGCAACGAATACAAGATTCATTTAAAAATACTTAAACGTAAGTTTTATTGAGTCAAATGACCAAAATCTTACCTTTAGAAAATGGATAAATCTTAGAGCACAATTGTCCATCTATAAGCTGCTCTAGTTCTTCTTCTTCACTAAACTGGGTTTCAGACTCATTAAGCACCTCAGACTCAGTCAAGCCAGAATCAAGGGTCTCAGAAACTTGGCATGCCTTGGCCATAGCCTAAGATAGTAATGACCAGAAAAGGTTTTAAGAACTCATGAGTATCTCAAAGTAAAATGCTTTTAGAAAATTTATCCCCTAGGCAGATATAGGGTTGTAACTAGCTAGCTTTATATAACACACCTGAATCAGTACAGAGCTTGCCACTTTATCTTCTTCCTCTCGGCTTCGTTTTCCCTAAAATCTTCCACAATAAGATAACAGTAAAAGAGTAAAGAAAGACATGAGAAAGAAAATGTTGCAATCACCTTTGTTAGAGTAACTGAAGTTTCCCATACCCGGTCGGATGCTCTTATCGACAAAAAGAACCTACTCATCATAACAAACAGAACTATATAAGTAATATAAAATCTAAATCCCTTGCTATGATTGTTTTTTTTCAGAACATGACATATAACCTATGATCCCCACGCTTTGGACGAGAAGTTGCTAATGTTACCGTAAAACCAACACCAAGAACCGCACATCCTATCCACCAAATTACCAAAGTTAAACCAAATCCAAGATTTCTACTTCTTGCTAACAAGCAACAACTATGTTTCTTTTGATAATCCGGAGGTTCTGGACCTAAACACGTACATATCCGAGTAAAACATGATATGAAATATAAAAGTACCACCACTGCAACAATAAATCAACTAACAATGTTACTAAGCAACAACGATGTTGATTGTTGAAGAAGGAAATGTAAAAGTTAACCTGGTTTAGAAAGCTTAAGAGCCCGATTATAAGCTAACAAAGCCATTTCATTTGCCATTGATTGGCTACAGTGTTGGTTCGGAACCTGAAAGAACGATAAAATCTGGTTATAGTCGGGAAAGAGAAACGATTTGATCATTAGTTCAAGGTTTTGAGGACAAACCCTTCCGAGTAATTGAACCATAGAGATCATGGAATATGGAACCACGGTTTCAAGAAGTGTGTTCGAAGCTCCAGGAACTGACATTAACCAACCTAAAGACTGAATAAGAATTTTGGATCACTTGAAGTAAAATTACATGAATTTGATCAATATAGAGAGATAGAGAGAGAGAAAAAACCTGAGAGGCACCGCCGGAAAGATACACGACGGCTTGCGTCGGCGATGAGTGAATTGATTCGACGATGGTTCGGATCGCAGACTCTGCCATTGTTTCTCTCGTCGTTGATGAATAAAAACAGAGCCGTTGAAGTCAAGTTTGAAAGTTTCTTTGCAGAATAAGTCATCCGAGAATGTAGGAGATAAAGTTCAAGTCTGTTAGTTGTTAGATCCATTTGTTTCGGTCAATAAGTTTAAGATGTAAGGTCTATATAAGACCAAAGCTTTTCTCAATTAATGTAAGCGAAGTATTCAGCTTAAACCTGCAATTTCCAAAACCTGCAATCTTGAGTTTGAATATCTTAGAAAATAACAAGTGGTATCAGAGCTTGTCACGAGCCTGGTACAAGAGAGAAAATGAGTGAAAAGGATTCTGTGATCATTCCGAAATTCGATGGAGATTATGAGCATTGGGCAATGCTCATGGAAAACCTGTTAAGATCCAAGGAGTGGTGGGATCTCATCGAGACAGGAATCAGTCAACCGGAGCCGAATGTGATCCTGAACGGCGCACAAAGAACAGAGCGTGCAGAGAGGATCGTGAAGGACCACAAGGTGAAGAATTACTTGTTCGCATCAATCGACAAGACAATTCTTAAAACAATTCTGAAGAAGGAGACATCGAAGGAGTTGTGGGATTCGATGAAGAAGAAATATCAAGGTGATGATAGAGTCAAAAGTGCGCAGTTGCAGAGGCTTAGAAGAAGCTTCGAAGTTCTCGAGATGAGGCCTGGAGAGGTGATCGAGCAGTATGTCTCAAGAGTAATGGAGGTTACCAACGATATGAGAAATCTTGGAGAGGAGATGCCGGATTCCAAGGTGGTCGAAAAAATCCTGCGAACACTTACTGAAAAATACACATACATGGTGTGTGCAATCGAGGAGTCAAAGAACATCAATGAGATGAGTGTAGATGGATTACAAAGCTCATTGATGGTTCACGAGCAGAATTTAAGTCGACACATAGGAGAAGAACACGCGTTGAAGGTGGAAAACCAGTGGAAACCGGAAGGAGGAAGAGGTCGTGGTCGTGGTAGATCTCCATATCGAGGAAGAGGAAGAGGAGAATACCAAGGCCGTGGACGTGGAAGCACGAGTTACAACAAGGAACATGTGGAGTGTTTCAAATGCCACAAGAAGGGACACTACAAAGCTGAATGTCCAGAATGGGAGAAAGAAGCTAACTATGCTGAGTTAGAGGAGGATATGTTACTAATGGCACATGTTAACATGATCAAAGGAGAAGAAGAACACATTTGGTTCTTAGATTCCGGATGCAGCAACCATATGTGTGGAACCAAGGAGTGGTTCATTGATCTCGACACAAACTTTCATCAAAACGTGAAGCTTGGTGACGATAGGAAGATGCAAGTGGAAGGACGAGGCAACCTACGACTTGAGATCAATGGAACAATCACGGTGATCACCTCAGTCTACTTTGTTCCTGGTTTAAAAAATAATTTGCTAAGTGTTGGTCAGCTACAAGAGAAGGGGCTGAAAATTGTGATTGAGGATGATGCTTGTGAAGTATGGAACAAGAGATTGAGGAAGCTGGTAATGCACTCCGTGATGTCAAAGAACCGTATGTTCATTATTTTGGCGAGTGTGAGGAAACCAAGCGAGACGTTTGAACCCAAGTGCCTGCAAGTAATAGAGGAGACTGATCAGTTATGGCATAGGAGGTTTGGACATCTCAGCAACAATGGGCTAAAGACGTTAGCAGAGAAGCAAATGGTGAATGGGATGACAAACTTTCATGGTGAAGGAATCAATGAGGCTGTATGCGAGATATGCATGAAGGGGAAGCAGAACCGTGAAAGCATTCCTAAGAAGAGTGACTGGAAATCAACCCGGGGATTGCAGCTGGTTCACAGTGACATTTGCGGACCAATCACACCAACATCTGAAGGAGGAAAGAGGTATATTATCAATTTTATTGATGACTATAGTAGAAAGTGCTGGACATTCTTTCTCGCAGAAAAATCAGACGCGTTTAGCGTGTTCAAGGAATTCCGAGTAGCTGCAGAAAAGGAATTGGGGCAGAGTTTGGTGTGTTTGAGAACTGATCGTGGAGGAGAATACAATTCAAAAAACTTTGAAGATTATTGCAAAGAAAACGGAATAAGGAGGCAGCTCACGGCAGCGTATACGCCACAGCAGAACGGCATAGCCGAGAGAAAGAATCGCAGTGTCTTGAACATGACGAGATGCATGCTCCTTGAGATGTCTGTTCCACGGAGGTATTGGCCAGAAGCAGTGCAGTATGCAGTGCACATTCTTAATCGCAGTCCAGCAGCTGCACTAGGAGATGTCACACCACAAGAGAAGTGGAGTAATCTCAAACCAACAGTGGAACATCTTCGAGTATTTGGATGTGTTGCTTACGCTTTGGTGCCGTACGAGAGGAGAATCAAACTTGATGAGAAGAGTACCAAGTGCGTCATGTTTGGCTTAAGCAGAGAATCAAAGGCGTATCGTCTCTACAACCCTGAGACGAAGAAAATTGTGGTAAGCCGTGATGTTCATTTTGATGAAAGCAGAGGTTGGAACTGGAATGAGAATGAGGGAGTGAAAGAGCTGTTCTGGGATGAGTCAGAATCAGAAACAGAAGAAAGAGATGAGAATGAGGAGGGACCAGATCCACCAGAAAACATCACTGATCAAGTAAATGAAGAGGAGGAAACAGCAGAACAAGAATCGCAACAACAAACTCCGGAGCCAGTTAACATAAGAGGAGGATCAGGGAGGCCGAAACAAGCTCCGGTGTGGATGAGAGACTATGTTGTAGGAAAATCGGGTTTCTTTGTCTCAGTGGATGAAGATGACACGTTTGCGATGTTCATTGCTGATGATCCTGAAAGTTTTGAAGAGGCTGTATTGGAAGGAGTGTGGAGAAAGGCTATGGAAGCAGAGATAGCATCTATAGTAGAGAACAAGACTTGGGAATTGATGGAATTACCAGAGGGAGCTAAAGTAATTGGAGTGAAATGGGTGTACAAGACTAAACTCAACGAGAAAGGTGAAGTAGACAAGTTTAAGGCAAGGTTGGTCGCTAAGGGCTATCACCAGAAGGAGGGAGTCGATTTCTATGAGGTGTTTGCTCCTGTAGCGAAGTGGGACACCATTAGAACACTTCTCGCTGAGGCAGCAGGAAGGAAGTGGACAATGTACCAGCTAGACGTGAAAAGTGCCTTTCTACATGGTAAACTAGAAGAAGATGTTTACATAGAGCAGCCAAAGGGATTTGAGGTGAAAGGAGAAGAAGAGAAAGTATACAAGTTAGAGAAAGCACTGTATGGGCTGAAACAAGCTCCAAGGGCTTGGTACAGCCGTATTGAAGGATACTTTCTGAGCCAAGGATTCGAAAAGTGTTACTGTGAACACACGCTTTTCGTAAAGAAGAGAGATGGTGAAGTTCTGTTGGTAAGTCTCTACGTGGATGATTTGATTTACACTGGAAGCTCAAAGGCGTTGCTTGATGAATTCAAGAGCTCTATGATGAAAGAATTTGCGATGACAGACTTGGGTAAGATGAAGTTTTTTTTGGGGGTAGAGGTGACTCAAGACAGTCACGGCATCTTCATTAATCAACAGAAGTATGCAGAGGAGACAATTAAGAAGTATGGAATGGAAGACTGCAATTCAGTGAAGAATCCGATTGTTCCAGGCCACAAACTGTCAAAGTTGGGAGCAGGAGAAGCTGTGGATCCAACAATGTTCAAACAATTGGTGGGAAGCCTGAGGTATTTAACTGCTACTAGACCAGATTTGATATATTCTGTAAATCTAGTCAGCAGGTATATGGAGAATCCAACTGAACAGCACTGGTTAGCTACTAAGAGGATTCTGAGATATGTTCAAGGGACAGTCAAGTATGGAATTAGATACACATCCGGAGGAGAGAAAAAACTGGTGGGGTACGTTGACAGTGACTATGCAGGGGATGTAGACGATCGTAAGAGCACCTCCGGATATGTATTTATGATGGGAGGAGGAGCAGTTTCGTGGGCCTCAAAGAAGCAACCAATCGTGACTTTATCAACAACAGAGGCTGAGTTCGTTGCAGGTGCATATGGAGCATGTCAAGCTGTTTGGCTGAGAAATGTGTTAGAAGAAATCGGGTCTGGTCAAGAAGAAGGAACAGTAATGTATTGTGACAACAGTTCGACAATTAAGCTGTCAAAGAACCTTGTTCTCCATGGAAGAAGCAAGCATATTCATGTAAGGTTTCATTTCTTGCGTGAACTGGTGAATAATGGAGTTATTCAGCTCGAGTATTGTTCTACTGGAGAGCAGTTAGCAGATATCATGACAAAGGCAACAAAACTGGAAGTGTTCGAGAAGATGAGAAGCAAAATGGGAGTGTGCATCAAGGATGAGTAAACTGAAAGGAGGAGTTTTCAGTTTAGGAGAGGGAATGATGAATAAAAACAGAGCCGTTGAAGTCAAGTTTGAAAGTTTCTTTGCAGAATAAGTCATCCGAGAATGTAGGAGATAAAGTTCAAGTCTGTTAGTTGTTAGATCCATTTGTTTCGGTCAATAAGTTTAAGATGTAAGGTCTATATAAGACCAAAGCTTTTCTCAATTAATGTAAGCGAAGTATTCAGCTTAAACCTGCAATTTCCAAAACCTGCAATCTTGAGTTTGAATATCTTAGAAAATAACAGTCGTCTCTGTGAAAGCAGAAAGAGAAAAATTTTAAAGTTGACTTTTAAAATCACAATTTCATTCTCGAAGAAGCTGACTTTAGTATGAGAGTTGATGTTGACCATAATTCTAATTGAGAACTATATTACTTGGAAATCAAATTGATTAATTATGTCATCATTGATATCCAATCTAGATAATAATAACAATCCGAATAAATACTTTCTACGTTTGCGTTTTTTTTTAATCATAATTTTTTTTTTTTTTAGTTACTAAATATACTTAAATTAATTATTGCAGCGTAACCGTTTAGTAGATCGTTGCAACATTTGGTTTATTCCACGAATAATTGTATTTTTAGTCTACTTTATGAACTTTTGTAATATTTAATTATCTACCGTAGCTTCTATTACATATAATTCTTCATAAATAAATTGCTGCAACATTTGGTTTATATGACAAATTATTGCAATTTTTAATTTATTTTATGAACCGTGTAATTTTGAGTTTATTTAACTAACCATTGCAATATTTGGTATACTAATATTTTCAGTCGCATCTCTCGGTAAAATTTTTCACAAATTATTATTATTATTTTAATTTTTAATTACTTGACGAACAATTGTAATTTTTGGTTTATTTTATGAACCATTGTAATCTTTAGTTTATTTGACGAACCATTGCAATCCTTGATATATTTGATATTTACAGTCGCGTCTCTCGGTAACCATTCTTCATAATTTTTTAAATAATTTTAGTTACTAAAATAGAAATAAATGAATTGTTACTACCGTCTAGTTGAATCATTGCAACATTTGGTTTATTTGACGAACCATTGAATTTCTTTACTTATTTAACAAAACCATTGTAACTTTTGGTTTATTTTATGAACGGTTACAACATTTGATATATTTGATGAACCGTGTCCGCAACAAATATTTTATAAGCCTTACCACTCATGTATTTCCAACCTTATTTATTGTAAATTTGCTTAAGAAACATTATTTCACTTATACGTATTAATTATTCAAAAGTGTTGCAGCTTTGAGTCGCTTCGCAATGATCTTACAAATAACCTTATACATATAGTTACTCATACGATTGCGCATCCGAATGTTTTGGAACTAGCGAGAGTATATATGGTAGCAGACTTTGAATTTGGAATCCAAACAAATACAATTTGGTAAAAACACTTCAAGTGCTCTTCTGATTCAATGATATCCTATGGGAGCTGGAGCTTCTTTCAGCTCATGACCTTGGTAGTGAATATCCTGCAATTTATATAAACATATTAAAAGAATTAATCATCGATCTTTTTAACATATATAATTTCCATATATTTTAGAGTACACACTTACGGATGCATAGTGGTTAACGTCACGGTGATGGGCCTCATCAGCACGAACCACCATGACAACATCACGAAGCGTTGCGTCAGCTTCAAGCCTCCAGTAATCAATAGCAATAGCCGGTGCTGGAACGTTTTCGATGTTACCATTATCGAGTTCCTTGAGAAATTCAGTGTAAGAATGTATTGCTTCTTCCTCAAGGTATCCAACCATACGATGAGCAAATTTGGGAGAGATTAAGTATCCAAGTAAATAAGCGTTGAAGAAAACGCCTTGAACAGCGATCACAAGAGCTCGTTCGTACCATTTCGGTTTCGCGACTTCCATGAATGTCATTAAGTGCATTCTCTCATTCTCTGCTTCTTCAAGAAGGGCTTTGATCCAACCTCCACTTTGTTCGAAACGCCTGAGCGATTTGAAGTGCATAAGCATCCCTCCAACCATTCCTGGCACCGCTGCAACCGTTTCTAACATCATCGCTCGGCATCCATACCGCCTCTACGTTTAGTCCTTGGTCAAATTAGGCAATACTAAAATCTTCTAACATGATAGCTAGCAACCAAATCTTCTAAAACTATTTTCACTATTTTAAGAGTTGGCATTTGGAACGATAGAAACCTAAGAATGTACCTGGAAGAAAAGATCGGTAGGCCATCGAAGAGATTTAACCATCCAATAAGCTAATTTGTCCGGTAAAGTCGAAGGAACATGATGCTTCTTCAAATCTATCGCTAGATCAGCTTTATACGTCTCCCATGGCTAGCATCATTCCACACACACAAAAATACTTATAAATCGAGCAAGACTATAAGTAACAATACATAAAACATGTAGTGAAAATATGTAATGTACCCGAAAACAAGTCCATTTCCATTCAGTTCCATCTTCTTTGGTGATTTTCATTGGCTTCACGCCCCAATAACTAACGATTAATTGCTCTCCTTTGTTACCTTGATCATCAGCCTTGCCGCCTACGCCAGATCTTTTTTCCTCCTCAGACGTTTTCTTCTTTTCAAATGACATCTTGCTGAAATCTCTCAAGCCTCCTATCGCCGGAACCCTAAAATTTTCCGCTGGAGCAAGTTGGTGAAATAGAACTGCTTTAATGGAAGTCGCCGGCTTTGATGCATCAAGGAGAGATCGACGGAGTAATGTAGTGATCATTTTTCGGATTCAAGGAATCAAGGGAGATCTTTTGGTTTTTTTTTCTTGATAAGGAAAACGTAAAACCCTAAAGTTTGGGAATGAAGGGTTTAACAAGAACAGTGCGGATGATGTCAAAACTCAAAACATCAACTGAAGTAATACTCCAAGTCTCCAACTAGTTCATTGGGCCTTTAATATAGCCCGCGCGCATAGGGCCCATTGGGTCTTAATTTTAGAGTCTTATAGAGATGGTATTTTAATGCCAAAGCATAGAGCAAGATAGTTTCTGTGGTGTGTTGATTTCGTCGTCTTAAGTCTCTAATTCATGCTTCATGTGAAGCTCTATATTTTCTTCCCGGATGAGGCAAAAGTTAGAGTTAAGATGATGAAGATGTACACGAACCGGATGCAAACAGAGTATGTTTATAGAGCAAATTTTGGTGGTGCAACAGAACTTGACCAGTGAGATCTCTTCAAAGTTTTTCCATGTAAAAAAACATGTTCGTAGCTTGTTCCTAAGCATCAAGTTCTTATCACTGAAGAGAAGAAATATTTTGGTTGTATGAGCTAAAAAAAAAGCTTTTGTGGATTGGATTGGGAATTGAACGCTTATTAGACTTATGAACATAAGAGTAATGCTTTTGTACCAAACCAAACATAAGAGTAATTCAAAAATGATTATGACTTGAGCACAAAGGAAAAAAAACACAAACTTAGAACTCTTTAGTACTTTTATCTTTTTACATTAACGGCGTTGTATAAAGACCGACTCCAAATCTGAAGGAGGCACAAAGAACTCTATACCGATATTGCTTCGACATTTCAACACCGGTTGGCGTTTCCTTGGAGCCGCTGGACATTTCAGTTTCTCCGACGTCTTTGCTCCTCTCTCCGTGGGAGTGATACAAACTTCATCTTCTTCTTCAGCTTCTGATTCTCTCTCTGGCTTTATGAGTTTCGTTTTCACCGGCTTCAGTGAAGCTCGAATCGAAACTTTGGCGAAGACAAACTTTTTTCCCTCGGTTTCGAATCCTCTGCTAACTTGAGATTTCTTCGCAATTCCCATTTTTAAAAAAAGGAAATTGGATCAGTTAGAGATTGAGACTCGTACAATGTTTTGAAGAAGAGGAAGCAAGAAACTAAACAGATGTTTTTAAATTGGAGAAGGAAGGAATAAGTGTAAAGTAGGAGAAAGATTGGTACTCTTAAAGAAAAGTGCGTTGCCTTTGCAATTTGGTTGCTTCCCCAGGAATTAAAAGAGAACGAAGCTTTCAGAGGAAGATTATTAGGTGGAAGTAGAGCAAAGGGTATAATTGGAAATTTTGATAATGTGTTTTCTGCCCGGGAAAGTCTTAAGATCTTTCCTTTTAATATTTGGCGCCATGGTTTTCAGAATATTTTAATCACAATAGTTCTTATTTTATTTTATTTTTGTTTAGGCTTGCGAATTTGGTTTATTCGGATAAAATGATTTATATATTTTAGTTAATCAGTTTTCTGGTTTTTCATAAATACTATTGGAATCGAACCAAAAATATTTGGTTCGATTTGACTTAGTTATCGATTCGCTTTAGTTATCGATTATAGAAGCATTTTGATATATTTTAATGAATTTTGGTATAATTCAATTTACTTTGATAAACTTAAATTCTATAAAAATGACATCAAATTTTCTTTTAGTGATAAAAATTAATCAATTAACATACTAAATAATAGTATTTTCTTTTTCAACTAATGAAGTTTAAATAATTCAAATGGTTTTTAGACTCTTTAGCTGGATAATTATTTCTTTTGTTGTAATCTCAAGAACTTAAAAAATAAAAAAAAGCTTGTAGACTCATTTGATCCATTACCAAATGGGCCATCACATTTGGGCCTTATAAAAAATGATCTTTGGAGATGAATTTAAAAAGTCTTTCTCTATTCCTCACCGCATAAGAAAGAGGTCAAACAAAAACATTTTCAGATTTTGGGGAAAAATTAATTTTCCCGCGTCAAATGAGAAACCACACCGCCCAAAAATCCAGTATCCCGCCGGATTCAGATGATAAACTTTTTCTCCACCGGCAAATATCAAACCATAATCTCACTTCTCTCCGCTGCTTCTCTCTCTCCCCTTCGATTGCTTCAGAGACTCTCCGATGGAATTCTCCAGATCTAGATCCGTCTTCGTCAACATCGGACTCAGAGAGCTCAATGGATTTCGAGGTATTTACATACAAATTCATGCTTCCTACTGTATATCTGAGTTTCTGCTTCTTCAGATTATTCTTATTGAACTTTTTTGTTCCTTGGTTCCAGTACGGAAGCGACCGTTCTTCGCAGATTCCGAGCTGATTTGCAGAGAAATCGCCGGCGTGGCGGTGGAACACGACGGGAATCGAACTCCGCCGTTGGCTGTTTCCTTTTGTAAGGTATGGTTCAGTTGATTTCTCAATGTAGCTAGCTTAAATCCTAGATCCAATCTCAAAGCTTGATGAAATCTTCTGATTCTGTTGTGGAATTTTACTAGATTTAGAGAAATGTATACCCCAATTTTTGTCGTTTGTGATTTAGGTTTAACGATTTTGTACAGACTAGCCGGAATTCGCAATTGTTCGCCGTGTCTGATGAAGACGGTCATGTGAGCTTGTTTAATTCCAGTAAGAAGTTTGCCTCTTCTGCAACTCACCAAGAGAACACAGGTATTGTCTCCTCCCTGTTAGAACCCTAATTCACTGTAAGTTTGAATCGAATACTGATTTGTGTTTGTTTCAAATGTGTAGAGAATGCTAGATTTCGTGATTGGATTGCTCATTATAATGCGATCTTCGACATTTCTTGGATCAAGGTACGTTTGATTCGTGAATGTTATCGGGAATTAAGTGAAGCTCATTTGATGTTTACTTATTGCAAATTTGTTGCAGGGAGATAGTTGTCTTTTAACTGCTTCTGGTGATCAAACTGTAAGTTGTGACTCAAAATTTTTTGATTGACTAGTTTGTGAGGACAAATTTGTGATATTGACATTTATAGACGCTTGAATGCAGATTAAAGTATGGGATGTAGAGGAGAATAAGTGTACTGGAGTTCTTATAGGACATACAGGAACTGTAAAATCAATGTGTTCACATCCAACGAATTCTGGTTTGTTTCTTGCAGATATCTCTTTGTGTTTTACTAATTGATAAAGTTGGTTAAGATGGCTCTAACTCTTGCTGCTTGTAGATCTTCTTGTATCTGGTTCAAGAGATGGATGTTTTGCGTTGTGGGATTTAAGATGTAAAAGCAGCTCTCACAAAGAGGAATTTTGTATTAAGTAAGTCCTTTAAACTTAGTTGTGATGATCTTTTTCGGTGTTTATTCCCCTTAAAATCATCTTGATAGTTTTACTGATCTTCACAGCTCCACTGGCATGGTTAAAGGAGCTCATCTATCTCCTCTTTCAAAACGAATCAGACGTCGCAAGGTTTTACCTCCTGCTTAGTCCTGACTCTACACTTCTGATCTTCTATCCTATCTTCTCTGCTAATGGGTTCATGTTTTCAGGCTGCTTCATCAAGCATTACCTCTGTGCTTTATCTCAAGGACGAGATCACAATTGCTACTGCTGGAGCACCTGATAGGTACTTCACAACATTTATTGGGTTCATGTAAAAGTAGTCCAACTCCTTAAAGCATATAGAAATGGTGTTAACGTCCTTTGTGTTTTTTTTCTGCCATTCTTTTAGTGCCTTGAAATTTTGGGATACAAGGAAGCTAAAAGCTCCTTTTGCTCAAGCCTCTCCACAGTCAGACCCAACAAACACTAAGGTAAGCCAAGCATCCTATTCCTAGACTGCGATAATATCACATGTTTGTTCTGAATGGTTTTAAGTGAATAGCTTAACCCTCAATCTGTCTGAAGTGATTATAAATAAGGCTAATCTGTATCCGGCTTTTTTAAAAATTTGTTCAGGAAAAGAGATCACATGGTATAGTATCCTTGTCCCAGGACTCTAGTGGAACCTTTCTCACAGCATCATGCAAGGACAATAGGTTAGAGTTTTAAGATTCATACTTTATAACTTTTCTTAGTGAGATAGTCCTCGTCAAACAGTCTAGCTCAAACAAAGTATTTTCTCTCTTTGCAGAATCTATCTATACAACACGCTGCGGCTTGACAAAGGACCTGTACAATCTTTCTCTGGCTGCCGAATAGATTCTTTTTTCGTAAGGGTAATGCCTCCTTCACAATCTTCCCTTCAATCACACCATTGATTTGCTTTTACAACATTTTTCACCTGCTCACTCACTATCTAAATCTTGCTCTGCAGACGATGATTAGTCCTGATGGTGAATATGTCTTGAGCGGTTCAAGCGATGGAAACGCTTACATATGGCAGGTTTGGATTCTGTTTCTTAGTTTGACATTCTCTTATAAATCAAGATTCAAGAGTTATCTAAGTGCTCAAACACCATTGCAATTTCAGGTCAATAAACCTCAAGTAGATCCTATAATCTTGAAAGGCCATGACTTTGAAGTTACTGCAGTAGATTGGTAACTCCACTTCACCAACTCTTATTCTTTCTTCACTGCATCCAACTAGCAGACAAGTCGATTCGATGATATATAACTAAACTGGCTCCAAATCTATTGTGCTGCAGGTCTCCATCAGAGATTGGGAAGGTTGCAACAGCCTCAGATGATTTCACGGTAACAAGACATTTCATATATGTTGATACAAGCAAAAGGTCTTTGCCTTTTACTGATTTCATGGCTGTTCATAATTAGGTACGACTATGGAACATAGAGAACAATCGCTGCACAAACACAAACGCAACAGCGTCTGTGTCTAGAGTCAAACGCAGAGTAACCGCATTGTCAAACACTGAAGCCAAAGAAAGACTTGAGATGAACAGAGAAGCTGAGAGTCCCCAAAAGCATTCATCATTATTGGATGATGATTATAATAATAATTATCAGTCAACGCATATCATTAGAACTCCAGAGTCTCAGAAGAAGAAAACATCATCATCATCATCGTTGTCATCATTATCATCATCAGAAGAAGATATAATATGCGAGAGAACACCAGAAACCACATTCAACAGTCCATCCTCTGTACTAAACCCTCCTTCCTCAGTCAAAAGGCGAACCATTAGAGATTATTTTCTTGTCACTCCCTAAACTCTAATCTCTTGTTCGAAGTTTATTGTATAGAAATTGTAAGCCTTTTAGATTGGGGTTGATATCTGAAAGTTTTGTATGAAGTAAATCAGAAACTATTAATTCAGACAAATATTTTACCATTTGTTAATGCATAAGGGATAAAGCATCCATCATAAGTCACCAAACTCAATTATGGTTAGATTAGATAAATGAAAAGATATGATAGAGAAATTAGGTAAATGACAAAAAAATCAAAAAACAAATTAAGCAAATGGCAATATGACAAAATCAATATTCATCATCATTCCAATTCTTTTAACCTTAACGAAGCGCTGATTTTTTTATTTTATGCAACATGTCATTTTTTAATGTGGATGTATAATTTATGATATGAAGTTTTAACAAAAATTAAAATTCTAAACCCGAAATACTAAAATCTAGCATCCATATAAATAAATTAGACCTTTCATAGAGAAACACTTTAAGTAAAAATTTACATATGCCGTACCATGAAGGATAATGTCATCCAATTCCAAACGTGTCAGAAAATAAACAAATAAATATTTTATTTGAATTAATTACGGATTTTGCCATTTTTCATAGTGGCATTTGTGGATTTTGCTCTTTTTCAAATAGTTTATAGATTTTACCCTTTTTTAGGCTCCAAAAATATGATTTAACATGCGTTTCACTCGTTATGTTTGGGTTTAGTCGGTTCCATTTGTTCTTAGGGTTTAGTATTTGGTATAAAGTACGTATTTTTGCAAAAAAAATCAAAAAATACGTACATTTTTAAATGTTAAAAAGGGCAAAATCCGTAAACTATTCAAAAAATGGCATTTTCGTAAGTTTTTCCCAAAAAATGGCATTTTAGACAACAATCCCATTTTATTTTCCCATTGCTATTTTCTTTTGCTCTTTTAAATTGTATCACTGGTTGCATTCATAAAAAAAAGACAGATGGAATCATGGAAAGTATATTAGTTGAAAATAAGAGTGGACATCACTAAAAACTTATCGTATATATTGGATTGGATGTATATGTATAATGTAATAAGAAATTAGGTGTTTAACAAAAATAAAATAAGAAAGGAGGTATTCAGCCAAAACAAAAGAAGAGAAGATCATGTGCATTAATAAAATAAATTTGATCAAATAATTGTGCATATGTAATGATTGTTGTGGCCATACTAAACACTTGACTTGCAATAATTCCGTATTATACATTTTTTCAACAACCAATCCACAAAGTCCCAACCTATGATTACTAAATCATAAGCACCTTTGGTTTAAGGGTTTATACAAACTTGAGTTCAAGCTAGATCTCAAAATATTTTCACTACCATAAATTTTGCTATAATTAACAACCATGAAATCTTCTCTAGGATTTAAGCTATTGTTAAATTTCCTTTCAAAATATTTATCGAAATTTTCATTTGGAGAAATTCAAAGTAGTATCAATGTTAATTTTCATTATCCGTATATGCTATACAAACATTGTTTTTTTTTTTTTATAAATTTTAATTATATCACCAGAAGGAACTTGAGGTATAAGCTATTGCTTTTTTTTTTCTTTTTTTTTTTGGGACAAAAAGTATATGCTATTGCTATACTACACATTTCAACCACTTATTAATTTTTTTTTTTTAAATATATACATAGAACTTACCAGGTTTTGAACCAACATTAATTTCTTGCAATATTTTGTTATCCCAATTGTCCAATTAATAAGCAAAGGATACCGACTTCTAGTTTTAGGACCTCTAGGTGCATGCATATACTGTATATACATGAATTGTTTTAAATTGATGATACATAACTAATTAGCGCACACACTATCTTGGCTTCTTTTTTTGGACGTCACATTTGCTTTTGTTTGTTTGGTCGACCCACATTAACTTTTTTTATATACACGATAAGAGATATATATTTTAATTCGCAATCGCCAGGCCCAATTTATATATGTAGAAGGATATTATTTGTATGCATTCGTATTTAAGTGCTTCTTCTTTCTTTTTCGATCTGAATTGGGCTTTTCTCTTTTCATATTTTCTTCACTCTTCTTTCAATTTTATATTATTTTATACTTTCTTGTATACACATATACGCAAATGTATACACTGAAATCAAATAAGGAAATACGTAAAGTATATCGTTATAAAAGAATACGTAAAGTAATGCTTGCCAATGATTGATTATCTTATCTAATCATTGGTATAATCTACGCACTTGCTACCAAATATTGCACTTATATAGAAATTGAAGCACATATATGTTTATGGAAACAATAATAATGCATCACTCATCATTTTTGTAAGTTAAAGCACTTGGATTAAAAAGGATATATATCAACTACTTTGTTTGGTACATCTTTTAGGTTCTAATTTGTTTGGATGATTAAAGTTGTCTAGCTGAGGAAACATCTGCATATGTATGTACTGTTAATTTGCTAAATTTAATTATAGGAATATAAATTCCATAATCCAACTACAACCTATCGTACACACATTTATCAATCATATGAAATAAAATTTTAACATTCTAACAAGAGTTATCGAACTTACAACAACCTTTAACTATTCGGTGAAAACGTGAAAAAGTTGCATAGCATTCAAATCTTTAATTTCAATTATTTTTTTAGAAAAAGATAATGACGGTATAGTTTAAAGAAGAAATTGTTTTCAGAAAATTCTGTTTTATTAGAAACTTTATTTGGATTCAAGCATGTGGCTCAACCATCAGGGTATGCCAAATTTTTTGAATAAACACATCAATTAATTAAAAAATGTAAAAGTTAATAATTATTTTTCAGACAGATAAACAGTAAAATCAACAGGGGTTATATGTTAACAGTTAAATTTAATCAAGCAAAGCGACAATACACATGTCGGATTTGCGCATATCCTCAATAGTTCTGATGTCTTTGTAAGTTTGTATCCCAAAGCCTTCTGAAATTTAATTCAAACAATATATTAAGAAATGGAACAAAGACTTCACAAACATTTTTTATTTTTACGGAATAATAAACCGTGAAAAGGTCAAAGGTAAATAAATAATGAATCAATTATGGATTTGCCATTTTTTTAATGGCATTTGTGAATTTTGTTTTTTTTGAATAGTTTGCGGATTTTACCCTTTTTCAAGCTATAAAAATGTGATTTAACATGCCTTTTTACCCGTTATGTTTGGGTTTAGTCGGTTTCATTTGTTCTTAGGGTTTAGTATTTGGTATAAAGTACGTATTTTTGCAAAAAAAAATCGTAAATACGTACATTTTTAAGTGTTAAAAAATGGCAAATCCATAAAATTTTAGTAAAAATGGCATTTTCAAAATATTTTGATGAAAAATGGCAAAATCAACAATAATCCCATAAATAATACTAATAGCTTACAAATTAAGGTTTATCATTAGTTTCTTAATAAAATGGTCCTGAGGGCTATTCCAATTTTGATTTCGACACACCTTCGAATGTACCTTATTTTAAAAACATGAAAGTATTGGTCGCTTGATTCTTGTCCTTTTTTAATTATCCCATGTATTCATAACTTACACAATAAAAGAATATTTTCTTAAAATTTAATAGAAAATACGTTATATATTTACTGAAAGCAATTGAATGGAGTAAAATTTGCCACGGTCAGAGTTAATTATTCCTTTTTTAGTTCACTATTTTAGGTCCTCAATTAATTGAGGCCAATTTGTCTTTTTGTAATCTCATTATATGCATCTTCTTTCTCTTTCTCATACCACCAAAAATGCCTTTTGCCCCTCTCTCTCTATCTCTAACCCATGTCTCCTCTTTATCTCTCTAACTTTCCCCTAGCTAGAGAGATTCCTCTTTGTCTCAAACTAGGGTTTTCTCTCTGAAAACAACAAAAATATATATCCCAATAATTGCAAATCTACTTCAAGATTTTCCATTCTCCTTCTTATAATTAATACCCAAGAGAGAAACAAAGAAGATCAAACCTTTTCAAGAAGTTATCAAGTAGGGGACCTTTTCTTGTTACTCCATTTAAAGGTAAGACCGAGATTGTTTCATTCTTCCATAGCCAATTCACATACACATTTGCATAATATATACTTTCTATGCTGATTGATTATATAAATTTAGAGAGTTTAGTTCATGAAAATTTGATCACTGATCTTGAACTTCCAAGTTAAATTTTGGACGACTTTTTTATTTACAAAAAAAAAGTTACAATTGAACGTGAAATCTCGAATTCGTGACTTCTTATAGATAGTGAAATTAACACTGACCCTTAAAGCATGTAATAAAGCTATATAACTAGGTCACAGATTCAAGATTTAAAACCAATATGTTGATATAGATGCGGGAAACTCAGAGTCAGAGAGACAGCAGAGAGTTTTGTAATGAGGATAAAATAAGGAACATCTGCTAAACTAAAAGCCAAGAACAAAATTGTATGGTCAAAAGTGTTTGATTTCTTCGATTTTTAAGAAAATTATTATTCAACAAATTCCAAGATTTTTTTATTTTTTTTCATGGGATTTTCACTAAATTTGATGGCACATAAATAAAGCCATGTTGTTGACAAAAAAATCTAGCTCTAGTGTATAATATGAAAATATACATATTACCACCTTCTTAAAAATTCTTATGCAAAGTCTCACATTTGAAATGAATGGCAAAATCTTTGAGGACATGTTTGTTTATTTTGGACCAACTAATACTGTAAACGTAAAACTAGTGTGAGTTACCTTCAATTCGAATTCAATATAGCAACACCATTTTCTTCATATTCTTATTGTGTGTTAGATTCACCAATGACTTTGATTTCACATATTGTGCAAATACATGTAGTATAACTACTATGTTTTGTATTATAGATTAGTCTCGATTATGTCCCAAGATCTTATAATATGTAAGATTAATCGATTAGAAAGGAGTATCTAGCTAGTATCTATGTACATATGTGTTTAAGATATTTAAATACAGATTTAGATGGTATAACATCTTTTTAATGGAGTAGAAACACCGAACACTACGAATAATGAATTTCAAGGATAAGAAGATAGGAATTAACATGCATCATACGTCTTATAACTAGTTATATTGATGATGAGACTATTATTTCTAGTTTCTATTCTTACGAAGAATAATGAATTTTGAGGATAAAAAAACTAAGAACATCATACGTCTTGTAACCAACTATATGGATGACGAGACAATTATTGCTAATTACCAACACAAAACGGACGACTTCGAAAATGTATCTATTGGTATAATCTGTATACGTAGACATATATATATATATATATATACACACACACATAGACATTGTTGAAAATATAGTGATGCATGTATACAAAAGAGACTCGAACTAGAGAATTACAATATCGATGTGGATCAAGATTCATATCAATCTTATAATTTCGAGAACTCCTAATAAAATATGTAAATGTGATTAATTAAATCGTTTCTTTCCTTTTTGCAACTGTAAAATCAGGGGATATACAAGAAAAAATGTCGAACTACACAAACTCACCCTGTGCAGCATGCAAATTCCTCCGGCGTAAATGCACGTCAGACTGCGTATTCGCACCCTATTTTCCGCCGGAGGAACCTACAAAGTTTGCGAACGTCCACCGGATATTCGGGGCAAGTAATGTAAGCAAGATCCTTCACGAAGTAGCCCCACATCAGCGGGAAGACGCGGTTAATTCGCTAGCTTACGAGGCGGAGGCACGACTTAAAGATCCAGTGTATGGCTGCGTTGGAGCGATCTCGGTGCTCCAAAGACAGGTCTTGAGGTTGCAAAGGGAACTAGAGGAGACAAATGCTGATCTCATGAGGTACGCTAGTTGTCTTGGTAGTGAAACGACGTCGGCTTATGGTGGTCGGAGGGGTTGACTGGTCAACGGGAGTACGTTGATTAGTCATCATCACTCTTTGAGAGAATTAGCGGCGGTGAAGTATAAAGAGAGAGAGAGTGGATGATTGATGTGATGGAAGTGATGAGGATATCTTCGTATGTATATATGTCTATGGAGACATGCGTATGTATCTTTATGTTTGTTTTCATGTATATACTTATGCTGCGTATGTGTAATTTAACTTGTAATTTTCTTACATGGGAGGTCAAGAAATATTTTTGATGATGTTTAATAAGCAATAACTAGCTCTTGTTCTTGCTCATATCTCCCTACCTAACTCTCCTTAACTTGATCTTGCTCCACTTACATGGGGCCTCATTATTCACAAGTTTCGTAGTTTCTGCTTAAAGATTTATGTTCAAAATGGTATCCTTGCTTAATGTGTGTACACATATTCCATTGATTCATGATAGATTTTCTAGCATATTATAAAGTTACATTCAACGAATTGTGATATTATGCCAATGATGCAAAATTAATATTGAATTATGATATTCAAAAGCATAAAATTTCATGTCGACGGTTTTGTATAGACTCATAGGAATGTAGGCTAATAATTGGTTATTTGATTACACACACCATGTTGCTAATATTCTAAGTTAAATGAGTGATTTTATATATTTGTCGACTTGAGAAAAAGTTTAAATACATTAATCAATTGCTGACTGGAAACATCAAATTTTAGTAGCTTTATTTAGGCACATGTCTTCATAGGGAATCTCTTTTTAAAGTCGGTCTTTTTTAAATTTATGTCATTTGGCGGCAGCTAACAACCACATATATTTTATTATTTTACATTAAATCAACTAATCTTGTCAAAAGAAAAGATAACAAATCTAACTTTTCTTTTCGATAATTAAGATTGCTAATGATTTCTAATATTTTTAAAGATTGAGTATGTATGATACCCAAATAATAAGTTAAATCAAAAGCTTAAATAATCATGTATCTTACTATATATTTTTGGGTATAATGAAAAGTTAAAAATGTTCTAATTTTTTTTAACCATTTCTAAGTTCCGTGAATAATATTATCGGAAACAAATCAATTGTGCAAATGGCTGATTTAAAATAAAAAGTTGAAAGAGTTAAATGACCATTCATCTTATTTTTTACCATTTGAGATGAATAAATTAGAAATTCAATTCTATTCATTCAATCAAAAAAGTTGAAAAAATAAAAAAGTTATAAAGGAAAATTGTTCAAGTACTCTTTCATCTACTATTTCGCAGTAGAATAAGTTGAATGAAGTTCAACATTTTTTTGTTCAATTCAAAATTTTCCAATCATTCATGTATATGTCATCTATTTGCAGCTTAAGTGTATAAGATGAAAAATGTGTTTATAATTATACCGATAAATATCCACCTACATTATATACAGAAATCAAATATTTAATATGTGGTTTAAATATTTATCCCAATCCAGTTAAATATGTAAAATTTTAAAATAGTATTATTGTTATTATTAAAAAAAATTAATAATATTCAAAAATATTTTAAAACTACCAGTAGGTTTTGGATCCATAGACATGTACATCCCAAAGAAGAATCCAAAACCATATAATTTAACTCGGTTGAGTATACCTCTCTTAGAAAGTAAACCCGGTTGGTCTAAGCCCGAATTGTTTTTTTGTTTTCACCGCTCTATATATTTGTTACAAGGGTGCGCAAAGAAATACCAAATGACACATGCATCATGTTTATGCAATTAGATCAACTGTGCTTGGAACAAATTATGACAACTTTGGTTGTATGTATTATGTATATGCACTCTCCTTCTCTCTTTCAAATTTACTTTGGTTGTATTTCTTTACCTTTATAAATTCTTTGTCTGTCAAGTTGTTCCATTTGTATTGGGTAGATAAACAATGTATTTTGTTTAAGTTATGAAATCTTAATATTTAAACCAAAAAAAAAAAAAACAATAACGACAACTTTATGGAAATCAATTGAGTTATTTATTTAGTCGAATGTGTAAAATATTAACATATGAATTCAATAAACGGACATATATGCATGATATTCTAAACTACATACGTATATTTCTTTGACTTCCATGTGTGGATTTACATGTCGACAATCAAGACACGGGGATTCAAGATTTGTGTTCAGATTCAGACAGACATGAGTCAGTTTCAGAAACAGTAACTAAAGGTACATTCAAGTTTTAACTCTTTTAAAATAACATTTTTTATTAATCACACATTCACACTATCACTATCTACTGCAGATATATGATTGTTTTGCCATGTGATATATCATATCAAATTGTACTCATCTTAAGACTTTTCCTCAATTATTCCCTCCATCACTTTCATTCTCTCTAAACTTTTTTATACTTTTTGTTTTCTCACCGATGACGTTTTCTTCTATTACAATACGTAAATAACTAATCATGAAACACAGTGTAGTAGTTTGTGCTAGTGATGTTATTGTGTCATTTATACTTGGGTTTAAATCCTCATACACGTTGTTGATTTGAAGAAAAACTAAACAATGATAACAAAAATCCTTATATTTTCAAACATTCTTATCTTATGCAACTGAGTTTTTTTGTCACGGATTCACACATTTTCTTACAATTAAACTTTTCTATATTCAAGAACTGGACTTGTGAGTTGTGACTTGTGACCATATAATAATAATCCAGAGAAACTATTGTACTACTACTAATGTCCCCATCCATAGAAAAACGACTGTTATAGACTTATAGTACTTGCGATTTGAGCCATAGACCTAACTTGTTACAGGTTAAAAAGGTGAAGAGCAAGCACACGAAGAAAACTTAAATGGGCCATATTGGGCCCAGTTTACAGACCAAGAGAAAGTGAGAGAGAGAGTTTGTCCTCTCGTTATCAAGTAACAGTGGATCACCACTAAACCGCCCAATAGCCTTCTAATCAAAATAGAAAGGTCCAATAACAGAAACAAATGAAAAAGCCTTGTTCCATGGAAGACGTCGTTATCTCCTGCCCGAATTGATTGATTTAGTTATCATTTTTTTCTTGGATTAGACATGTAAGAGTGTCTCCAAATAAAAATAATAATACTTTTTATTTAGTTTAGTTATTTATTTTAATTTTTATTTGTTTATATAAAAAAATTATTATCAGTAGACAATTAGACATATGAAAAAAAAAAGTTATAAGAGCATCTCCAAAAGAGACCTCAAATATAAGATTTTTGATTTTCTATAGATAACCTAAAATTGAGATTTCAACTTTTTCTATTTGTATTTTTTGTCCTCACAATTATTTCTATCTTAGAAATACTTTTACTAATTTATTATTTTATCATATTTGTCTTTAAAGTTTTTTGCCTTACAAATATAAATTTCATTTTCTCATATTAAAGTTTGCTATCATTGCATGAGCACTATATTATTGGAAAAGATGTATTACATGATATAATAACAGTATGCATTATAATGCATAATATGGTAATTGAAAATGAACGTGATATCAACGCACCGATTAGAGAAGCAAGATTAGTACCAGAGGCAACCGTGGAAATGGAAATAAACAAAAATACTCGATTTCAACAATTTTTATCTTGTAATCAACATATAAAAATAAAGAGACTCATCTAACTCTTCGAAATGCATTGATTGATCATATATGGAGCATTACATAAATACTTAATTGTGTTCAATTATTTGATAATGTAGTTTTAATTTATGATTTCTCTTGTTTGTTTTTATTATTATTTTGTGTAACTTTATTTTATAATGTAATATCTTAATAATTAATACTGCTTGTAATATTTTTAATGTATGTTTTATTGTTATTTATAAAAGTTTTATGGTTTTATGTAATTATAATCAATATCAAGGATTATTATGCAAAATAATTTTTTTTTGAAATTAAATTTGAAGTTTTCTTTTAGAAAGACATAACTCTAAACCTCAAATTTGAGATTCCTTTTTGGAGATGTCTATTTCGTTTCTAATACGTTTCTAACCTCTCTTTTCACTTTTTATTTTTTTTCAATATTTTATTAAAAATTTCTAAGTGAGCGACTTCCATTAAAAATATCCTAACTAAACCAACTAGACAACCAAAATGGTGCTCGTGTTATAACTTATAAAATCGATAAATCAAGCTCTTAGTTATTAAGAAAAAAAAATTATACATTTGTTTTTACCAAATTCAGCTAGATTCAATAATTTTGACACCATCATTTGTTATCTAAAATATTTCGCCAGATTTAGCAATTGAGCAAGAAAATAAAGACTTTTATACCAACTTCAGCTGAATTTAACTAAAAAATATATAGAAATTGTAGTTGAAATATTATGCCGAATAAGAAGTCTTTAGAGACTGTGTCTTTTTTTATCGTTCCTTTAATCAATAAGCTTAGTTTCTAAGAACTAGATACCTTTGACACATCGTCTTAGATTGGTAGAATTTGTTTCCTGATTTTTATCTACTTTGTTGTTATGTATTATAAGCTATTTAAAGCCATCTTGATTTTACTCTAATATAAGGAATATTCTTCAACACTTGCAACAACGTTTCTATTATAGGATTGTGGTATATATCAGTGCCTTTATAAAAAGAGATTTGATTGAGTGAAACACGAGTATAATTTTTAGTGCGAGAAAGCGTGTGAAGAGTAAAAAACAGTAAGAGATAGCAATTGAATCAAGCAATTTAGGTGCCAAAATTTGATGGGGATCGGACTACGATCATCGAAGTTTGAAGTGTAATTCAAACATGTACAAGGAACTTGAAGATGGTGAAATTTTGTCAGTAGTACACATCAGAAAAACATTTGATGAAGCATAACTCAAAGAGCAAAGAACTATTTTTTTCATGCCACTGAAAAATCTATCTTGAAGACCATTACTCGAAAGGAGACAACAAAGCAACGTAACTGTGGTCTGTGGGAGTCAATGAAAGTAAAATACCAAGAGAATAAAAGGAAGCCCAAGCCTCTGTGGTCTAGTGGTAGAGGAAGCTTTGGTGAAGGGTGAAACTCCCAGACCCGAGTTCGATTCTCCCTGGAAACAAAAACACATTTGTTTGGGAAGTCTGTCAGTTGGGCCTAGGCCCAATTGGTTTATCTGGTAGTCAGAAATGCAGGCGGCCTGACTACCCCCTGGCATTAGTCGGAAGGTATTCCAAACTCGGATCAGGCAGTGTGGTGGCCCAATTCTACCTGGATCAGGAGAAGTCCACTCTGTAGCACCTCAGTGTGTTCCTACCGAGGCCGACCAGATCAGCCGATAGGGTTTATCAAAAAAAGAAAAAAAAAAAAAAGAATAAAAGGGTAAAATATGCTAAAGTACCAAGGTTTCGAATAACGTTTGAAACCTCGGAGATGGAGATTAAAGAAACATAGTTTAACTCTAGAGGTTCATGTAAATTGATTTCACTATATCATAATTTTTGGTTATAATTCTAAAATTCATATATACATTCTAAGGTCTTGAATGAGAAACTGTCCCGTCTTTATCCCATGGTAGATTAGGCAAATGCCATGAATTCAATGTTATAAGAACATTATTTACAATGTAATTTTATATGGAGATTTTAGTGTTTTTTTTTGGTTTTGTCAGAAACTCCACTATATATATATTAAGACGGGCATGATGATGGGAAGTGACGCATAGGTGCAAATTTTGCTTGAAACGCTTCGACATTCTCATTCAACAAAAGTCAAACATATTATATGTGGTGCATGCAGAGCCCTCCCTGAGAATTTGAAGACCACAAGCAACAAAAAATAATTCTGGGCCTACTATTTATAAGAAAAGATTAAAAATGAAAAAAACAAAAAATAACAGAGTAGTGGATTCGAACTGATCACCTGCACATGCTATGACACACTTCAAACCACTAGACTACTTGAACATTATTGATAAAAATGTGGCCGATTATATATATAGGGGATTTGGGGCCGCAAGCACAAGCTTGCATTGCTTGGCCTCATGGCCGGCTCTGGGTGCATGCATTCGTTATGGATTAAAAAATAAAAAATAAAGTATACTGAATGCAATATACATACGAGAGAAGAATTATGAAAAACCGCTTGCTACAATTAAACACAAGACATATGATTTGGTCTTAACATTTCTTCTAACCACATTTTTCATTAAAAATAAACTTCCGTAGTTCCGTAACTTCTCCACTTTTAGAGTTTTAGTAGACTAAGAAATCTAACTAAAATTAAAATCATAATAGAACGCCTTCATCAACACCTTTATTTTTTCTTAAAACTTTTATACTTGTAATTTTCCACAAAGATTTCATTTTCTAGCTCATTCTTATTAGATAATAGTTAACTTTTTTTTTTGTAAATAATATATGCTCTTATAATAATAAGAGAACATGAAATATGCAAATTTATCCTAATTATCTAGAATTTATTAAAATTTTGTGTTTAGAAACATGAAATTCTTGATTCTACCAACAAATATATTTTTATAAAATTTCAAATTATATTTTTATAATTTAGTAAATGTGTTATATGGCTCGTAAATATCATATATACAAACGTTTGATCATCAACTAAACACAAAATTAATAATCACTAAAATATCATAAATTTACTTTATTTTTTAAATATATATCAACAACGTTTTTATTTTTTTTACTATTCAATATTTATAATGTACTGCATGTTGTTTTCTTTCCATATATTGTTTAAACCATTTGACCCGTTCTAACTACACTCATCTAGTATAATACGTTTTTTGCACGAACGCATTTAAACCGCACCGCATAATTCAATCTGTTTCCACACCATCCAATCTATTATTACCATTCGAAACCTGATATTCTAAATACAATAAATCATAAGTATATATACTTTGGTTGAAAATTGAATTAATTATCATTACTAATAAAATGCTTCATAGTAACTAGATTTTAACCCGCGGTACACCGCATGATGATTTGTTTTTAAAGTTAATATAAAAATATTTTGTAAATTGTATCTTCTTATAAAATATTTATTTATATTATAGTTTACAATTGTTATTAAGTAACGGTATACCACGAGTCCACGAAACAATTGTTAATAAACTGAACATTTAACCCGTATTAAAGCGGCATGTTAATGATATTTATAAATATTGATTCAAATTTATCCGCCATATAAACCCGTTCCGAAATATAACCCGTTCCGTAATTTCTTAACCCGTCCCGTGATTTGTTTTTATTTTAAAATTTAATAATTATTTATTATATATAAAAGTTTACAAATCATATTATTCTCTAAGATATTTATATTTTAATAAACTAAAGATTTAATCTGTATTAAAGCGGCATGTTAATGATATTTTAAAATTTTATAAATATTGATTCAAACTCGTCCACCATATAACTTCGTTCCGAAATATAACCTGTCATGTAACTTGTTAACCCGTCCCGTGATTTATTTTCTAAAAGTAGTAATTTTTAAAATTTATCGATTATATAAAATTTTGCAAATTGTATCATTTTCTAAGATATTTATATTTTATAGTTTACAATTGTTATTAAGTAACATTATACCACGGGACAATTTTTGGTTTTATACAATCTTTTCTAAATGAGACTGATTTAATATGTCTAATATTGGTGGTATTAAAAAAAAATTAAAGATTTAATCCGTATTGAAGCGGCGGATTAATGATATTTTAATCTTTTTATTATTGTTGATTCAAAAACCCGTCCCGCCAAACCCGTCTGGCCAAAAAACTCATTTATTTTATTAATGTTGATCTTATTTATGATATGATTTTGAATCATTGTCTAAATATTTTAATCGATGTAGAACGTTGAACACACATTTTTGTCAATTGGATAATATATGTCCGTTTTTAAAATTTTGAATCACAGTATATGCAGAAAAAATTGATTTTTTTTTTACTTTATGTATTATACGATGATTCAAAACCGTTAAAAACAAATCAAAGATGATAGGAGAATCATAAATCTTAATCAAATCTTCTAAATATCTAAATTATTAAATATGGAATATCCGGTGTATCAGTTGGGTTAAATATAACCCGACCTAATAAACTTTTTATGATCAAAATTTGTAAACGGGTCGGGTATCCATTATCGTTACTTTCCAACACCATCCAAGTTAATTAAGCTAGCAAAGCAAACTACTAAAAGGGTCGTTAACGATAAGTAATTTGCTAGTTAATGCATACTACACGCGGCAACGGAAACATTAAGAGTTTTTATTTTATTTTTTATTAGTATGGTAGTTTGTTTCTAAACTTGGATTAGATATAGTGAATATACAGTATATGCTTAGCGGGTTAAATTAACCAGATATACGATTCATTTATAAAACTGATGAAAACAACTATGCAAAAAAAGGGAAAGATATGTTTTGTGGATTGTGACACACAAGCTAAGTGCATCGAGAGGAGAGCAATTGTAAAATGAATGTTTTGTTTGTTTTTGTACGGTGGAGAGAAGAATGAAAAGATGAGCAGGTAAAGAATGAAACTTGGAAATCATGCAAAGCCACACCTCTCCCTTCAACACATTCTTACGTGTCCTCTTCTCTTCACTCCATATCTCCTTTTTATTACCAAAAAAATATTTCAATCCCATTTATATGTATCTTCTTCTCTTAGACTTATCTCTTATATCCCTTTTGTGTTCTCTTAGACTTTGCTCTTTAGTTTTGGATCATATCAATCAACATGGCGAATGTGGACCGTGATCGGCGTGTGCAGGTAGACCGTACTGACAAACGTGTTCATCTTCAGCCATCCTACGAAGATGATGTCGGTTTTGGTGGTTATGGTGCTGGTTCTGATTTTAAGAGTCGCGGCCCCTCCACTAACCAAGTATTTTTGTGTTCTCTTTAGTTTTTCTTGTGTTTTCCTATTATCACTCACTCCAAACTATTGGAAGATTTTCTGCTAATTAATTTAAAATAGAAAAATAAATTAAATAGTGAAGAAGCATATGCATCATTACATTAATTAGTCCATATTATGCATATTAGTTTGGAAGTCTTAATTAGGATTCCTTTTAAATATGCAACATTAATCTAACTGTTTCCAAAATAAATAAAGTTTGAAATCAGAGTTTTATACGCCACTTGCATATGTTTATCATGGTGATGCATGCATGCATGGATCATATCTAGAGATTTATGGTTGGATTTTTAACATTTTAATATTTTGATATTAATTTTTAAAAGGTCTAAATAAACAACACTTATTTAATAAACTCGATATAATCAATATATACATGCAGATCTTGGCACTTATAGCAGGAGTTCCCATTGGTGGCACACTGCTAACTCTAGCTGGGCTCACTCTAGCTGGCTCGGTGATAGGCTTGCTAGTCTCCATCCCCCTCTTCCTTCTCTTCAGTCCGGTCATTGTCCCGGCGGCTCTCACAATCGGGCTTGCTGTGACCGGAATCTTGGCTTCTGGTTTGTTTGGGCTGACGGGTCTGAGCTCGGTCTCGTGGGTGCTAAACTACCTCCGTGGGACGAGTGATACAGTCCCGGAGCAATTGGACTATGCTAAGCGACGTATGGCTGATGCGGTAGGCTATGCTGGTATGAAGGGAAAAGAGATGGGCCAGTATGTGCAAGATAAGGCTCATGAGGCCCGTGAGACTGAGTTCACGACTGAGACCCATGAGCCGGGTAAGGCCAGGAGGCTCATAAGCTAATTATAAATTTCTCGAGTCTGTTGAAAAAGCGATCATGTTATTTCACTTTTATGTCCCAGTTTCTTTTCCTCTTTTAAGAATATCTTTGTTAATATGTGTACGTTCGTTTTGTCTTGTCCAAATAAAAATCCTTGTTAGTGAAATAAGAAGTGAAATAAATATGTTTTCTTTTCTAAGATAACCAGAAATTTCTTCCGTTTTCTTTTGTAACGAGTTTTCTTGTATTAACTTTAGAAGAATATACAAACTAAAGAATCAAACTTTAATCAAAGTAGTTGGCTACAATTAGTTGAAAACCATATTACTGAATGACGAAAGGACCCCATTTGGATAATAAGCCGAGAAGAGAAATTGTCTTAAGCCACATAGGCATCGTGCATGTACTACAAGAAATGCAGCAGTTTTCTTACTGCCAAAATTGTAGGAAATTGGGAGGACGTTTCCTACCAATTTCGTACGAAAAATATTTGAAGGGAATCGTCCGTAGGAAATAGAATTTGGTAGGAAATTATTAAGAAATTTCCTACGAATTTCTTATTCGACAGGACGAATATATATTTCGTAACAAATACGTAGAAATTTGATAGGAAATGATTCCTACCAAATATTTGGTAGAAAAAGCGTATATTTTCTTTATAATTCCCAAATGTTACTCAATCTGTTGTGGGATTTCTTATTCAACATAAACAACTAAGTCGTTTGTAGAATGCTTGTGATTGATGTTTTGTGTCAAACGAGGGAAGCCCACATGACATAGGATCGTGAATGCCTATAAGGTAAAGATATTTAAACTATAGCAAATGGTTACACTTAAACTCTAAGTCTCTAAAGAAAGATATTCCTCTCACATTTTACTAGTTGCGTTAGAAAAATATGAAATAAATTATTCGTCTCACACCAGTTTAGTTAGATGGACAAATAAGAGAAATATAGGAACATAAATTTCCACTAAAAAGAGAGGATCAGAACAAGTTTAAAAATTATTATTTTGAAGGACAACCATTACATCCTTTAGAGAATTTTTGAATCAAGATGATGAAAGTAAGAAGCTGGAGTTTCCTGTCGACTTTGCCGAAATAACAACCATCTATCATGCTTTATACTCGTTAGACCGTCTCAAAATTACAGTGGACCTTGTGTGCCCAAACCTAAAAATATATCAACTTCGGTATATGTTAAGACAGAAATTCAAAATTATGTATTTTTTCTATATAAATATTTTTAAAATTTAAGGCTTTTTTTTGATCAAACAGACTTTTTTTTTTTTTTTTTTTTTTTTTTTTTTTTTTTTTCTAATAGCAAATTAAAGAAAAAAAAACTAGTGCTTTTGCATTGTCATGTACTTGGGCCTGATCATCGCATACAAGAGAATGCAGGGTCGGTTCGGTCTCTAGCCTAACTTGGATCTTCTTGAGTTTAAATACCAGCTTATTGGGCCAAATCGAGACGGCCCATTATCTATCACCGGCTTATCGGATTTCCTCTCCCCGGCGCTGTAAATTCCAAATCCCTCCGTTCACGTCTCCAAACTAGCCGTTGCCTTCTCTCTCCGGTCAAAGCGATGGCCTCATACGCTACGTTACTGGAGAAAACTCGCGTACCTCAACCTTCTATACAAAGATTCGCAGTAATTTCCGTCTTCTCCAAGTTACGATCTGCTCCAGAACAATTAGGATCAGAATCCGAAGCCGGAAGAGAAGCTATCTCCTTCTGTCTCACTTCTGAATCTGTCACTGTCGTTGATCAATCCGTTCGTGAGCTATGTCGATTAGTATCAGACTCTGTTCTAGACCTCTCTCGTGGTTTGTTGGAACTTCAATCAGCTCTCGAAGGATGCGATTCGAAATTGGTTTCGCTGTTTGTGAAAGGGTTAGGGTTTTTGATTCGTATTGGTTATGAACGGAATTCTGGGAATTGGAAGTTTAATTCGACGGAGAATCATCCGTTTGTTAGGGTATGTGATACATTGATGCGTTCGTTGTTCTATAGGAATTGTTGGAATTTAGCTAGTTTTTGATGTTTCTTGTTGTTGTTGTTGTTGGTTTCAGATTCTATCTAGCCGTGCGGAGACACAGACGGAGCTTCTTCATCAAGTATCACTCTTTGTGATGCATAATCGGAGATTAGGAATGGTGGGAGTATGTGAATTCTTGGAGTCGTTCTTGAATTTCACAATACTGCGGATTCCGCTTGCAGATTCGTCTTCATCGTTGTTTGCAAGGGAGTTGATTTCATCAATGGCTTCCCTTTGTTGCTCATCCCGCCATGAAGCACTGCCGTTATTCAGGTTGCTTATGCGTTGCCTAAAATATATCCCGGGAAAAAATCTGGAAGTAAGTTTACATGATTAGCAGTGATTTTGGTGAATGCAAGTAATGGGATGCAATATTAGTATCCAGTTCTAAATTTCTGAAACTGTTCAGGACAATAGAAATTTCAGCTACATTGTCAAGACTCTAGTGGATGCCTACACTGTGGTTGTGAGAGACTTGGTTGGAACCGGATTGGTATGTGCTAATTTCATCATGTATTCATCTTAAATTTGTGCTCATTGCCCGATATCCATTCATATATTACTAGCAGGAAGTAACAGAAGTTCATCTTCTTGGCGTGCAACTGGTAGATGGTGTACTTTTGCTTTGCGCTTCTCCTCATGTACAGACAACCGAACAAGAGTCTGTTATTGAATCTTTGAAGCACTTGTTGGCTGTTCAGAAAGACCTTGGATTACCGTATTCACGTGATTTATCCTTGGTGGTCCTCTCGCTAGTTTTCATGCTTGCCAAATCCAGTGTCGAGCATGAACAACTCTCTATTCTAAAGTTCCTGCTTTTTCTGCTCAAATGGAAAACTGAAAGTGGTATATTTGTGTCTCCATCTTTCTATTCATTACCCTCTTGCTCGTTTAGTTGTCTAATAGTGTAGTATCTTGTTTACTCCCTTCCATTCGATGTGTCCCTCTATGACTCAAAATGTGATGTGTGTATTTTCTGTTGACTGAGAATTGATTCTTTGCAATCCTTTTGTAGAAAACTTGTCGGTTAAAGATGCGGCCTGTTTAAGTGTGGAGTCTCTATTATTGTTCCCTATCATCGCGTTGATGTCTTCTCCTTCTAAATCAGTCAAAGTAGCAGCAAGTAAGGTTCTTTCCATCGTAGAAAATGTCTTGGTAACTATGTCAAATGCACCAAAGATTGAGGTCCACACAAGTAAGGGAGATTCACCACTCAGCAGGGTGGGCTCTGTCGTATTTAGGGTCATGCAGCAACTCTGGCATCAGGTTTAGTTCCTGTGGAGAAACCTGCTATTTTTCTTTCAGAATCTGTCTATAATGAATTACATAGATCCACTCATGGGTTAGGTTATTTCAGATAATTTATTCCTCTGAGGGTTGGTTGGAGATAAACATGTTTATTTTAATTTATGTCCATAACTCCATATCAAAGTATTACACAAGAAACTCGGAATCAAATTGCTCACTGAGTCTTTGAATGTTCTTTTTCCAGAATGATTACGCACCTTCCACGTCCTCCTTCCTCAGAGTGGCTTACATCAATGGAAGTGAAAAACAGGAAACTTATCCAGAACCAGTGACTTGGAATTCACTACTTAGGGAACACGCTGAACGGTTTTGGGATAGAAAAAAGTTATCTGCATCGTTTTGTCTTTCGCAAGAGATACCTATTTTACTTGGGGCAGTTGCTGGTGTCTTGGTGATTCATCCGTCCCTAGGAGCTGATGCTATTGATTCTTTGACTATTATTGGTGGCATTGATCCTAAGATGAGTGTCCCGCTGTTGCTAGCTGTTCTATATTACAGCAATTTGTTATCTCGAACTAACGTCCCTTGTCAGAGTCTGTTGGTGAGACTACTCTCATTCATTTTATGTATCTTCAAATCCAAGTGCTTCTCTCTTCTATTTATTTTTCCCTTAGTCTGTTCCCTTCTTTGATGTGCAGTCAAAACTTCTGGGGTTGCTCCCATCACTAGCTGCACAACAGGTGATGATTCCACTTGTAGTTCAGACTATTACTCCAATGCTACACAAGGATGCGAAAGGGTCAGTACACCTTTTTCTGATCATTTCTTGTGTATCATATTTTTTAATCGTGTTTATAATAGTTGATTCTGGGTTGAAACACTTACCGGGTGCTTGCAAAACTTGATTTTCACCTTTGATATTTGGTAAACGTGGGTAGTCTTTGCAAACAGCTATAAGTGGTTCCATTAACTTTTCAGATAGTGGGCTTATGATATATGATAAAAGGTTGATTTGGAAGCCAAAAGATTAGTATGTGATGTTTCATGATTTAACATACATTTACCAATATTCTTGAATTGGGTTTCTGTGCTCTACCTTGTTTCCATTTCTGTACTGCCATAAAATGGAGTTGACGTGAGTAGCTCTGATGATGGTTTATTTTAGTCTGTTGTATGCTACAGCCATTAGATTACTTTGCCAGACCTGGGTAGTCAATGACCGTGCCTTTTCAAGTCTGCAAGTAAGCTATTCTTACCACTATGAAATTTTGTTCGACATTGATAAAGTCAGCTTGCTCATGCTTATTCGTATGTACTTTTATGGTACCAATTATTTTAAATATTCAGGAGGTGTTACGCCCAAAAGGATTTATAGACTTTATTTCAGAGAGACATATCTGCATTAGTATGGCTGCTTCCATTCACAACGTATGCAAGAGACACCCTGATAGGGGCGTAGACCTAATCTTGTCCGTTCAGGTATAGTTTTTCAAGTAATGTTTGCTATTGCTGGTTTGGCTGTATATCGAAACTTTTGGAGTGCCTTCAAAATTTTCATTGGATTCATACTTTGATAGGCCTGTATAGAAAGCCAAGACTGTGCAGTTCGAGCACTTGGTTTTCAGAGTCTTTCCCATCTGTGTGAAGCCGATGTCATTGGTACTCTCTTAATACTTACTTGTGTTAGTTAATTCCTTTCTATTTTACTCACATTTTATCTAGTAACTTTTGCTCTGTCCATCCAGATTTCTATACTGCATGGGGTGTCGTTAAGAAACATGCTCAACACATCAAACTGGATCCTCTCCTTGCTTATAGGTTAGCAGAGCTAACATCCCAAATCATATTTATAGGCACAGTTGAAGTGTCAAAAGTGGTCCATGGATCTTGTAACAATATTTATTTGAATGATGTATAACTAGCATTATTTTGGTGAATGTGTTGCAGTGTATGCCTTCTTCTAAAGTGGGGTGCAATGGATGCCGAAGCATATCCTGAAGATGCAGAAAACGTTCTGAACATTTTGTGGGAAATTGGGAGCTCTATGCAGATGCCTCGTGATTCCCAATGGACGAAGGCAAGAGTCTCTGCCATAGTGGCCCTGGGTCAATATGAGGTAAGTATTGGATTTCAGTCTCTTGTAGGTGTGTTCCAGACCGTCTTTGGTTCTAAACTCTAAATATCAACACTTGTATCTAATTATGATTCATTTTTTTCAGGTATCATTTATGGAAAAAAAGTTTTCTGACTTCAGCAAGAATTGTACAGATTTGCTCTTCTCGGAGACAAATGCAGAAGTTTTGAATGCTTTAGAAGACCTTTCAATCAAGATCATGATTCACGAGCATAGGTATAGAGCTTGTAATCTACTAAACTTTTTCTGTGGTTTTCCCATGTTACAACTTTGGTACCAATTCGGTCGATCCTTAGATTCGCATCAGCAGCATACTAAAACTACTTCTCTTTCTGACCTTTCAGCGTCCGGCGTAGATATGTAAGAGAGAAGAAAGTTCCTGGTAGTAAGATTGAAAAGCTGCTTGATGTGATACCTCAGGTCATCTTCCCTTCAGGTGTAGTTTGACTTTCAGCTAAAATAGTCCTTAAATTGTTTCCACCATTAGTGAGAAATGCAAGCGAGTCTGTTGGAATAAATATTTAAAACCTTGAGATAGGAGGGATGCCTAAACATTTTTTGACTTGTGCTTCTTTTTACCACAAGTAACTAACTTAACTTGTTTATAATTGTCAGTTCTTGCTGTGCTTTGCAATTTGTGTTTCTTATAAGATAATGTCAAAGTATACAGTTGCATCATGAAATACTCAGTTCTTTTCGTTTTGTTATTATGGATAGACCTTTTCGCTAAATATTGTAGATCATCAGTTATGTAAATTTCTTTGTACTCCACATAAACTAAGTTCAGCACCATTTAACTCACAGGGAAAGAAACGAAGACTGGAGAACTACCTGGTGCGGCATTATTATGTCTATCTTATAACCCCAGAGATGTGAAGTTTGGGTCATCAAGAGTAAGTGTTTTAACTGTCTGCTAGGAGGTTTTCTATACTTCTGCATACTGACTTTCATACTTTTTAATCGCAGAGCTTTCGTGATGTTCATGGTCAATACGAGGAGGCATTTAGAGTAGTAGTCAAATCTCTCCAGCTCTCAAGAAATATTTCCCTTGCTCTTATTTCCTTGCAATCACTGAAAGCTTTTATGCGGCGTTGGATGAGAGCGAATATATTGTCCATTGATGCAACGACTAAAGAATTATCATCGGATAAAACATCTAAAGCTGCAAACAACATCATGAAGGTTTAGTGTTTTTCTGTTGCAGTTTAATTTGAACGTTTCATTTTAAGTGCTCAAACATTAATTGAGAACTTTTGTGTTGTTCATGTAGAGTTTGGTACATATGGCTGAAGAAGCTCTTCCCAGGTGTGCAGAAAACATAGCTCTGGCGCTGGGTGCTCTATGTGCAGTAAGATTTCATAGAAATGTACTTCCATATCTATAGTGTCACTGTTTCAATATATATCTTAATCTGTTTGTTGTTTCAGGCTTTGCCAGCTGCTGCTCATAATATTAAAGCGACTGCATCAAAATTTCTGCTGAGTTGGTTGTTGGAGCATGAGCATGAACACCGTCAGTGGACGGCTGGTATTTCTCTTGGATTGATTTCGTCGTCCCTACACGTGACTGACCACAAGCAGAAATTTCAGAATATATCTGGGCTTCTCGAGGTACTTCCTATACCTATGAGTTAATTGCGGAATTATTACAGTGCTAACTTTTTTTATGAAAACGCATACTTTGTAGTAAATTTGAAGAGTATGCGTGCACAATCAGTCTTGGTCTTTCTCACTCCTTACATGATTTATTTTCACTTTGAAGTAAGCATGCAGATAAAAAAAAGTATATATCATGTCTTTCAGGTTTTGTGTAGCAGTAAAAGCACTCTTGTAAAAGGAGCCTGTGGGGTTGGATTGGGTTTTTCATGCCAAGATCTGCTCACTCGGGCTGAAGCCTCTGCGAGCTCTGATATAGACAGTGACTCCTACAGGAACCAAGAAGAACAGCTCTTAGGAAGGATAGTGAGGTTGCTATCTTCAATATTACGTCGTTTCCTGCACACTCCGTGTGATATCCTAGAAAGCTTGTCTGCACTGTTCCCACCTGGAAAGGAAGACAACGTTACAGGTTTACCTCAGCTGTTGGATGAGAGTTCTGATGATTTTGATGATGATACATGGGGTATTGCTGGACTCATTATAGGTTTGGGGATGTCAGTTGGTGCAATATACAGAGCTGGGAAGAAAGACGCTGTTGTAAATATTAAAAACCTGATTGTATCATGGATTCCATATGCAGATTCTCTTAAGCAAACTCCGGGTTCTAATAGTATGGTATCAGTGAGACTGTTTTCAGTCGGTTCCTGCCTTGCACTCCCAATTGTAATCACTTTCTGCCAAAAAGTAGAACTGTTTGATGCAAATGAGGTGGATCATCTAATCGGTTGTTTCAAGGACCTTATTTCCGAGTTGCTAATTGTTAGGAAGTCTGGTGCTTTACGTAAGAGGTTGTTGATGGCTTCCTGTATTGGGGTGGGAGACCTCCTTGGTTCTGTTTTGAATGAAGGTATCCACCCTGTTAAGATTGAGTCTGTAAAAGGGTTACTAGAACTGTTCAAGACATGTTACTCTGGACTTTACCCACCGGTTGCTCACTTTGGAGGCATGCTCGGAGTTGTTAATGTTTTAGGAGCAGGTGCTGGGAATTTGGTGTATTCCCATCCTCTACCCCGTGCTCCTCCAGCCAGTTCTGAGGAGAATGTAAGATTTCTGGTCTATCTTTCTCAAGATCATTGCTGATTTATTCCGATTTAGATAAATGTGTATGGGTTCCTAACATTCATTTAGTTTGCTACAGGAAATCTCTTATGTGTCAGGTCCTTTGCTTTCAAACGCATATTTTACTCAGCAGTTGACGCCAGTTGTGCAAGAAATATTTCTTATCGCACAAAATACCAAGGATCGCCAGCTCCAACATTATGCTGCATGGGCAATATCAATTCTTAGAAATTACATGCGGTCCGGGGAAGCGTCAAGTCTCAGCAATGAAAACCAATCTGATGACTCTCACCGTAATTCCATCTCCCACAATGTTCCTGAACATACCATGGTCATGAAACTTGCTCAAGGCCTGACAAATCCAAGTTTTCCTTTGGTATGTCTTCTTAAAGGCTTTCTTATAGTTCTAAGCCTTCTCTAATCTTTCAAGGTTGGAACAAAAGAAAACTTGAAATTCTTCAATTTTTTTATTCCATTATATTGTTGCTACAGTAAAGTATAAGGTGATTTAGTTTGGAAATAGATCACAATCTGTTCTCATACTTATTAATCTTTGTTGAATTTTAGGCGGGTAGCCCTCTGAATATTGGCACAATGGAAAGTGCTTTGCGGTGTTTGTCTCATGCTCCAAGATTGCCAAACTTGGACTGGGGAGCAACAATAAGACGATTAATGAAACAAGAGACCCAGACTGATGTATCGCAATCAGGTGATGTTCCCAAGGAAAGAACTCTTAGGGAAGAGTGCTTCAAATTTTCATTAGCCCACGCAAGCAAATTTGATGAACTTCTAACTTTTCTGGACGAGTTGTCTGAACTAGCCAGATTCAAGGCGCTAGAGCAGACTCTCCAGTCATGCCTGCTTTGTCATCTAGGGGATTTAATGAGAATATTCTCAGGTTCAAGAATGAATAAATTATTTGACGATGTCTCTTGCTTTGTAATCTCACTATCATCAGACCAAGTATATAGCTGTGAACAGAAGAGCTCATTGAGGGTCTCTTTTTGGAAGGGTTTGAGTCAGTGTCTTGAAGAAACTTCGCTTGAATCTTCAGAATACATCACAAAGATTGAAAAATGCATAGAGTTGCTTTTTGCTGTCTTACCAGTAGCATCACAATCTCCTGGAGCAGATCAGATGGGTTTGATGCACGAGTGGTCAGAGGCAGTTAGATGTTTGCAGAAGTCGCCCCGGGATTGGTTATACAAATTTCTTCAGGTATGTAGCATCCACTTCCTGCATCTCTTGTTTACCAGTTTGTAAGGTATGTATCATCTTTGTGGACATCTCGCCATTTGACTGAGATTTTTCTCATATGCAGGTTTCAAATCTTGAACCTCGAAATGGAGAGACGGACTTCAAAGGTGATTTAAAGAAGATCCAGGCAAAAGCCAAGCTAGCAAGACTTGGTTCAATTCCATTTTCCGAGTTAGGAAAATTAAAGGCTATTATATTAAATTGTGAACAGTCAGGTCAGTTACTATCCTCTGTTTTTATTAAGCTAGTACAATCAAAGATCATGATACAATTAAAGTTCTCGTCTTTGTTAGATATCTGGGACGTGTTGATTGAGATAGTAGCGGCTTTGCATCATGCCGAAGGAGGAATCAAAAGACAGTGGCTCATTGATGCAGTTGAAATCAGCTGCGTTTCTGGCCATCCTTCCACTGTAAGCCTCGATGTCAATATCTTATCCATCAAAAGAGATTATTCTTTTTTCTATGTTGAAATCGGTTTTTCTCCTTCTACAGGCTATTATCTTCGTCGGCCTTCTTTCGAGTATCTGCTGCGAATACATGCCGTTTCTCACTTTAGAGCGATCCACGGTGCTGTGCGATATGTCTGTTACCGTAACTTCTCTCCTGTCTGATCCCATCTATGAAGTGGTCACAGAGCCTTTCATCTCGTTTCTATGGACTTCATTGGAACGTATTTACGGTTTTGCAAATGAATCAGACACTAATGCAAGGCTAAGCTCACAGCAAATTGCGCGAAGCGAGAGAGATAAAGCACCAATGCTTGTGAAAGTGATGCATTACATTTGTGTAGCCTTCAGAGATCATTTGCCTCTTGAGAAACAGCTTAGACTTGCTTCTATGGACATCTCTTGTATAATTTTTATATTTAAGTGACACAATTTCAGAATATTTTGTTGTATTTTTAGTGGGATTTTCATTTCCCACATTGTTGTATTTTTGAAAGATATTTAGTAAGAGTGAATATTTATTGTTTATATAATACAAATTTCATGTAACGATAATGAGCTGCCTTTTTTTTTGCTTAACATAACGAAAAAGATCTTAATATTTTCGTATTTTTAATAACATTTAATTTTTGTTAATGCTACTAAGCAAATAATTTTCTCTGCTTATTTTTTTTTAGCTAAAAAATATGGAATTTTAATATATTTTTTTGGAAGGAAATCATCAAACGATAATGATCAATTTTTTTTTAGTAATATTGAATAATAAATCTTTTTTGTCATCCCAATCACAAGCAATAAGCATAGCCAATAACCAATAAGAATCATAAGATAGTGTTGGATTAAAACACTATCCTCTTGCTCGCTGACATGTCCATCTTCCACAACGACAAGATCTTCCATTGACACGTGGCATAGCCACAACCTCTATGTATCTCATGAACGTGAATCTAGTTTGTGAATATTAGGAAGACAAACTAAATAAAGGCTTTCTCATTAATCAATTAATGTTGTACAAAGTGAGATTATATACAAATCATAATGAGACTAAACCGTATAATTAATCTAACATAACCGGATAAAGGAATCCGGTAATGTGGTATACTGTATATATCTAATAGCCCTCCTCAAGATGAAGCCTCATAAAGGTTTAGGAGTCCCATCTTGGATATCAAATAGGAGAACTGAGTGGGGTACAAAGGTTTAGTAAGAGGATCTGCCAGTTGATGTTCAGTGTGAACGTGCATCGTCTTCAAGAAACCAGATTGCACCTTTTCTCTGACTAAGTGACAGTCATTTTCCACATGTTTGGTGCGCTCATGGAAGACTGCATTCTTTGCGATGTGAAGAGCTGATGTGTTGTCACAATAAAGCAATGCAGTAATAGGAGAAGGAATAAGTAAATCCTTCATAATCTTGGCTATCCAAACGAGTTCCTTAGTACCATAAGACATGGCCCTGTATTCTGCTTCTGCAGAGCTTTGAGAACAGACCCGTTGCTTTTTAGACTTCCAAGAAACAAGAGCATCACCAATAAACATGCAATAACCAGAAACTGATCTTCTTGAATCAGGATCAGTGTTCCAATCAGAATCAGTGAAACCTTTAAGAGTTAAATCAGGATCTGTTGAATAAAACAAACCCTTCCCAATAGTGCCTTTCAGATATCTGAGGACTTTGTGAGCAGCCAACAAGTGAACTTGTCTAGGAGCAGAGGAGAATTGACAAAGTTTACCTACTGCAAAGGTTATATCAGGTCTGGTAGTGCAAAGATATAACAGTTTCCCAATGAGTCTCCTATAAATTTCTGCATCAGGTAGCAATGGAGTATCTTCTTTATGTAGAGAATGATTAGGCTCCATTGGTATTGAAGACGGCTTGCTTCCAAGAAATCCTGTATCTGAAAGTAATTCTAACACATATTTTCTTTGACAAATAGAGATTCCTGCAGAAGATCTAGCAATCTCCAGGCCAAGAAAATACTGTGGTTCACCAATATTTCTGAGTTGAAAAGCAGCTTCAAGCTGAGACACCAGTATAGGAACAACATCTCCACTATTGCTTGCAATGATTATATCATCAACGTACACCAGAATGACAATGAAAACACCATCAATGAATCTGGTAAAAAGAGTGTGATCACTGTGTGTTGTCTGAAAACCCAAAGCAATAACAGTGAATGAAAATTTCAGAAACCATTGCCTAGACGCCTGCTTTAGTCCATAAATGGATTTCTGTAAACGACAGACCATCTTATCTTCAGTTTGCAAACTTGCAGGAACTTCATAACCAGGAGGCAACTCCATGTAGATCGATCTCCTCATCTAAATCCCCATTTAAAAATGCATTTGACACATCTAACTGAGTAAGAAACCAGTTAAGTTTTGCAGCAATACCTAACAAGATCTTCACAGTGGTAAGCTTCGCAACTGGGGAAAAAGTATCTTTGAAATCAAGTCCTGCCTCCTGTGTATATCCTTTAGCTACCAATCTAGCTTTGTATCTCTCCACAGTACCATCAGAATTATGTTTGATTTTGAAGACATATTTGCAACCAATAGCCTTCTTACCTGATGGTAATGGACAAATCAACCAAGTACCAGTTCTTTCCATAGCCCCAAGCTCCGCACCAATGGCATCACACCACTCTTGCATTTTCTTAGCCTCAGAATAAGTACGGGGTTCAGTAGTAAGGGTAATATTTTGAATGAAAGAGCAGAAAGAAACGCTTAGTTTATTATAAGAGAGAAAGTTAGATATAGGATAAGAAGTAGTGAAAGAAGTATTATTCATATAGTAGTCCTGCAAATGTGCTGGGAGTTTGGTAGGTCTGCGAGAATCTAGTGCCAAAGGCAAAGGATTCTCAGAAGATGACACATCAGAATGTGGAGGTGCATCAGAAGATGAATGTGTAGAAGGCAAAGATTCATCGGGGTGTGCAGGGAAAGAAATATGAGGAAAGAAGGTCCGTGTATCTTCTGTCAATGTAGAAGATAGAAACGGGAAAATTTCCTCATGAAAAATAACATGCCTGGAAATAGAAATGACATTGCTCTCCAAGTCCAATACCTTGTAACCTTTGAAACCTGATGGATATCCTAAGAAGACACATGCCTTGGCTCTAGGTTGAAACTTATGCCTTTGCTTAGGAGAGGTGGACACATAACATAAGCAACCAAAAGCTCTAAGTTGGCTGTAATCAGGCTTTTGACTAGTGAGAATCTCATAAGGAGTAGCATTGGATAAGACTGGGGTAGGTAATCTATTAATAAGAAATACTGACGTAAGTATACAATCCCCCCAATACTCTAAAGGAACCTGAGATTGAAACATTAAGGCTCTAGCAACATTTAAGATGTGTTGGTGTTTCCTTTCTACTACAGAATTCTGTTGAGGAGTTTCTGGACAGGAATGGTAAGCAACTATGCCCTTTTCTAGATAAAGATCTGTGAATTTTAGTTCAGGAGCATTGTCGGATCTAACAGATATTACTTTAGTAGCATATTGAGTTTCAATCATTTTCAAGAAATCAGGAAAAACAAACAAGACATCAGACTTTGCTTTTAAAAGATATATCCAAGTTGCTCTACTATGATCATCCACTATAGTTAAAAAGTATTTAAATCCATCATGAGTTTCTTTTGAAAAAGGACCCCAAGTGTCTATATGCAAAAGATCAAAAGAAGAAGAACATATGTTTTGATTTGCATTAAAAGGTAAATGTTTTTGTTTTGCTAAAGGACAAACTGAGCAATGATGAATCTTATTCTTATTTATAGGTTTTGTTAAAGACAGTACATCAGTGAGCACATCAATTCTAGATTGAGATGGATGTCCTAAACGAGTATGCCATATATGAGAATCTACTGAAACAGCAGAACAAGTAGGAATAAGACTACCTGAAACTTCAAAAGTAGAATGATGTTGACTAGACTCCAGAATATAAAGATTTGAGACTTGACTACCCTTTCCAAGCATCAATTCCCGAGTAAGATCCTGAATGAAATAGGAAGTTGCAGTAAAACTGACTATAGAATTCAAATGCTTAGTTAACATGCTAACACTCAAGAGATTAAATCGGAAAATAGGAATAAACAAAACATCATGCAAAAGAATGTTTTCAGACAATTGAATAGATCCTATTCCGACAATACTCACAGTAGTTCCATTTGGCAAATTCACATAGGTATTAACTAGATCCTGGAAAACTAGAAACATAGTCCTAGAATTAGACACATGATGAGTAGCCCCGGAATCTATTACCCATGAACTTGGAGAGATATCAGTTTCAGAGTGTTTTGATGTAAGCATGTCATAATAAGTATTTGGATAAAGTGTCAGAAATGTACCAGATATCTGTGAAATACTTGGTACTGAAGTTGAAGTAGAAGCTTGAGAAACTGCAAGTGTAGGTGTGATACTAGAGGTGTGAATCTTTGAACTAAAGTAGGAAATGATCTCTTGGATTTGATCTGTTGTAAGGTTCTCCCCCAAATTCTCTGAACCTTTGAGATTTGAATTAGTAATGCCATGCAGAGAAGTCATGTTTGCACTAGGAGTTGTAGATGGATTCAACTTCTGTAAAACAGTAGTAGGTGTAGAACCAGAAGCAGGAGCAGGAGCATTAGGTGGAGTGAATTTCTTCTTTCCTGTCCAGCCTGGTGGATATCCATTAAATTTATAACAGCGATCCTTAAGGTGTCCTACAGCTCCACAATAAGTGCATACATGTCGAGGTCTCTGTTGATGATTCATGGCATTAATACTTCCATCTGTGACCATAGAAGAATCATTAACTGCAACTTGAAATGCAGAAGGTGCAACATAGCCTTTTGTAGAAGATCCCACAGTTCTCTGACTCTGATCTTGATCCAACATGTTGTATATATCACTCAAACTCGGTCTATTCTTCTTGTTGATGATTTGACCACGAATGTTGGCATAAGAGTCATTCAAACCCATGAGAAATTGTATGATACGGCTTGTTTCTGCATCTTCCAGTAACTCTTCAACTTTTCCACAGTTGCATTTGCAGATTTTCTGAGATTTAGTACTTGCTAAGCGTTGCCACATAGTCTTCATCTTGGTATAATAGGTGGATAAGTCCATTGAACCTTGACGTAATGTGAGAATATCCTGTTCTAATTGATACTTGCGAGGTAGATTACTGATGTGAAAACGCTTCAACAAATCAGTCCAGATTTCCGCAGCATCGTTGAAATAGAGAATACTGTCATAGATTTCTTGGTTAACCACATTAAGAAGCCAAGATTTAACCATACTGTTGCAACGTTTCTAGAGTTTGTAAATCGATTCAGATTCATCAGGTCTAGGGAGAGATCCGTCTATAAAACTCCACTTGTTCTTAGATTCCAAAGCTATAGTCATCGCAACACACCAACTGTTGTAATTGGATCCATCTAGGTTATGAGAAACGAGAGTTAAACCTGGATGATCCGAAGCATGAAGATAGAATGGACTGTGAGAGCTGTCGAAGGATTCAGATCCTGAAGAAATCTTCACAGCTGAATCACGAGCCATGTAAGTTCCAGAACTTTGCTGATTGACCGGAATAGCTCGAATTTCATCGCGATGCGGAGAAGGAGCTGATCGGGAAGCAATCGGAGTGTCTGGATCCGGAGAAGAAGCTCGATTTCTGGTTTTGACACCTTTCTTCGCCATTAGAGAAAAGACGAAGCTAAGAAACCGATAGAGAAGAGAGAAGAAAAGAAGAATGAGAACAATCGATAAAGAAATCGATCGGAAAAAGCCACCGGAGAGTTTGTTACGTTCACCGGAAAAAGTTTGTTACGCGGAATTTCTCTGATACCATATTAGGAAGACAAACTAAATAAAGGCTTTCTCATTAATCAATTAATGTTGTACAAAGTGAGATTATATACAAATCATAATGAGACTAAACCGTATAATTAATCTAACATAACCGGATAAAGGAAACCGGTAATGTGGTATACTGTATATATCTAATAGCCCTCCTCAAGATGGAGCCTCATAAAGGTTTAGGAGTCCCATCTTGGATATCAAATAGGAGAACTGAGTAGGGTACAAAGGTTTAGTAAGAGGATCTGCCAGTTGATGTTCAGTGTGAACGTGCATCGTCTTCAAGAAACCAGATTGCACCTTTTCTCTGACTAAGTGACAGTCATTTTCCACATGTTTGGTGCGCTCATGGAAGACTGCATTCTTTGCGATGTGAAGAGCTGCTGTGTTGTCACAATAAAGCAATGCAGTAATAGGAGAAGGAATAAGTAAATCGTTCATAATCTTGGCTATCCAAACGAGTTCCTTAGTACCATAAGACATGGCCCTGTATTCTGCTTCTGCAGAGCTTTGAGAACAGACCCGTTGCTTTTTAGACTTCCAAGAAACAAGAGCATCACCAATAAACATAAATCTAAAATCAGCCAATCAAGACACGTTGACGTGTCCATCAGCTAATCTTCCTACAAAACGAACACTCTACTATAAATTACGAACATCTCATATCATCTAAACACACTAATCTCTTATTCCTTTGTGTTTTTGTTTGGAGTTAAAAAAAAAAAGAATGGCAACTTCAGCAATCCAACACTCTTCTTTCGCCGGCCAAACGGCCTTAAAGCCATCCAATGATCTCCTTCGTAAGGTTGGAGCCTCCAATTGTGGCGGCCGCATCGTCATGCGCCGTACAGTCAAGTCTACTCCTCAGAGCATCTGGTTCCAACCCCAATCTCTCTATGTTTTCCCTCATTTTTTATTCTTCTGAAAATTGAGTTTTTCTATTTAAATTTTTAAAAGGAAATATAGTACAAATTCCTCTGGTTCAATTTGGATATTGGTTCGGTTTCAAAATGATTTTTGGTTTTATAAAATATTAATCAATGAAAACCTAATCTACTATGGACCGGTTTCGGTTCAAGATTTAATTTCTCATCAAATATATGTATTTTTCAACCTTTGAATTATGATTTTCTCGATTCAAATTCAGTTTTGGCCTTTTGGATCCATTTTAGAACTCGCTTCCGTTTTTGGATTGATTCTTTTGGACCAAACGTTAACGACCCATTAGTTTTTTGTTTCCTCATATTTAGTATAGCTAATCAGCAAACCATCTAATTCAGTATCCAACAAAAAAACTTGTGACAGGTACGGACCAGACCGTCCCAAATACCTAGGACCATTCTCGGAAAACACACCATCATACCTAACCGGAGAAAATCCTGGAGACTACGGCTGGGACACCGCCGGTCTGTCAGCCGATCCAGAAACATTCGCTAAGAACCATGAGCTTGAAGTAATCCACAGTAGATGGGCAATGTTGGGCGCTTTAGGCTGCACCTTCCCGGAAATTCTCTCCAGAAACGGAGTCAAATTCGGTGAAGCCGTGTGGTTCAAGGCAAGATCACAGATCTTCTCAGAAGGATCTCGGAAACCCTAACTTGATCCACGCGCAAAGCATATTAGCTATTTGGGCTTGTCAAGTTGTGCTCATGGACTTCATTGAAGGGTACAGAATCGGGGGTGGGCCTTTTGGTGAAGGGCTTGACCCGCTTTACCCTGGCGGAGCGTTTGACCCGTTGAACTTAGCGGAGGATCCAGAGGCGTTCTCGGAATTGAAGGTGAAGGAGCTCAAAAACGGTCGTCTTGCCATGTTCTCAATGTTTGGATTCTTTGTTCAAGCCATTGTTACCGGTAAAGGTCCGATAGAGAATCTGTTCGATCACATTGCAGACCCTGTGGCTAACAACGCTTGGGCTTACGCCACCAACTTTGTCCCCGGAAAATAGAGTTTGATCGGATAATTTATGTAAATTATATCTTTTAAGAATTTGTCAACGCACTATATTCTTTCTTTGGTTAGAAATTCTCGTTGGCTATAGCAACTTAGACCAAGTCCAGCAAGGGTTTTTAGTGGCTTTCTATGTTGGGTTTCTAAGATAAAATGGGCCCAGATGAAAGAAAAACAGAACAATCCATTTAGGATCGTTCCTAAAATTAGTACAAACACGAAAAGTATACGTTTAAAAGGCTAAAACATCAACATGGACGAAAAAATAAATATGCCAGCACAATCGAAGAATAAGACACTGAACTAAATTATCATGGATTCGATGGGCCTGGCTAATGATAACGACGCTGCCGATACGCATCATTAAAAAATAGAGAGAAACATCTTAAGTTTTGAAAATTTGAAGCTATATCAACTTCCCATGGCTTAACAAGCATAACTTTTTGGGGGCGGTGAATGTTAAGTGACTCATCTACGAGAAGGACAAATCCGAATATTTCAAAAATCTTAACCAAACCCGTAAAATTGTGCTCTTTGTAGTTTGTCATCTATCAAAAACTACTATCCAGTAACATATGACAATTGTTTGTGTATATATGTTCATCATATATGACTATAGTTCGTGCTGAAATATACTTTTATATTTTTGAAACAATATATTTTCTAGACTCCTCTTCTCTTTTTCACATTTTTCACATAACATTAGGTAATAACCCGTACCATGCAAGGATAAGTTTTATGATATAACGATTTTTTTAAAAAAATCAAAGTTTTTATATGAATCTCGAGATGTCAAAACTAAATTTTGTAAATGCTCTAAAATATTTTAAATTAAAATAATACTATATAAATACCATATAATAACACGGCTTTTTAATCTATGAATAAATTTACAACTAAATATCAAATTATTTTATTGATTTATATTATAGAAAGAAAATTGTATTTACATCATTCATAAATTTTAACTTATAGATTTGATTTAAATTTAAATGTTTATAATATATGAAAGAATTTGTCGGTGTTAAAATGCATATACTATATGTTTATATTGTTTATTTTTTTTCAATTAAAAAAAAACACAATGCATTTAATATAAAAAAAATTGTATAGAAGTTTTCTTACAAGTAAAGATATCTTATAATAATCATATTAGGTATACATAAATCTATGAGAACTGAATTTTGAAGAAATAAGTATAAAATCAAGTAGCATTTGATAAATATTATATATATATATATATATTATTACTTAACGAATATTTTCTGATACTTTTTGTGTTTACCCATATATAATTTTTACTTTTATATAATAATATAACTTTTTTTGTTCTCCGATAGCTTTTTAACATTTTTAATTTATCCAATCATATACTTTATGCATATCAACCGATTTTCTTATTCCACCTTCTTTCTTTAAATAGATTCCATCTTCTCTGGCTCTCCAATCCCAATCGGCTCCATTATCATAACCAGTATATTGCTTAAATGCTGTAAAATTTTGATAGTGTTTATAATTAGGTCCTTGTCTCAAAGTGCACATGAAACGCGTCGTACCCCAAATGTTAGCGCGAAAAGAATTTTCATATTGCTGTCCGATTGATAATACTTTTGGACCTATTACGTCATCTTTGGAATAACACCTCATCCAGAGGAGTTTCTTGAATTGGAGTTCGTTCGTGATTGTGATTCCAGTGCCGGATACATGGCCAAGAATGTAAATGCTAAAAACAAATAGAAATACTGAAAGGTTTTTCATTATTTTATTTTTATTGTTCTGGTTAGATGTTTTGTTTTATTAACTTGGTTTTTGTGTTTCTGGTACTATATATACACACACATTTGTATTACTATTGTTGGCACAAGATATCCTTCTGTATTAGTTCTAAGTTATAAGATATATGATATCTTACGTGTGAAGATATCTTATAATAATCATACATTCATACTAGATATACATAAATCTATCGGAATTGAATTTTGAAGATAAAAGGATAAACGAAGTTAACATCGATGGAAATCAATTATAACCATCAAGAAAAAAAAATTAAAATATAAAAAATACAATTTATTTTTGATAAATATATTTGTTTACATATATTTTTATTACTATATAGACAGTCAGAAATTCCAATTGATATTATGAATTCAAATAAATTTATTATCTAAATTATAACACATTTACTCAATTTTAAAATTTGATTCCAAAGATATAAACAATCAAACTTATGGAGTGTCAACACTCCCCAAGAAAACAAAGCCATCACTGTGGGAGCTGCCCTAGTTAAGTTTATCTTATTCGTGAGTTATCATAGAAATCGCAAGCATAGCCAATAGGCAATACTAACAAGCGAGATAGCATGAAAACACTATCCTCACTTGGGTTTTATGTGTTTGGCTCACCCCACAAGATCTTCCCTGCCACATGGCAAAACCATAGCCTCTATATATCTCTTCCACGTAAATTAAGTTTGTGGAAATCTAAAGTCAACCAATAAGAACTCGCTGACGTGTCCCTTTGATAATCTTCCCCAAAAATGAACATTCTACTATAAAAACGAAGTTCCAATTCACTAACTTAACAACAACATCTCATCTCACTTATACTTCTTTTCTTTGTGTTCTTGTTTAGAAGAAGCAATGGCCCCTTCAGCAATCCAACACTACTCTTTCGCCGGCCAAACAGCCTTAAAGCCATCCAACGATCTCCTCCGCAAGGTCGGAGCCTCCACTGGTGGCGGCCGCGTCATCATGCGACGTACCGTCAAGTCTACTCCTCAGAGCATCTGGTTCCAACCCCAATCTCTCTCTCTCTCTCACTTATCTTTGTTATTCTTGAAAGAGATTTTCCATTTAAATACAAATGCCAATGTGGGTTTCATTTTGAAATTTTTTGCTTTAGAAGAATTTTAAACAATGAAAACTGAATCTACTATAGATTGGTTTAGGTTCAAAATTCCACTTTTCATTTAAAAAAAATGAAAATACTTTGAAATATGTCTTTCTTTATTCGAATTCGGTTTCGGCTTTTTGTATCCATTTTAATCATATTATACTCACTTCAATTTTTCTATTGGTACTTTTGGTTTCGTTTTGGATCGGATTAGATTGGTTTATCTGGACTAAACAATCCGTCAGTTTTTGTTTCCTCATTTTTAGTATAGCTAATCAGCAAACCATCTAATTTAGTATCCAACAAAAATTTTTGATAGGTACGGACCAGACCGTCCCAAGTACCTAGGACCATTCTCGGAAAACACACCATCATACCTAACCGGAGAATACCCTGGAGACTACGGCTGGGACACCGCCGGTCTCTCAGCCGATCCAGAAACATTCGCAAAGAACCGTGAGCTTGAAGTAATCCACAGTAGATGGGCGATGTTAGGCGCTTTAGGCTGCACCTTCCCAGAGATTCTCTCCAAAAACGGAGTCAAATTCGGTGAAGCCGTGTGGTTCAAGGCAGGATCTCAAATCTTCTCAGAAGGAGGACTTGATTACCTAGGAAACCCTAACTTGATCCACGCGCAAAGCATATTAGCTATTTGGGCTTGTCAAGTTGTGCTAATGGGATTCATTGAAGGTTACAGAATCGGAGGTGGGCCTCTTGGTGAAGGGCTTGACCCGCTTTACCCAGGCGGAGCCTTTGACCCGTTGAACTTAGCAGAAGATCCAGAAGCGTTCTCGGAATTGAAGGTGAAGGAGCTCAAAAACGGTCGTCTTGCAATGTTCTCAATGTTTGGATTCTTTGTTCAAGCCATTGTTACGGGTAAAGGTCCGATAGAGAATCTGTTCGATCACATTGCAGACCCTGTGGCTAACAACGCTTGGGCTTACGCCACCAACTTTGTCCCCGGAAAATAGAGTTTGATCGGATAATTTTATGTAAATTATATCTTTTAAGAATTTGTCAATGCACTAAAGTTAAAGTATCCTTAAATTTGATATGTTGGTTCCATTCCATATTCTTGCTTTGGTCAGAAATTCTCGTTAGCTAGCAACTTGGCACAACTTGGCAAAAAAAAAAAAAAATGCTTGAGGCATTGAATCACAATTGTTTTTTTTTTTTTTTAATCTACAACTGTTCCTTTATAAATGTTAAAATTGAAAGAAAACACATTGTAGTTGCAAGATCCCAATCTAGGAAAAAAAATACAAGTCTACCAAACATTGAATAAACTTTCAAAATGGCTTCCGATTCTGGATTCCACACCATGTTTTCTAAATGACAAGGAAATAAAATGTCCTGACTATATACAACAGGAATCGAAATAATTTTAGTAGCTAATAACTGAAAAAGGAACAAAGATCTGCTGATACAAAGACCCAACCAAATGTTCTTGGAAGGCCAAATGTAACAATACACTTTTTTTTTTTTTTCTGTCTTCTCTTTTTTCTCTTTTCTTTTTTCACATTCTACTATCGAAAAAAAGGAAAAATACTTGGATATATATATCTTTTGCTACCAACAAATATTAACGTCTCACGAATTGGCTAAAAAGCCTAAATCGGAGAAAAAGATCACTAATAACCAGATCCAAGATCAAAAGAAATGGTTTCTGAGACAAAAAGATTACCTCACTGATGAATTTGTTCAGACTGTTCTTCATCAGTTCCAGAAGTTGCAATCGCATCAGAAGCTCCTTCCATGGACTCGTGGTTACTTTTATTGTTATCATTGTCGCTTTCTTTGGTCTCTTGTTTATCCAAAGTACTGTCGTTGTCTCCAGAGACATTTGTAGTCTCTGGTTCTTCCGTAGAGGAGGCCTTGACTTCATCTGCTGGTTTTGGGTCATTAGAGATAGAAGCACACTTGTTTTTGCTGCTAAGGTGGTCATGAGAAACAGAGAGACTATTACTATTGTTATTGTTATTATTGCTCTCTTTGTTGCTTTGACGTGTTACCCACACGAGCTGCAACGTGTGTTCTTGCCAACACTTTGCATTAGCAAACGCTTTCTCTGCTGCGCTGCGTTTCACAAATGTGACACAAGCTGCACGGTTTTCATTCTGTGTTTCATGGTCCTTGCCACTACCAATCGATGCATTGTCTTCCAGTTCCACTTTTGAGACTTCGCCGTAAGAAGAAAAATGTTCCTTTAAGACAGCAACCTGGAGGTAAAAAAATAGTTCAAAACATCAGTAAGTGAGTCAGTGACTAAAATAATCCTGTAATTTACTCGTCTTTAATCTGGGAAGTGATAAAGTTCAGCACATATATAAAGCTTTGTGTTCTAACGAAGGGAAAGGGGACATACATCAGCTAACCCAGTTGGCAAAGGGGGAACCACTTTGATGGTTGTGGTGCGGTTGTCCAACTTATACCTATTTACCATAGGAGTGTTCAAACTTGTGGTAAACGTATATGGTCTTTGCTTCAAGTTTTTTGAATCGGGTGATGGCGTTTCTGTGCTTAGTTTGGCGGTGGAAAGTGGTTTCTGGATAGGCACTTTCTTATCTGTCGATGACTCTGGTTTTGGTGATGCAATTGCAGCTCCCGAATCAGAGGCTGTGTCTACTTTAACACGCTTAGCGTCTGGCTCATCTACTTCCTCGCCCTTGACAACCGTACCCTGAGAAGATTTAGAGCAAGATAATATGAATGTTGTCCAATTATATACTTTTCAACTCAATCTATGTGATGTTAAGTACGACCAACAATTTTGTTTCTATTGTAGAAATCATTAGCTGAAGACATCCAAAAGCAAATATAATATATCACGATGCATGTAAGTCGACTCAAATCTCTGTGTGGACCGAACTCAGTTTCATATTATAGTCAGAAGTCAGATTTGCACTTGTCTACCATTTGAAACTTCTTAAAATTCCAAAAGACACTTTCGAGATTCAATCCTTTTACTTCTACTTCTGCTAAACTTTCTAGAGACTGGAAAATTGTAATTATCCTAAAAAGGTATTACCGGGATTGAAGAAAAAAAATGAAAAGAGATTTAGTTACTAGTTCTTACTTGTTTTTCAAGTGTCGCCAATTTTTTTCGGTACTCGTTACGCTTCTGCTCCAGCATTTCCTGCTTTTTACGAAGAGTCTCCTTCAACCGCTCAAGAGTATCTGCTTTTTTCTGCTGAAGTGGCGTAACCTTGGGACCACTAGTGGCCACCACAGGCTTAGGCTGTTCAGAAGAGGATGGAGCTCCACCAGTGTGAAATGCAGGGACCTTAGCAATGGAAGATACATGGTTGCTTTTCGATGCTGCAGCAATAGGAAATTGGTTCTGCGGTCCAGAAGCAGTCATACCACGACCCTTCATAGAAGCACCAGTGCCACTGGACAGGCCATTATCAGGTATACTATCTCTATTTGCCCACCAAAGTTTGATAAAGCGGTTACCCATCACAGCATCAGGTGCCCTGAGGGCAGACTCAGCCTCTTCACGTTTTGAGAACTGCACAAATGCTCGCTCACTGTTTACTGGGATGTGAATGTCGATAACTTTCCCAAATTTCTGAAAATGAGCAAGAATGAGATCCCTTCTGTTGCTCTCGTGGGGAACATTATTCACAAATAGAGTCCGCATTGCCTTTTGAGTTGGTTTCCTTGAATTGTTCATCATATCATTTGAAATATTCGATGAATCAACAACTTTTGCGACACTTTCACCAACATGGTTTTGTTTACCGTGTCGAGATGAATTCACTGAGACCTCCTTCAATTGATCTTCAGGACCAGCTGATGAATTTAATACTGCATCAGCTTTCTCTTTGGAATTTGCTTGACTATTAGAACCACGCATTCTTCCCCAAACTGATTGACTTATGCTTCTAGAGTCTCGAATACCACACCCATTTTCAGCGCCGTCTTGGTTACTGTCATCCAGTGGAGCTACATTCTCATCAACCCCATGAGAATTGAGTGTCGATATTGCACCTGAAGTTTCACCAGTACTATTATTCCACAAAGGTTGATCAGGATCGTAAAAGTCAGTTCCACCAGCACTAGGATATGCATCCCCATAACCCAAACCATCAACAGCCATTCCACCCTCGTTAGTCCTCCCATGAGCTCCTTTAGGATTCATGAAATTGGAACCCCCAAACTGTGCGGGCACTGGTTTAGAAGAAGCTGCCAGATGAGGTGCACCAGGGACTGAAACGGGAAGGTTAAACTGTGATAGACTCTGCACAAATGGAAAATGAAAAAAAATTACTCACTTAGCAAAGAATAGTGTAATAAAATAGTAGTCATAAGAAATTTTTATCATGCAATACAGAGTGCTGGCAATTCAACAACCAAGATATCATTAACATGAATTTAAAAATCAGAATCGAGTTTGGCTGTTTCTTAGAGCCATGCCAGGTAAAGCTACCACTCACAACATTATAATTTGATTAATGTCACTGAGAAGTACTATTGAAGGGGATAAAGTGGTCATACTACTAGCAACATATGCAAGAAACATCGATGTGCTGAGATTTCTAGCTCAGAGAAGGATCATACAAATAGTTATCAAATATCCAGTAAACCCTCCAGGTATTATTGTGTTTTCGAGATAAGTCTAATCCCATTGTAGAAAAAATTAATCCAAGAAACATACCTGAACATCGTCAACAACAATACGATTCATTCCATGCTCCATTGGACACATGTCCCCTCTGAGGCAGAAACCACGTTCCTCAAAGTCTCTGCATCGTTGCCGAGGAATACCCATGTTGAGTGGAGCATTTAAGGGCGGTCTTAGGGATCCTTGTAAGTGATGGAAACCATCCAAGCCACCATTTGGAACTCCAGGAATCATTCCAAAAGGAGGCCATGGTGCACTTTGAGCAGCTGAAACACCAGCTAGTCCCCTTCCTCCAAACATGCCCTGGGCCATAGACCCGACTTGAACCATATGAGAAGAGAGATCAACAAGATTAAACCTGGAATCACGCTGAGCCCAAGAACCATAATTTCCTCTACCTCTACCAGGACCAGAGTCCCTTGAAAACATTGGGTTTGACCTCATTCTTTGGTTATCAAACTGTACACGTTGCCCTGATCCTGTGCCAAAAGACCGCTTTTCATTTTCACTAAACGAATTGCCATTTTCATAATGTCTATAGTTTTTCCTGTACGGCCGTGAGAAAGCCTGATCTGAAGAATCTTGTTCCAAAGACTGAGCCCTCGTCTCTTCTTTTCTACGGTGCTTATGGTTGCGATCATCATCCTCCTCCTCACTGATCTCATGCTCCTCCTCAGGGTCACTCATACAATCAGGTGGAGATAACACACTTTGCTTTGGAGAGGAAACAGAAAGTTCCATGAAACCACTTCAATAATGCAGAGCTTCTTGTCTCTCATACAAAACTCTGATACAATTTATCGTCCATCAGATCAAAGAGTATTATACCAAAACGAAATCCTATATGCAATCAATAACTAAACAACAAAACTACCTATGTATACTCATCTTCCTCGTAGTGATTATAAAAGCAACAATTATCTCTCTCGAGAACACAGATTCATGCTTCGTAATTCGTATATACTATCGATTAAGCTCATAATTCCCACAACAACTCGAAAACCCTAATCAATTAGACTAACTCCAGAATTCTAACAATAAGCAGCATAAGAACTTAGGGTTTATACGAACCTAGAGAGATTTCAGAAATTTTCAAAACAAAAGGGAAAATAAATCTTACAGGTTCTCTCGGAATAATCAATGACTCTGTTCGCTCTTCTTCACAGCCAAAAATCGGACTCGGGCTCCGAGAGTGAAACACGACGACGAAAACCTAAATCAAAAACAATGGATGGAACATTTGGGGAAGAAAATTGGAGAGAAAAAAGATCGTCAATGAAGATTGAATCCACGGAGGAGATTGTTCGCCGTCGAGGTTTCGGAATGAGTAGGAGAATCAACGTCGCCGAGAGCGACTGGTCTCGTCGTTAGGGTTTGATGGAGCTGTGGAATAGCTGAGAGAGAGGGTAGAGAGAGAAAGAGGGGCTTTTTTGTTATTGCAAGTAACACAAGGAAAGGCGAGGAAGACAGAAAACTAGACTGGAAAATGTTTTATTTTCTACCCCAAAAGTTCTTTAAGTTTATAGATTGACCCAATATTTCTTCTTCTTCGTAGATTTATATTAAATTATAAAATATTTTAAAACTAGTCCTTCGTTTGTGTTTATTTTAAGACTATAGGGCTGATTGGTAAGAACTTTTTACAATAAACTTTTGATCGCAGAGATTTTGGATGTTACTATGGCTATAATTGTAAAATATTTCTAAAGAATTTGAAAATTTGTTTTTATTATAATTTTGAAAGTTTTATTTTCATTTTCCTTTATTTCAGTTTATATATGGCTCACAAATTTCAGTGTGTTGGATTATAAATTTGTGTTGTTAGTGTCACCTAGTTGTTTATATTTATTATAATTATTTTTTGTATTTTCAAAGATAGAATAATCTATTTAGTTTTCGAAGGAGTAGTTAGCAATCAACAATCATAGTGTCTATCTACATTAATTGATAAGAATAAGCGAATTATCTACATTAGAGAGTTTAAAAAAATGTCATCTACAATGAGGCTTCCAAACTCACCAAAATTATCATTAAAACTTCAATATCTCATATTTTGTTGTGCAAGGTGCCCTATGGATGCAAGCAATCCTTTTTTGCTCTAGAGAGAAAATTATGTTATGAAGTAATACTCTTGGTTTACATATTTTGCCTATTTATTTGTTATTTGTTTGAAATTTGCATCTTAATCTATCAATTACTCATTTTCTTGATTTTGAATATATATATATATACCAAAGATGAAAAAAAAGAAACCTTCAAAAACAGTTGGCCCAAAAACCCTCTAATAATATTAAGTTGGTCGTACAATATTAGTTTATTATATCATAAGGGTGGGCACGAAGCGAATATCATGAATTTTAGTGGTATATGTGATCCGGTCCGTTTGAATCATCACTTGTTGGATCCGTATCCTCTCAATAATTAAACATATATCCGTTAAAATAAAAAAATTTAGCCGAATATTCGATCCACATAATAAGAATTTTAAAATAATTAGAAATTTTAAAACATTGAAAATTCAAAACTAACCCAAAATAGAAATGTTACATTAAAACTATTTCTTCTTAGTTTGTTATATAAATAAAATTCATAAAACTTCATATAGATATAACAATTTTACAATTCATAAATGTAATTATATGTGTGTATCTTATTATATAAAGTATGGTTTTCTAAGTCAATAATTCATAGGATCGTGACATTTGGCAATTTTATCGATATCAGATTTTGATATGTGTAAAACAAAAATTTCCTTTTATTAATTTTAAAACTAGAAAAATATAATTGTAAGAAATTATAAATTTTAAAAAGTAAAAAGATAATTATAAGGAAACTAAAAAATTTTAAAAATGTTATTAAGATAATTATTATAAAAATGTATCTTATTGAATAGAAATATGTAAAACGATAATTTCCTTTTCTTAATTTTAAAAATATAAAAAGATAATTGTCAAAAAAATTAAAATTTAAAAAGTAAAAAGATCATTATAAGGAAATTAACAATTTCAAAAAAGATAATTATTCTACATACTCACTTCTATATAAACAAACTAGCTAAGGACCCGTCCGATGGACGGGTTTAATTTTTTTTAAATTAAAATCAAATTTAACAAAAAATTAATTAACAACGGTTTAAGTAGAAATTATCTTTCAAAAGTAAGAAAAAAAATATTTACTTTCACTGTTGTATTGTTTCTTTAACCACTAAAATTTTTGATTCAAAAATCATTTCGAAAGAAAATATATTTCATAGCAATAACTTATGGTATACTTATATGAAGAATTAAAATTAAAAATATTGATCATAAAGTTGGCGAATCAAACCAAAGTGGTTTTTAATTAGACATGTTAAAAATATAAAGATGATAAATCGACTAAATCCCTTACCCTTCCAAGCTAACGTTGCGGGTTCTTCCTTGGGAAAACGGTCAATATCAACCCCAACTATTTTCAAGCGGTCTTTTTCAACCCAAACTCTGACCCCTGCACTTATCAACCCGAACTCACATAAATTTCAAATAACAAACATGAACTATGTAACCGTTAGCCAATTTCAACATATTTCCGTTATTATATAATGTAACAAACCTGAATTATTTAACATTTAGCCAATTGAATAAAAAAAATGATTCAGATACAAAAGAACAAATTATTGTGACTTAACAATTCTAATCGACATTAACCACTACAAAAAAAATATGTTGAAATTGGCTAAAAGTCACATAGTTCAGGTTTGTTATTTAAATATTGTGTGAGTTTGGATTGATAAGTGCAGGGGATCAGAGTTTGGGTTGAAAAAGACCGCATGGAAATAGTTGGGATCGATTAAAATATATATATGAATCTTATATAATTCAAATATGAACATATAAATTTAAATAAACAATTTAAATAGTATAATTAAATTTAAAATATCCAAAACAAAGAAGAAGCATATATGGTTCTTACGTATTCAAGACTTTCAAATAAACAATACAAAACTTTATTTAAAATCATCACCTATTTCTAATAAGAAAATAAAATTGATATAAATAATGTAAATTTGTAATTTAAATCATGACACATGGCGCTATCTAAAATCATTAGAACTATGATATATGATAAATCTTATATAATTCAAACTGAAAGTAGAAACCAAAATAAATAATTTAAAGATACAATAATTAAACTAAAAAAAAAATTATCTTTTAAAATATATAAGATCATTAACTTACATATAACTAAATAACCATTCATTAACTTATCTAGATATAGATTTGATATGATCTGATATACATATTATTTTGATATAATTGTTTTAGCATTTATTTATTAAAATGAAGGGTGTAGAATCAAAATCCAGTTTGTCATGATTAAATAATACTTAAATTGTATATTAATGTATATGGAATGTGTAAGATTTGATTTTTTTTCTAATAAAAGTACTAAATTAAATATAGAAAAAGAGTACGAGGTACTATTTAGAATTCAAATATCATCGAGAAGATGGAGTGTGTAGAATTAAAATGCAGTTTTTTATTATGAAATAAATAGTTAAAGTGTTTGATTGAAATATGATTGAAATTTGGTTGAAATAAATATTTAAAGTGTATGCAAAATAGAATGTGTTAGATTGAAATTTGGTTTGAAACAAAATTATTCAATTAAATAATAAGAAAAATATAGATTACTATTTAGAATTTAAATATTATCGATACGAAATTATAATTATTTTTTACACCCGCCTATTTAGGCGAGCCTTATCTAGTATATATATGTTGGGGCAGAGTGTTATATATGTCTCTTAAATTTTTTGTATTTGTGATTTATTACATTTTCAATGGATATTTACTTTTATTATTTGTTTTATTTAGTAAAGTTACAAAGATCTAATTTTTCAGATCAAATAGAAATGGTTAACGAATCTAACATGTATTATGTCGAGCTCTAAAAAATCATTATATGGAATCTTGAAATAATAATGTAATTATATCGTGGTCATATTAATGATATTTTAAATTTTAATTAATGTTGATTCAAACTCGTCCCACCATATAACCATGTCCTGCAATATATAACTAGTACTGTGTTATTTTTTTTATATGTTCAAATATTCATAATATTATAATTTTTATTGATTTAAATATATTAATTATAATTTTAAATTTTTTTATATCCGGTAAAATTAAACAGTTCAACTAAAAAACCGAATTAAACCGTATATAAACTTTTGGATGTTTATTAAGTTAAGCTTCATGCTCATTCAGAATTAGATTCATTTTGATCTTATTTATAATATGATTCTAAATCCTTGTCTAAACATTTTATCCATTGTAGTACGTTGAACACATATTTTTTTCATTAATTGAGTAATAAATGTTTGTTTTCAAAATTTCGAATCATACTATATGCACAAGAAAAATTTGAGATTTTTTTTGAACTTTATGATTCAAAATTTTTTCTTTTTAAAAAAATATACAAAGATGATAAGGGAATAATAATTTTAAATCTTAACTAAATCTTCTAAATATTTATATTATTAGCTATGAAATATTATATGGATATTGAAGGCAATTTCCGACTGAAAGATTTCCGGTGCAAAATCTTTAAAAAATCACAACCCGCCAAGAATGAGCAAATTTGTACTTCAAAAACGTTAAAATAGATTTCCCTGGGTTAGGGGTCTCACGATTTGGGTTTGAATTTTACTGGGTTTAAATTTTCTGTTTGCGTCAGCTTCTTGTCTTTTTCAATCTCTTGAATTTACTGGGTTTCAATTTTCTATTTGCGTTAACTTCTTCTCTGCTTCTTCTCTTGAATTTACTATATTTCAATTTCTATTTGCGTTGAACTTTTTCTCCCGCTTCTTCTTTTGAATTACTAGGTTTCAGTTTTTTTTGTTTACGCCACCTTCTTCTATATTTTTTTCACTCGATGAAGATCAAACCTTAAGGGATCTTCTCGCAATTTGGTGACCAATATATGTGGCAAACAATTGGGGACCATCTCCGGCGGCCAGCAATTGTGTTTACGGAGATTTACAGATTTAGAAAATCAGGTTTAATTCTTTTGTTTGTTTCATATACATATTTTTCTTTAGTAGCAGGTTTATTTTTTTGTACAGATAGATGTCCGCCTCTAAACAAACTTAAAAAACAAACACACAATTAGAAACAACAATAAATAAAGGTGCACATACAAACATATATATAATTTGAATTTGTAACATAAAAAGTGAGAAACACATCATTTTCTAGAAATCATTTACATTTTAATTTTAAATATTGCCAGTCAAAATTATATATAAGAGAAAAATAATCAAAAAAGGAATTTATAAAAAAATAGCATTACAATCATTACAAGTAAAACAACATATATT